TGTTTATTTCAACACACTGATGTTATTTCACCTGTTTTGTCTCTGTCGCTGTCTTCTGTCGGCACATTGATGTTCCATTTTCGATGGGGAGGGAAATGTTGTTTTGAATTAGGACGTGGAGATTTGACTATGAACGTAAGGACAAACCTGACTTGAAAGTATTGTTTAAAGAAAACTCCAAATCTCTCAGACAGTTCCCTTCGATTACTCTATTTGTTTGACTCGGGTGATTTTTTTTGTGTGGATCAGCTAAACGTCTTGACCCCGAATAATAATAATCCTTGTATTTGATATGTCGCCTTACGTCATTGAGGCGTCTTAAAGTGCTTCACAGGATAAAATTGTAAAGTGAATTGGCTATATAATTTTGTAGGTGAAACGCAGCAGCCAATTGCGCACTACAAACAGTCGTGGATTGACACATGCCTCAATTCCAAAATGCCTCAATTTGGGGCTTTTGGTGTGTGAGGCCAGAGGTGTGCAGTTTGGAAGTTGTAAAGGAATGAATCATCATTGCCTAATAATTAGGTAATTGAAGGCTGAAGCTTATTTAAAGTGATACCTGGTTCAGTGCAATGTACGTGTGGGGAGCGACCACAGCGGGAGCTGAAGGAAAAGGGTGTTCTGTGGCCTCTTTTGCTTCGATTTATTTGGCAGTAGTTTGTTGTGATATATGTTAGAATAAAACGCTTTCCTGAGTTCCTAAAGGTGATGATTTCACAGGGTGATATATACCCACAAACAGCACCATCTCTCAACGTGTGTATTATAACCTTTCCCTTCTCCTTGTTAGGAAGTGTTTGTATTGTTCTGAAACATTGCCTGTTTTTGCACCTTTATTTACACAACCTGAAGAGACGCTGATTCCCTTCATTTCTAAACTGAACAGTACTTCTACTAGCCTGCAGATTTCATCATAAATGTAATAAAGAAACTGTTGCTTACTTGGCAAATAAGGGTATTAATAATTCTTGCATCTGATGTGGTACCTTTTCATATTGGGAGGACATCTCAAAGTGTTCGACCGGGTTTGTAAAGCGTAGTGCAGTGAGTATATTTTATGGGTGAATGTGGCAGCCAATTTGCACAGAGCAATGTCCTGCAAATGGTCAACAAGCGATTGGCCGATTGTTTCTGGAGGATTGTTGGCTCGGACATCTGGTAAAAGTCCCTTCACTTTTCGAACAACCCCATGGGACCTTTACGTTCACCTGAACAGGCAGTCAGGATCTCAGTTTAACGTCTCAGCTGGCACCTCCAACAACGCACCACTTTCCCGTGAAGTGCATTCCCTACCTTTCCTGAAGAGTTTGGCTCTTTTACCTTCTCCTGCATAGCTCAAGGAGTAGTATTGATTATGAAAATTGCCTGACAACCAACGAGTGCTTATTATATTGGTATTGCAGTGACCATGGCAACCAATCCTACTGACTGCTCTTAACAAAATATTTACCCATCAAAATGACATACAAACGTGTGCGGAGCTCAATTTATTGCAATCCCACCGAATCTTTAGAAAGTGTGTGACATAATTATTAACATTGTCGATAGATTTCCTTTTAAATTTGACTCCCCCCCCCCCCCCCCCCATCCCGCCCACACACACACACTCCTGATGCTATTGGCTCAGGGTGAGATGTGGGTCTACAAACACAAACAAGTGGCCAGTTTTGCTTTGGGAGTCGAGCAGAGAATTAATAATAATAATTAATAATAATAATCCTTGCTTTTGATATAGAGTCTTATCACGTTATTGAGACGTCTCAAAGCGCTTCACAGGATATCCTGTGAAGTGAAGTGACTGTACATTTTGTGGGCGAAATGCGGCAGCCAGTTGTGCACAGCGGTGTCCCACAAACAGTCGTGGATTGACTGACCAAATTATTATTATTGTGGGGGAGGGTGAGGTAGAGATTATTAACCCCGGAAAGTGATCCGCCAATCGGTTAACAACCGGGTTCCTACTTGCTGCTAAGGTAAGCAGTGGCTTATGGACTAAGGGAATTTGCTTAAGGCTTAACAGAGCATTGTAGAATGAGGAAACTGAAGCTGATCTGGTGCTCAATCAGTGAGTATATTTTTGGGTTAGTAATAATCATAACCCACTTATCCACTATAACCCTCCATAATCTATTGGAGCTCAGTGTACATTTGGACTTTTGTGAATGTATTCTGATAATCTGGGGTTGTACAAATTACACCTCATTCAAGTCAAAAATGCTTTTCCAAAGTGATTCTGATTGTCTCGTGACATCTCAATGTTTGTGCTGTAACCTTGTTACCTGGTCTGTTGGAGGTGGGTAGCATCTGAAAGCGAGACATATTGATTACTATTTTCCATTACCTTATTGATTGTTACGCCACATACTGGTGAATGGATCAATGGGGCAACTCACAGGGTGAAGATACTTGAGATGGTTTTTATAGCATTAAGCCAATATTGGCTGCTCCGAGTCACAGTCAAGTGTCTCAAACTTTGTGCCAATTAAGTAGAAAATGGTCACAAACTGGCAGCTTTCAGGGCACTTGACCTTGTTTGGTCCTGTTTTGCCTTTTCTTTTCAATCTACTGAAGCGTTCCAGATTTACAAAGCTTCAGAGGTTTTACATTAGATTCCCATCAAATTGGATCCCAAACTGGCCATGTTTGCGCCTATTTAAGTGTTTTTCAGACCTTTGATTTCTGAAGGGGGGAAAAAAAATGAAGATTCGTAGCTTTAAAACTAGGTCTGATCAATCTGAGTGCTGTTTCAGAAAACTTTGGTCATGGAAACATGACTCGATTAATTTGTTGCTGTAAATCCAATGTACAAGGTAAATAGTAAATCACTAATACCAACTCCTTACTATATGTGTGCTTTTAACACTTAGTGCTGACTACTATATTGTAATTTGAGTACTGCACTCTCTTGCTCTCAGCTCCTTAAACCTATCATCCCTATCCTCACCTGGCTCTTCCCAGAGGATCAAGTACCAAATGCAAGGGTTATTAATAATATTATTGGTGTTTTAGAGTCAAAACGTTTCAACAGGAAAGTCGTTGACTTCAAACGGATAGTTTTGGATTCTTCCCGCAAGTGTTATGATCTACACAAAAGCACGGGTCATTAATCTTAGCGATACAACAGGGTGGGTGCACAGCAAGAATTCGCGAAGCATTTCTGCACTGTGCTAATCTGATCCGAGATATGAAACGGCTGAGTAGTGTGCACTTTGTTGTGATTTCAGAGCCACGAGATTTTGTCCAACCGGATTAGCTTCAAGCTTCAGGAATTTCAATGTATCCTCGATTCTCGCTCCCACGCTGAGAATGTCGACACACTGAACAATAGACAACATTATAGCACTTGTGTTCTTTAATCTGGTGACTAATTTCAACTTTGCTTTCCCACTCCCTGTTTCACTGACTCTTAGTCAGCAAAACAGCCATTGTCTTTTGAGGATCTTTTCCCATCAAATCCTATGGAACCAATTAATACAGTATCGATAATAAAAGTGTTTATTAAGGAAGGAATTAGTTTGCTATAAGATCGGCCTAATCTACAGCAAGTGTATACCTGAGATGGTAAACGTCGGCAAGCTTTTCGGTGAGTGTAGCAGTCGTTGTTGAGCTCCAATCCTTGCATTTGATTTGGCAAGTTTCACATCAGGAAGCATGACAAAGCATTTCACAGGGTTTACTCCAAACTGTAGTGACTGTGTATTTTGTAAGTGAAGGCAGCAGATAATTTGTGCACAGCAGCGTCTCACAAACAGCCATGGAACGACTGACTGCTTTTACCTGGGAGATAGTTGTCCAGGGAACCAGGGAAAAACTCCCTTCTCTTTTTAAATAGTACCATAGGATCTGAGCAGGCAGATGAGAACCTCGGTTTAACGTCTCATCTGAAGGACGGCATCGCTAACAGTGTAGCGCTCCTCCGGGACTCTTTTGGAGTGTCAACCGAGACTGCAAGTTCAACATCCAGGTACAGGGGTTTGAATTTGCAAACATATGACTCAGAGGTGAGAATGCTACCAACTGAGACGGACTGATCCTCGATATAATGTGGTGGTATTTTCCAGGAATCGCTGGAAGGCGACCCAGGTTGTTTTTTTGTTCCCTGAAACTTGATGCAAATTTCGATATTGCGCTGCTGAGATCAGCTAATTCCACAGAATAGTTATCCAATGCAGTTCGATATCATCAGTATTGGGCAACCTGATTGAAACAAGTTTCTCCTTAATAGCAGAAACCTCAGAGGTAGAGGTTTTCTTTTTGATGTATAACTCGGCTTTTGCTGACTATTGAGGTTGTTACCACAATAGATTATTTTAATGGTGATAATAATAAAAAAAAATGACCACGTGACCGCAATTTAGCATCTATACTCTGACAGTGGAAATAGGTTGATGTGGTTGAAAATAGGTTAATTTTTGGCCGGTTTATTAGATGAATTCTGTTCAGTAAACATTTCCCAATTTTCTCCTCCCCCGCCCAGAAAGCACGGACTCTTGCTATGGAACAGTTTGAAAAGGAGGACAGATAACAATAATAATCCTTGCATTTGATACAGCTCTTTATCATGCCATTGAGACATCTCAAAGGCTTCAAAGAACATACTGTAAAGTGAATTGATTGTGTAGTTTGTGGGCGAAAGGCGGCAGCCAATTGCACTCAGCAGTGTCCCACAAACAACCGTGGATTAAGTGACCAAATTATTATTATTATTATTATTATCTTTTGAAGGATTTGTTACCCCTTAAATAGCGATCCGCATATCAACTAACAACCGGGTTCCTACTTACTGCTAGGTAAACAGAGGTGTGTGGAGTAAGGAAACTTGGACAACTTTTCGCTCTGCCCGGGCATCGAACCCAGGTCCTCTCGCTTGCCAGGCGAGTGCTCTAACCAGTGTGTTACAGGACTACTCCGCAGATGGAATCAAGTTAACTGTATGAACTCTGGACGAAGGTGCCGTACAGTAGCTAATGGTCTTTTTCCCTGTTGTGTGTTCTCAGATGGTTATTCCCCAAATGACAATGGAGGCAAGTCCGAATCAGTTTCAAGCCTTCAGCCCCAGCCTTCCATGAGTTCCAACCAGAATTCCCCGGGACCCAAACGTTCCCAAACGCTGAGGAAATGGCTGACGAGCCCCGTGCGCAGACTCAGCAGCGGCAAAGCCGACCCCAGGAAGAAAAAAGCCAACGGCAAGCAGGTATTAGACCTGGCATCACCCAAAACAGGAGAGAATGAGACCACACCCCAGGAGGATAGTGCAGATGAGGTAAAAAAAAAGGAAACAACAAACACACAAAGATTATTTGAGATATTTTATTTGAAATGGTTTGTCTAAATGTCCCTTGTTCTTCTTCTTCTTCGATCGTGCTTTCTGTCACCCTCCTCCCTCTCCACCCTCCCTGCCCTCCAACCTTCTCCTGAACCCACCCCCCAGCTCGGGTGCACATCCCCGACTGTCCAGCGCTTGGGGATGTCCTCCCGACGTGAAAGACGCCATGTAAATGGCATTGCGGTTGTTGTTGTTGTTTGCAGCCCCAAACGTTTAAAAAAATCGTCACTCAAATCGAGTTCAAAGCTTTGGAATGTTCTGGTTGGTTGAGCTCACCCCGAAACAATTTGTCGTTGCTTTTGACAGAAGGGGAGGAAGGATGAAGCACCCAGTGGCACTTTATCAAAGTCTTCGTCTGGTATGCAGAGTGGAGGCGAAGATGAGCCCGATGAGGAACCACACACCCCTCTTCCTCCTCGAATGAGGATCATTGATAACCCTTCACCTGAGGATGGGGTACGTAATCTAACATCAGTTTACTTTAATGCTTCACGTCCCCCACCTCGGAAGTTTGGACTCGATGCTTCTTCAATCCCAGGAATATGAAGGCAGAATCTTAATCTTAACTATGCCACTGCTCGGCCAAATCTAATTGTGTTACAGTGAAAGTATATTTTACAACGTTAAATCCGATCGAGTATTTTGATTGAGAACTGCTGCACGTGGGAAGGTAATGCCTTGTTTAACGCAGCACATTACTGCAAACATGGCACGAATGTGTGCCAAATGTACACTATAAATGGGCGTCGGGTGATGTGAATTCATCATCTTATCAGTGGAACTGATAGCTTTTGTGTTAAGCGCTTTGAGACGTCAAGGCTTGGGTTAAGGTACTGTACCAAATGCAAGGATTATAATAATATTATTATTATAAATCCAGCAATTATAAATCCAGCTTCTAATCGCTCTACTGCCTGGCTTAGTTCTCTCCTCGTTTCAACCTCGTTTGACAGTTTTTTTTAAATAAAAGCAATAAGCTTTCCAAAACCGAGATACAAACAAACTGATTTCTCGTGGTCACGCTGTCAGTGTTTAGTGACTGCTGCTTTTATAGCGGTGCCAATTCAGCTGTTATTTGGGCTCTTGTTGAATGTGTGGCTCTGGTTGTAGAGCTCTATAACCATAAGGTGGTTAAAGTTTTCATTTCATCTTTATAAGCACTCGAAAGAGCGCAGTGTTGTAAAAAAAAAAACGAAAGCCAGGATTGTGCAGCTATTTATCATCAGCACTTGGCGAAGTACAACCCTTTGATCTGCAGCTGAAAGAATATTTCCTCGGTGACAAAATATTAAGGTTTCTAGCAACACTTCGCTTTCTTTTGCCATCCATTGTCGCGCACAATTTCCCCTTATTTATTAAAATCTGGGCCTTTAATCGTTAGCCTGCTACTTTGTTTCCCCCTTTTGCTTCCGCCCCATGGCAGTATTAATGACGAACCATTTTTCCTTCCTTCCTGTTGCCTGCTCTTGCTGCTTCTGGTAATGCTCTCTCCTCCTCTCTAACCCTGCTTCCTGCAGTCCTCTTTGCACGCTGCCCGGCAGAGCGCTACTGAAATCCCCAGCGCTGCGGACCTTGTCAGTGCCATCGAGAAGTTGGTTAAAAGTAAACTGGTAAGTGGCAATTTGTAAGGGCCAATGAATTCGTTTATTTCCTCTTTGCTTTTCCAAAGGCAGAAGCTTTTTCCCCACCACTTCTCAGAGCGGAACTCGTTAGTTGGGCTGTGGTTAACAGCATGTTGTCATCACGCAACCTGTTTGACTTGAACAGAAGGATGAGTCAAAAGGGATGGATTTTTGGCGTCGTTTTAATGACTCATACGGCTTTTGGTAAATGCTGTATTGGAAACGTGGAAACATAGAAACAGGACAAGGCTGTTCAGACCCTCGAGCCTGTTCTGCCATGCTATAAGATCATGGCTGATGTGTACCTCAAGTCCAGTTACCAGCAACCACAGCCTTTTGGGGGAAGAGAGTTTCAGATTTCCACTACCCGTTGAGTGAAAAACTGCCCCCTGAGTTGACTCTAAATGGCTGAGCTCTAATTTTAAGATTATGCCCTCTTGTTCTGGATTCCCCCACCACAGGAAATAGTTTCTCTGGAGGTACCCTGTTGGAAGGTGTCTGCTGTGGATTATTCTTGTGCTCACTGAACCTCCCTCCTTCCTGGATACAGTGGAACGCAAACTGAAACTCCTTGAAATTGCAATATGGTGCCCAACTCAAAAAGTAGATTTTAGCTTGGTCAAAACTGACAGGTTATTGTCAACCCACTCCAGATTAATTGGGAGTTTCCTTTGGGTGAAGCTGTGATTCAGATTTCTCCATTAAAAAAGGTGGCATCATAACCCTAATGAACCTGACTTCAAATGCAAACCTGAAGTCTACGAATTCTTTCCCCCCAATACCTTTGCCTTGCTCCCCACTTCCCCCCTTTTAGAACACGACTGAAGACCTTCCTCTTCAACTGCGCTTATGGTCACTCACCTCCTCCGTTCCCCCGGCTCGGAGTCAGGCTCCACCACTGTTAAGCGCTCCGAGACACTGCCCCACATGAAGGTCGCTGTGTAATTGCAGGTTGTTGTTGACGAGGGGGACTCTCAAATCCCGATAGATGCACCCGTGCTCTGCAAAGGCACAGATAAAATCTGCTTTTCCTGAAGGGGCTGTGTGGCTGAGTGGGCGTTTCTCTAATCCATTTGTCTTCGTTTGCTGCACATTCTGACTGCGATGGAACCTGTCGTGCTGATGCCTGGCTGTTCACATGCAAATCATCCATTTGTGTTTTGTCGGCGAAACTTGTCAAATCACGCATTTTACTTGTGAATGGATCTCCTGCACAAGTATATTTTTCCATTCTTGAGGAATCTGATTGGGGTCACACCACCCCAACAAGTGCACGTCACCACGGCGATTTTGTGGAAGAAATTCGTCAAAGACCATCTTGGCCCTTCGGGATCTGAAGGACCCAAAGGCCCCATAACAAATCTGGATGTAATTCCTATGAATTTCAGGCCAGAGAGATTATCTTTTTTGTAAAGAACATGAGTTGCAGCCATTTTTTCTCGTTATTTCACCAAATTGCGGATAATGAGCTAGCTGCGTTCAACTGGCAGATGTAGAGCTGAGTTCTAAATTAATCAGACTATCTCTGTCCTACTCTTTCCTCCTTCAAAATTCACCCCACTTCTTGCCAAAAAAAAACCTGAATTGAACAATAGCCCACATGAAATGTTATCTGAAAAGAAGAGATTAACAGTAAATTCTGACCACATCCCAATCTACTGAGGACGGTTAAGCCTCCGCCTTTGTGCCAGGGCTCACGTCTCTCAGGGGGTAACAGGGTTTATGTGCCTTTTGAGCCTGACTGCTTTGTGCTGTGGTATCAAAGTGTGGATTGGTGCCATAACTTAAGTGAGGCCCTGTGTGCCTTACAGTTGTTTCATTCAACTCTGCAAGATGCTTGATTTGGCAGGGAAATGACTGTTAATCTCCTTCCCCATCCTCCCAGATTTATCTCCTTCCCCAGGGACAGGTAATGTCCCTCCACTGACCTGTTCCATCAGTACACATCATTACTGAAACTGTTGGCACAGATTTACAGTATCACCAAAATTGCAGATCAGAGGAGAGGTCAGAGAGAAAATGCAAACTATCCCAAGTTCTTCCTGCCAGTCACCAATGTGATGCAACTTGCTTAGGGATTTGCGAAGCCTGCCACTCCCTACAAACTGGATTCAGGTCTTGGTGGAAGGTCCTTAACTCCTTGTGTGCAGATTGGAAATCACTGAAATATTCAGAACAATAAAAAAACGTCTTATTCTCACAGTAGTGGAGTAAAATATGTCTTGCCCATGTGTAAACAATCATAATTTTTGATCATTATAGTTGATTTTTTAAATAGAATAAAGTCCTTGCGAGCTGCTTCTATAATGATAAGAAAAAGTCAGAAAGACTGATTTAAGCTCATTGTAGCTTTTACAGTTGGGATGGAGGGCAGGGAGGGTGACCGAAGGCACGGTTGAAGAGGAGGATCTTGTGATGTGCCTCGCCAGAGGCGAGGGAGGGAGCGAGGCGAAGACAAAACAAGTGGAAGATAAAGCACTGATGTGATCCAGAAATGTTGGGTATGCCCGACATCATAGTAAAAACTTAGCAATTGACCTAGTGTTGATTTACTACATTACAGTATGTAACTTGTATCTTATAACGTTTGCTCTCAGCTTTAAAGACAAACCTAAAGCCACTATTTATCTTCTCCCAGACTCTGGAATCAGGCTATCGGACCAATGTAAATGATCCTTTTAGTCCCGAACCGATGAACTCTTTAACCTCACCTGTAGATGCTGATGAAGAGAAACGGGCCAAAGCACTGAAAGGCAGAGCGTAAGTTAACTTACTGCTAAATCATTTTGATAATACAGTAATATTGATAATAAGCCAGACAATGTTGTAAGATCTATAGATCGATTGTTTGGAACGATTTTGCCAGTGTTGTACTTCCAGCCTATGGTGTTGGACAGTCCCTTGAATAAAATATGATTCCTTTTATACATTTTTAGATATTTTTTTCAATAATATGCACAGTGGGAGTATTAAATGGCAGAAATTCTAATTATTGCAATTTTACGCACAACAATAAGGTCTGCAGTATGCCAGAAGCCATCCGAATCCCAATTCCCTGCTCCTTACTGTGCTTTGGCTATTGTATATGGTGCTAAGTTTGAAAATAGTGCAACTCAGACCAGCTTCACATTATTCAAGCTTCAATCAAAGCACAGCAGCTGCCCTGCTTCGAACTTGATCGTGGTGAACAGCACAAGGAAGTCTTTTCGTCAGCTTTGCAGCCATTCGTTTGCGCTTTAGGAAAAAGCTTTTGTTTGGAATTTTGAATGACAATTGCAGCTGATACTAATTTTTAAACCATTAGATACAGCGTTAAGGTCAGTGTCTGCCTCTGCCCTGAAGTTCGAAAGACGTTGCTCAGGTTCTGTTTTGTTGCACCTCCAGGATGTTGTATCCAGTTCAATGTTGATCTTGTTTCAATCTCATCAACTCAGTGTAATAAATCCTGGGCAACACGATCTTTCTTCATAATCCAATCATTTTACCATAAAGGTGCGGTAATTATTTATGACCTTGATGTGTTTGGAGCAGTATTTTATTCTACCCAGGAAGAAACTGAGACATTTAGATTTTTTTACTGTAATAGTGTCATATTGTTAATTGTTTTATAGAAATGATCAGATAATATACCTCTTAAGTAAGAATCTTTGGTCAAAAGGAACACGTGTTCAGGCATTATTTCTGTTCTCACTTCAACCGTATCTAGATACCCTTTATCCTTTTGTACTGATTCTTTTAAGACGGCATCTCTGACAATTCTGATTGGAATAGGATACTATCAATTGCAAACCGATTGCTGTGCAATCAGGATTCTTAACGTAATGGTACATAATCTGTCATTGTTTCATCACAGGTATGTTCTCAATGAACTTGTGCAAACTGAGAAGGATTATGTGAAAGACTTGGGAATTGTTGTTGAGGTACGAGACATTCAATCTATTCAGTGTCCTTGATAATTGAGACGTTTTCTCTGTTGTTCATTGAAGGGTCCATTTTGCCCCTACTCTCAACTTTTATAACTTCTGAACCCTTTCAAAGGTTCGATTGGATTTATTGATGAAAATTCATGTGAATTCCATAGCTTCCGCCTTGTTCAGTCATAGCTCCTAAAAAACAAAACCTTCTCGTGTGTTATGGTGGCGATGACAGTTTCTGTGCATTTTCTGATCATTCAGGCTTTCATGAAAAAAGTGGAAGAAAAGGGAATTCCCGAAGACATGAAAGGAAAAGATAAGATTGTATTTGGAAACATTCATCAGATCTACGACTGGCATAATAGGTGAGTGTGTAGTTGGTGCAAAGAATTCTCACTGATGGAAGAAATTAACAGTTTGCAAGTTAATTCCTGATTTGGTCTTAGCTGTAATAAACCTCCTGGTTTTGCATATCACACCACATAGTGCATTCATCCACTGAGCTATTAGTGAGAGGAATGAATCACTGATTTAAGTATATTTTTTGCCACACAAAAGATGTTTGATATTGATTCTTTTCTTAATGATGAGCATCAGGGAGTTCTTTGGGCTGAAAATATTTTTTCCATCTCTCTTACGAATCGAGGCAGCCCATCAGGTACATTTCTGGTTAGTTAGTCTGCCCCTAATGCACTGGGTTATACAGTAAATCATGTGAAGCGCATCGAGATGTACTCCTTGCACGAAAGGTGCTGTAATTTTTAAAAATATATAGGTTAAAAAATATTTTTTCTACGGCTCTGAACACATGAACACATGAAGTGTTATAATAATATATAAATATATATTAATATATAGTACATATAACTTTGAGACGTCTCAACACTGTGATAAGGCATTATTATCAAATACAAGGATTATTATTGTGTATTATATCAGATGCGTGGATGATTATTATTAATACTGTGCTAGAATATTTAGCAAACTTTTTAACATTTTCTTCCTCGGCAAATACTCAATAAACCACTTGTGTCAGTCAAGTGTGGGCCGTGATTTTTTTTAAATACAAAAAAACAATGTTTTTGGCTGACTCCGCTGGTTGATGTGAGGAGTTGCATATTGTATTCGCAGTGTTCAGAGCTGCAGATAAGCAGTAGGAGCCCACACAGAGTTTATGTCTAATTGTTATTCGTATAAACTTGCAGTTTTTTCATGGGGGAACTGGAAAGATGCCTTCTTGAACCAGAACGGCTGGCAAGTCTCTTCATCAAACACGTGAGTCTCTGCAGCTTCTTTCTAAGATTTTATTTTAAAAATATCACATGGCCTCATGTAATGCGTGCTTTCGTGTCAGCAAAATGTCCATCCTTGGGTCATCTGCAAGAGTACAAGGGACAAGGGATTCAAATACTGCTTACTGTTACAGAGGAATGAGAAAGGGTATGAAGTTGTACAAACTAAAGGCACCAATGCAATCTGTAAGGTCCCTGTAGAAAAAAGCTGAGAATTGTTCGAGTCAGATTGGCAGTATCACCTTCCTCTTAAAACATACCAACCCGTACCCAACCTGCCCTTCCTATCTAAAGCCATGGTAATGCTTTGTTATTACCACATCACAGAGGCCTGGTTGAAGTTACGAATGATGTGCTTTTAGTTTGTGACCTGGTGAATGGGGCCTTTTTGTATATTTCCCTTCTATTCCTCACGATGAGAGATCTCCACTTGGTGCCTCTGGGGTGCAGTAAAGTCAGGATTGAGAACCGAAGAGATCAAGCCGCAACCAACCACTCATTTGACTCAATGATAATAAATCAACTGCACCACTGTTGGGGGCATTTTTCCTTACAAAAGGGCGAACACATGAACAAAGAGATTAATTGAAATTGAGACCGTTCTGCTCTGTATTGACCGAGTGCTATGTCATGCATTGTATTACCCTCGGGGTAGCAGTTTGAGTAACAAAGATACAAGTCAACTAATTATTTACAGTAGTACATTTTGTGCATGCAGGAGAGACGCCTAAACATGTATGTGATCTATTGTCAAAACAAGCCGAAATCTGAGTACATTGTGGCAGAATACGATGCCTACTTTGAGGTGAGTGCGATGGTTGATGTTCTTCTGTCAATGATACTTTAAACGGTAAACATTAAGACCCCGTTTTTTTACAAAGAATAAAGTATCGGGTGACATGCAATGCAAGAATATGGGGCTTATGTTGATTTGTGATAGGAGTGATTCATTTATATAATGGAGGTGATTTAATCGAAAGCTTAAATTAATGTTTAACTTTATTTTTCAGCGATTTCAGCTGAACACCTGAGGTTGTGTTTAATTTTCATAATTTCGTTATATGAATGAATTAAATTAAATTGGGTAAACATTCAGTTATTTTAAAGAATTGTTATTGACGCTCAAATGTATGAAAGTTGTAACAGATACGAGTTGTGCGTCATGCTTTGTGCCTTGCATTTTAGGAGGTAAAACTGGACATCAATCAGAGACTTAGTCTGAGTGACTATCTCATTAAACCTATTCAGAGGATAACCAAGTACCAGCTGCTTATCAAGGTGGGCAACATAACTACAAAATGTCTCAAAGAGGTTCCCGGGATTTTATTGAGAAGTTAGTGACTGTGTATTTGGCAGCCAATTTTGTCGAGCACCAACAGCCACAAAATTAAAGACCTATTTTGCTCATTCGCTTTTCAATTCTTTTGTAGAAATAGTTGTGGATGTGAGGGGTGGGGGGGGGGGGGGGGGGCAGGGAGGGAATAAGCAGTGTATATAGGCTTGCAGCCTGATATTTATAGGTATAAATAATTTGCTCAATATAATAGCACACCCACTGAAATAAAATTTTCTTTCTGTTTTGCTTTTGTTCCTGTTTCTTTTAAAAAAAAATAAAAGTATCTCATGGCAAGGAGAGAGGATAGAGAGATGCAGTCTGTAAGGGGTGGGGGACTCAAGAGACACAGATGGCAAGGATCGTGTTTTTACTGAAACGATGCTTGCACAAGAGAAACTGAAATGTTTGCAATAACCGTGTGTGAAACTATGAGTAATGTGTGTTGTATGGAGCGCGTGTAACATTGTTCACTGCTAGTGATGATGATAATAATGAAAATGTCCCTGTTACAGGACTTCCTAAAGTACAGTGAGAAAGCTGGGCACGAATGTTCAGAAATCGAGGTAAGCACATTCTGTAGCTGCAGTGACATTGTTGCTTCATACAGTTTCTTACATTTTTTTATGTGTAAGGAAATACTAAAGTCACGTCTAATTTGACCTTTCAGTTTACGTTAAGGTATCCAATGTTTTGCACTTCACGTGCATTTTTATGTTCAACCCTCAAACTGCGCAGAGGAAACCGGTTATAACGCCCCTGACCTCACTGACCAGCGCTAACCAGACACACGTTACGTTCAAATTCCAGGGCTGACCAGCCAGCTTCCGGCACATTAAAATAGCCCCTTGCTTCCCTTCCGGTCGTCAGATCACTCTGATGTCACTTCCGGAGAGCGCTGTGCGCTGAGTGCGTTGAATTCACTTCCTGTACGCTGTGTTTGCTACGTGCAGCATGAGAGAAACGATGTTAGCCGAGTTTTAATTTTATTATTCTTTGTTGGGCATGGCCTGTGAGATGTTGTACCCGCACAACTGTGTTATAACAGGGTTGTCCTGTACACAATTTAACAGAGAACTATTTTCAAATTAACGGAGACTGATAACAAAGCTGCCATTGAGATGCGGCTTAAATATTGAGTAGATGGTAGAAAAGACCTTCCGCAACAAGTCACATTGTTTCCGAGATGCCATATCCATTGAACTTCATTGTTTGGGAGCACAACACTGACGTAGAGACATTTTGTTGTGTGTGTTTTAAAAAGAAGTACAATTAATTGACATCAATATAAGCGCTAATTCTAAAATTATTACTTTACATATGAGCAAAAACTGATGCCTTGTGCTAATTGTCTGTTGACAGAAAGCTGTTGATGTAATGTGCCTTGTGCCAAAACGCTGCAATGATATGATGAACTTGGGAAGACTTGAGGGCTTTGAGGTGAGTTCCCTCTTTCTTCCCCACCCCCCCCACCCCCCGCCCCCACAACTGCAATATCCAGTATATGCACAGAATAGCTTAAAATAGAAAGTTTATCGGATACTGTATATTCCATTAAGTGAGAGTTCTAATTGGAGGGGAATACTCAACCTAGAAATGCAAATGACAACACATATTTATTACTTGGGGATGGTTTGGGAGTCTATTGTGTTTGATTGTTCAGTGGACAAGCAGTTTGTCATTTTAAAATAAAGCCATCTCGGCTGCTGTGTCTGGTTGTGGACAACAAGTCCTCCATTAGGGAACCAAGAGATTCTGGGATCCGAGAGAGGAAAAGAATGAAAATATTATTTAATACTTAGGTGGAGATGACTTTATGGATTACGAATATGATGAATCCTAAAACATGTGTTGCTTCTAGGGCAAAATCACAGCACAGGGCAAACTGCTACAACAGGATACGTTCTACGTGACTGAGCAGGACACTGGAGTTCTGTCCCGAAGTAAGGAACGAAGAGTCTTTCTCTTTGAGCAAGTTGTAATCTTCAGCGAACTATTGAAAAGAGGTTCCTCTACACCGAGGTATCAATTCAAGAAGTGCATTAAGGTAAATGCAGAATGGTAAACAGAACCTTTTCTTCCCCCCACAGCGAGGACGCTCAATACTTCACAAGCAATCCATAGAGATTGGAGATTACACCACAATCAAATAGATAAGACTTTCTTTTTCAGTCACTCTCAAGAGATTGCATGTTGTCAAACCACTCAGTTACCTCCCCGAGAATGTGTGTTGCTCTGTAGTATTTCTGCTGCAGTCCCACTTACTGTCATGCTGTTTTTTTCTTTCTCAAACCAGCCTAAGCTCAGAAAATAGATGTATTTTATGAACCACAAGGGCTTAGGTCACATGTGTGTATTTGTTTCCTCGTAGCTAGTTCAGCCTGATAAAGAAAATGAATGTTGAAAGTGGATTTTTTCAATTTTTGTCATCACTTCAATAAATTTTCATCTCAGTGCATGTCTACATCAGAGAATGTTCATGTTGAGCCATTGATAAATTGCCGTCTCCGTAAACTGAGCAACATTTTCACATTTCTTGCTGGTGCGAATGAGTTATTGTGGTGTAATAACTCTTGTGAGTTATTCATTGACTTACAACATTCTTTAAATCTGTAACCGTTGATGTGGTCGGACAGAGAAAACTCTGTGATGGGTACCTGAAATTGTAATTATAACAAAAGAAGATAAATGATGTGTTTCATTTATCCTGATAACAGGTTTGCTTTGAGGCACTCGCATAATATGCTGTCAATGGGGGGGGGGGGGGAATCTTTCAGTAACCTTTCCACATATCAGCAACTAATACTTTGTATAATAAGGTCCCATATCCAGTGTATTAAGTTGGGTGGAGCAAAGATTTCACAGCAAAGTTGTGGCTGAATCACCCACTTACCAATCATGTTTATATTTTGCATTTAATTGAAGGGAATATTTGTCATAAAAAAAACCTCAAATAAGAAGCTTCTGAGTGGTTTGACATCATGAATAGCTTTCACGAATCATAGCCTTTTTGCAGTACCTTTTATAGTACCATCTCACAAGGTTAAGAGAGGGTTAGACAGGCTCCAGCTGGACAGTTTGTAAACGTGAATAGCAACCCGTTAGAACAGGACCAATTTCATCTGCAAAAAGCAGGTTAGTTGTGATCCAATGCATATTCCCTTCAAATCTCAAAGCTTAAGTTCCTCCCGTAGAAAGTTTCAATATCACCTTTTTTTAAAAAAAAGACTTCTCATGCAAACATGAGTTCTCCTAACGTAAAAGATCGTTGAATTTATTAGTGCTTTCAACACTATACAGTGACCGTATCTGACGTCTGTCCTCTTTCAGATGACTTACCTGAACATCGAGGAGAATGTGGACAACGAACTCTGCAAGTTTGCCCTGATCTGCCATGGGACCTCCGAACGCTTTGTGTTGCAGGCTCCAAGTATTGAGATCTGGCAAGCCTGGGTTCAGGATATCAATCAAGTGCTTGACGCTCAACGGAACTTTTTAAATGGTACATCGGATGCCGTCTTATTTAATCGTCCTCCGTTTTGTTGTACTTTTGGCAAAATAGGAGAGTGTTATGTCACTGCTGTGTCTAATCGGACTGTCGAGGAACAAATGCGAGGATTTTGTTGAAAGAATGTGTTGATGTTTCATCTCGTCTTTAGCCTCAGCCTTCCCATAATGTTTTGATTTTATTGCCATTCTAGCACTGCAATCGCCAATCGAATACCAGAAGAAAGAAGGTGCTACTCATTCCTTAGGCAGAGCGGCAGCAAGCAGGCTACCCCAGACCAGCCCCAGGTCACACTCCTCTTCCCCAGTGGGGCCTGAAAAGCCTCCAAAGGGCTCCAGTCGTAATCCAGCTGTACCAGCACTAAAGCTACCTACCTCCAATGGCACTGCAACCTTCGACGACCAACAGCATGGAGACAAATATGAGGAAAGCAAGGTACCTACAAGACCACAAGACAGTCAATCACCTCAGCTTAGTAATAGGTGACAATTCCAGAGAATCCAAAATGGCCCATCAATAACAGTAGCACAATTCCCTGGAGATGTTACCTTATTTCCCTTCAGAGTACGGTAACTGTCACCCTCGGTTGTTATTTTCCGATAAACTACTTCAAATACCAAACTAAACCATGACACTAGTCAGGTTCAATTGAATTATTGAGCATTCCTCAACAGCACATTCATTCTGAATTGTTTGTGGAATCCTGTAGGGTACTGGTTGGAGCACTCGCCTCGCAAGCCAGAGGATCCGGGTTCAATTCCTGGGCAAGTTTCCTTACTCCACATGCCTCCGATTACCCAGCAGTAAGTAGGAACCAACCCAGTTGCTGGTCGATTGGCGGATCGCTTTCTGGTGGTAATAATCCCTTCCAAAATATAACAATAATAATTTGGTCTCTCAATCCTCGACTGTCGGTGGGACACTGCTGTGCGCAGTTGGCTGTGGTGTTTCTCTCACGACATATACAGTCAATTCACTTACAGTGTGTTCTGTGAAGCGCTTTGGGACATCTCAACGACGTGATAAGGCGCTATATCAAATGCAAGGATTATTATTATTATTATATCAAATGCAATGATTGTTATTATTATTAATTATCTGTTAAACTACTTCAAGTACCAAACTGAACCATGACACTGGTAGGGTTCAATTGAATTATTGAGCAGTCTATTATTCTGAATGGTTTGTACCAATTAGACTTGATGCAAGTTAGTATCACGTCTGTGGTGCACTTAATTTATCTCGAGCATGTAGTTCTCGCTGTAAATGGTATTCACTTTTCTCCCTTCCAAATGATTAAATGAATACTACCGGATATTTGGGCACGAATGGGAATGTCAACCAATAAGTTTTCTAGAGCTTGGCCAATCTTCCTGCAGATACAAAAGCTTACCAGCCTGTTACCTTTCACACTGGATTCCAATAGCATCTTCTGACGTTAAAAAATCTATTTATACAATGAAATCTTCTGACCTGAGAAAATCGGCAAAATAAAGATTTTCTTAAGCACTTTTTGAAAGAGCCTTGTTTTTCCTTCTGTGAAGTATGTATTAGACTGGAAGTACTTCGGTGTTAAAATCTTATGAAGTCTAGAAGTTCGGTAATTAGATCCGGGCAGGCTTGCATTGTGCATAAATGTAAATGTGCATCAGTGTATCTCCTGCACTCATCCCTATGAATTGCTCCTGAACAAATGTGTATGTAAATGATATTTAAATGCAGATGGGTTGTCCAACCTTAGACAGAGACTGTTTCGTTGTGTGCTCATGGCGGAAAAAAAGCCTTTTGGTGTGTGTAAAACGGCAAGTGCCCTTTCTTGCAAAAATTGGCAATGGCTGGAGTCTCGTCTCACTGAGCTCCGATATCTATTTACAAAGAAAAAACACCCACATTTATGGATTATTAGAAAGGGCACGAAGACGAGACTTGGTTGAAATGACTGTGCGTTGGACTCACACTGGGCATCACTGGGCAACAGAAAAAGATACCTTGAAGCTGTAGGAAATACCACTGGATAGAGTTTCAGCTACTGTGGATCCTTACTCAGTCCTCTGCCAGCTTCCTTGCTCTATCAGGGGAAAAACATAGACCTATGGCCAGTTTGAGACTTGGCCTGGATGCATCTACGATTTTACCCACATCTATTATTTGTACTCAAACCACCAAGGGCAAAATATTGTGAATTGTCATGTTTACCATTTTGCTTTATGGGCCTTCTCACAAAGGTTAATTTCAGCCTTGTTACTCTTATTCTCTCTCAAACTCTCACCTGAAATACCTCCTCCTCACTCCTTTCCTCTCTGCTTTCAAAAACCATTTTAAAAACCTACCTCTTAGACTGAGCCTTCAGCCACCTCCCTAAACACCTCCCAGCTCAGGCTCTCATCTCCTTAAAGCTCAATGGAATCTCGTCTTATAAGGAAGGCACCGTGTTCAAGTACAAATTATTGTTGTTGACGGATGCTGCAAATTAGTTATTTGCCAGTTTTGCAAAAGATGCAGGTACCTGTATGAAACAAATCCTGGTTATAATGAACATTTAATCCAAACCTGCTGGGCTGACTTCAAAAATACCCACACGTTGGGACATTTTTTATTCCGAGATTTGTGTCTGATTTTAAGGCCAGTTTTCCTGGCATTCAGATTGCTCTTTCAAACTGCCTTTACCTCTCTTTCACCTTTGGTACAAACTCTGACTAAATGCAGACTGTGGACTCTAATTGAATGCTGTTTGATTTACACAGAATAATGCAGTGGGATGCAATGGGACCTCTACCATGCTGGTCACACAAGATTATAGCGCGGTGAAGGAGAATGAAATCTGCGTGTTTCAGGGAGAGCTGGTACAGGTCCTTGCCTTTGACCAGCAGAACATGTTCTTGGTGTACCGGCCTGCCAATCAACACTCTCCCGCTGCCGAAGGCTGGATTCCAGGCTTTATCCTGCGTCACATCAGTAACAACCCCACAGACACTATCGAAGGAAGCATCAAGTAAGTGCCAGGTGGCTGCCCTGGAAGCAGTATGTGGATGTAAGGAAAAAAGATGGGCAGGTTTTTCTCTGCCGATTATATCCACAAGGCCATTGGAACAAACTTCAGAAGTACCCAGTGAATTCTTGGTCTTCAACTTGGGGCAGCCATGTTTTGACAGCTGTTTTTCTGTTAAATATTTATAATACGAGTGACTTTTATACAGTCATGGCATGTTTTACTTTAACCCTTGCTACACCGACTTGGAAATTACTGGACTGGAAGTATGTTTATTGTGTTACTAATATGTTTTCATTTTTATAAACATTTGGCAGAGGCCCAATGTTGAACTGAGGCCTATCATCTCCAGATGGAGAGATTTTTGTTGTTGTCTATGGCAATTTGTACAGCATGTAATTTTAAATTTTGGGTTTTTGAAATTTGTTGGCAGTATATTGTAAAAAAAAGTATTACATTTTTTTATTTGCCAAGGCTCTTTCCAATACATTCCTGTACAAAAAGATATTTTGCACTATTTAAGAAGCCCATATAAATAAAGTCAGGTTGTGCAATATAGTCAGAATGTTCCATCATTGTATCTGTAATGTAACTAATAATGTATTTTAAATATGTAAAATAAATTTTGAACCTGAGCATGTTTTAATTAAGTAAAATGGTGGAAATGTTTGATTTACTGAATTCTGGAGTGTGAGGTATTGACCAGTGATCAGAGATGCAAAATTTGTACAGTGCAAAATTATTAGCTCCCAAAGCATCCATTCCATGAACTGATGTGGTTTTGGGGTGGGGGGGGGCGGGGGGGTTTGTATGGCAAAGGATGTATTTGCGGCATACCTCCCCTACCTTAAATTTTGATCAAGTCATGAATTATTATCGATAACCCAGATCACAATTTTTTAATAATTGCATCTCTAATCAAATGATTTTTTTTTTAAAAAAAAGTGATCTCTTTCTGCCATTTTCAGCTTGTATGTTCCATAATCTCATGGGTCAGGATGTTAACCTTATGCAGTGTTGCTGAGAGCACAGGTAGAACCTTAAGCATCGGGTACAAATCCTGTGAGATTATATGATGTACAGCGGAGGAATGGTGAAAACTGTGTAGATTTGGGGAAGCAACCTTTTTAACTTCACAATTTACTTTCGATGCTAGTCAGTTATTTGTTTCTAGTACTTAGTTTTGTCACTGATCAAAAGAATATTTTTTTTTTGTTTTGAGAGCGCACCGCCTTGGTGCTTCTGTTTTTAATATTTTTTTTGTTGCTGATGGCTGCCAGTTTTGAGAATGGAGTGGATTGTTATTGGCCCCGTATCCATCACAAGCCTAAGATATTCAAGTTGACTGGTGCGTTTTTTGGTACAACAGGAAGTCATGTTCTTGGCAAACATCACTGCGTTTGAGAAAACGAGGAGAAAAGGAGAGCGGTGGGAAAAATGAAGGGAGGTTTGAGAATGGTGCCCGTAAATCCAAGGATATTCTGACCAACAAAGCCTCTGTTAAAGTGAGTAAGCCAATGTTTAGGAGCTGTGTGTTTATTTTTTAAAAGGTCCAGTTACAAGGCTTTCCTGCATCCATATCCATTGATACTTCATGCTTTCACTGTACCATTGGAAACGGTGGTCTGTGAGCTGATGCCTGAAGTGGTGATGCTTTAAATGGTGATTGTATTTTCTCTCAACTATAGATTTGGCTGTTACAAGTGGGGAAGAAACGAATAGCATTAGCATAAACTCTTGAATCTTTTGAATAATCATAAGATTAAACCCACTGTTACGGGTAGCTCTTACAGCCAAACTACTACTGAACAAAAAAAAAACAAACGCAACATCTTTGATCATGCAAAGCATCAGATTTAATGACGAAACTTAAAAAAAGAAACGATTGCACTTATTCAATTCTGGAATAATGTAAAACCTAGTAACTGGACTTTTAAAGCAAACAGCCCATTTCCACATCCCTCAATTAATACTTCAGTTTGGGACTAACCTTTTAGACACCAACCACGGGAGTGATAAAGGTTTGATGTCACTAAATCCACTTCTAACTGTTTGCCATGTGAGTGTGGCTAGAGAACTGAGAACACAGTGTACCATTTTCTTTGCTGCAAGTGTGAATAAATTAAATCTTTCAACAACTTTGTTGTCTGCTATCTTACTGTGTGTAATGTGTGAATTTACTCTTCAAGGTAATAAAGATATTCTTGGCTGGTTTGTTCTTATTTTTGATGTTTTCTCCGTGGTTTTTGGAACATCAAACATCCGACTACTTTTTTTTTGGGGGGGGGTGGGGTGGAAGGTACAGAACACAGTCTTTCTGTGATAAAATCTTCCCATCAAATTTATGCATTTTTTGAAACTTTTCTTAGTGTATAGAGTACTCCTCTTCCCAGCCAAGAGGGAAGCCATTGCTTAAGTGAGTTCCATCCTCACAACTTTCTGCCAAGATCTCTACTGAACCAGTGACTGGTAATTGTGTTAGTGTCTAAAATGAGATTGGCCCAACAGTACTTTTGCCTCTGCTCAATGCCTTGCTTTCCTGGTACGAATGGGGTAGGGAATTCGTCATTGGCCAATTATGGGCACCAACTTCCTGCCAGTAGGTGCTATGTCACGGTGCTAATTTCCACGGCTGAATTTTACTTTGCATAACTGGAAACTGGAAAAATACTGTACGTGAAGTCTCTCAAATTTCTAAAATTCACTGTCACTGCTAAACAGATAGGAGGAACTTCTGGTTTTCTGTGCATTTTGGTGCGGAATATTGTTATAGCCCAAGTATGGGGGGATGGGTGAGGGGAGGGGATACTAGTTTGTGACTGTGGTGCTTTTCGGACAAAGTCTTGGTTTAAGAATCTGATTTCAAGCGCACAATGTATCCAACCACTCCTAATTGTAATTTTGCTTTTTTTTCTCTCATGCTGCACTAAAGGAGGCTAACAGTTCCGAGGAATCCGAGTGTGATGACCTTGATCCTAAAACTAGCATGGAGGTAGTAACAACTGTTAGTTTTGCATGCAATATTCAAAACAGTGTGGATTTAAATGTGACTGTGTCCCCAGAAAAGTAGTGATAGATTAATGCAGGTGCTTTGTTAGTTTTTTTTTGTCACCCGACCACTTTCATGCCATTTACATTGAATTTTAGTCTTTTCTTGTTGGTCGTTTTTGTATCCAGTGGCCGTAAGAGATACATATATATATAAGCAGCAGTTTAAGGGCTACAATTTTAGCAATATTTAAGAAAAATTTCTGACAATGAATACAGAGCTGTGTCATTAAGTACAGTACTGATCAATAGCTTTTATTAAGGGAAAGGCTGAGATTTCTGGGTTTCTGACTCTGGGTACACCAGCCACCACACGTAAAGTTTGTGGATATGTTCACTGTTTCCTGCATATGTAGTTGGGGAAAGCGCAGTGTTGGTTGTCCATCCTCTCAAAAAGGTTGAAGTACTTTCATTTTGTTGATGACTATCTCAGCATTGTGAATACGCTGTGTGTTAAACGTTCTCTTATTAGGTTTTACTTTGTAATATAATAATACTTGCATTTGATATAGCGCCTTATCACGTCGTTGAGACGTCTCAAAGCGCTTCATTGAATATACTGTAAAGTGAATTAATTGTATATTCTGTTGGCAAAACACAGCCAATTGCGTACAGCAGTGTCACACAAACACAGTAATTATTGTCATGGATAGAGTGACCAAGTATTTTTCTTGGATTTAGGCTGAAAGGAGCAAAAAACAAACCTATTGTTTCAAAAGGACATGTTGCAACATTGTAAATTATTATTTATTGTATTTTTGTCAATAACAAAGTTGCTATTGAAATCACTTGGAATGCTTTAAATGGCAAATGTTCTGTAACAGAACATGTTCAAGTAACAGAATTTATCAGTATTATTCAATACAGCGGGATTACAATTTACAATCATTTTGCTAAAACATTTGCAAATGCATATTAACCATTCCACATTGCTTAAGTTGAGAAGAAACAAAAGTTCACATTGGAATATGGGAAATTTCCTTTATTTTAATGGATGAATATGCCTAAACCAGTTACATCTTTTCTGTTGTTGGATATGGTTTAAAAAAAGAGAGAACGCTCATCAAAAAATGGATATATTTAAATGATTAACACGTTATTTGTAGATTTATTATAGTGTACAATGTAGCTCTGCAATGAAGTGATATGACGAGGATCTCACTATCGTTTATCAAATCCATACGGTTATGTACATGGAAACTTGTGCCATGTTGTTGAGATGCCTGGATAGTCGCATTAATTGGCAAAGAAAGTGAATGTGTATCCAGATGTGCTGGATTTGTATTGCTTTTAACTTTGGGACTTGTTGTAGTAGTACCATAAACTGTGCAATATTGCCCTCTTGTGTTCATAACAAAGTTCCACATGGAAACATCAACACATCATGTAAAATACAGTAACTTATTTTATCCAGTGAGCCTCTGGCACATGCTCTTCTCAAGTGTGTTAATTCATTCTGGTCCATCTATGGCCATATTGTCCCAATATTCCATCACATTAATACAATCACCACATCAGCAATTATTGTGCAAGATTAGTTTAAAAATATTCTATGCATTTAATTTTGGGGATGGATGCTCTCTGAAGATGATGAGCGCACAATTATGTTTAATTTATGATCATTTTGCAAATTCAGTACTAAAATTTTACAGTTCGTCAATTACGGGAGAGCACATCTTAATTCTGAAAATATTACTGCATTCTTCAGTAGACTGTGAGTAACGTTAGCAAATCTGTTCTAAATACATGCAGCAACCAACAGGATCACACTGCAGTCATCTCAGATTCTGCAGTGATTCCACGGTTATGTTTTATGCAGTGGTTGACCTCTTTATATATTTTTAAAATATGTTCTCTGGCCAACCCAAATTAAATCACTTTAGGATTTTGCGAGAGCCATGGATTCAGAGAAATATTGGTGGAGCTGATTCTTTATTACTGGATGCCATAAACCTCACTTAACACTGTGAATGTTATGCAGAAAATTATGGAAGCGATTACAAGGCAAGAATCTAATTGACTGGTTCAAATGTTACAGCCTGTTCCAACTCGCTTCTGTGATTTTCTCAGTCATTTGACGTATGTGATTAAATGACTGCTTGTACTAGCCGCAGGTATCTGCTGTACGCACATTATAATTAATTTTTAGGTCATTTTGTCTTCCTCACAGCTTGAACTGCAGATGTCAAACAGCAATATGAATGAATAAGATGTCAATACTTCATATTTATTAATTCATATTTGCATTGAACCAATTTATACGGTACCAGCAAAATGCAATGTTTTACTTTGTGCCTTTCCCTTTTTTATTATACATAATAATCCTTGCATTTGATATGGCGGTTTATCATGTCATCCAACCTTCTCAAAGCAAGATGTTACTGAGATTATTGTGAAATGTCGTGACAGTGTATTTATAGGTAAATCCAGGAATATTTTCAATTTATGTTTTAACATTAATAAACTATTCTTTCCAGTGAGTTGGCAAATCTTTTAAGAATATGAATCCATATTAAATAATATACTTACCACAACTTTTAATTTTTCCACAGTTGCTAAATCCAAATTTTATTCATGAAGGTAAGACATCTTTCACTAGAAATACAATGTTAGAATTTCTCACGAGTTGTCAGTTTATAACAAAAGATTTCTAAGTAGTTTGACAATAATTTCTAATCTTATTGTTATATATAATTTTATTTCTGTTTTTTCTTTCCCATAGTTCCACCTGAATTTCTTATTCCCCTGGGAGATTTAACGTGTGCAATAGGAGAAACTGTCATATTACGTTGCAAAGTGTGTGGGCGACCAAAACCTACCATTAGCTGGAAAGGTCCAGATCAGAATGTCCTCATCAATGACAGCCGCTACTCAATATCATTCAGGTAATAGTGAAAGGTGTAGCACTGGAACTCTGTGCTGTCATCATATTATAAATCAGTTGTATAGGTCCCACCGCTGGCATAAAATTCTCTTTCTATAGCTCACAGGCCATACAAACATTAGTGTCTTATGCACCAGATAAAATATTTATATTTTAATTCTTTATGAACAAAAATACCCGGATTTACCATGTGTTGTGATTAGAAGTTAATCTTGCTATATGGGAACATTTGTTACATTGGTCCTGTTTGGCCAACTTGATGTGCTGTAGATTCACAGGCCAGACTCACTCCTTGCAATGTAAGTGATGCCAGCAGGGGATTAGACACCAGCTACCTTGCCACAGGAATTCAGAAAGCATGAGGCATCCCAGCTGATCTTGGTAACTCGTAGCAGATCAAAGAGAGACATGGGATGTGTTCTTTCAGCAGGTTAATTATTGCCAATTTGGCTCCAAAGGATTGAGACAAGCAAACAGGAAGAGGGGGAAAGAGTTTGAAATATTTGGACAAAAATATTGTTGGGTGTAAAACATGTTGGGTTTAACGCGCAATAAAAGTTCCTGAAATAATGTGGCTTATTTTTAGAAACTGTTCTGTTTTTCTTTCATGAAGGAAATAATGTGTTATTAATTTCTAGCGACTCAGGCGAGATCATGCTTAAAATCTGTAACATCATGCCACAGGACAGTGGGATTTACAGCTGTCTGGCAGTAAATGAGACCGGATCAGCATCGTCTTCAGCTACAATCAAAGTGCAGGGTAACTAAATGCCTCCAAATGACCCAATTGTTAACAAATAGTCTTATGAATACCTTCTTTGTTTTCTTCCAGATCTCTGTCTCCTTTCTGAGTCTCTGCTCTACTATTGTTGACTCTGAATCAGGAGTCAGACTGCGGCACTGTTAAGCGTTCCGGGATGCTACCCGGCTTGAAGGGTGCTATATAAATGCAAGTTGATGTTAATTGGGATAGTGAGCTGAACTACTCAAATGTTCTGCCAGTGTCATGGATTGAGCGTCAAATTTTTGTTAAAAAAGGAATTATTAACCCCAGAAAGTGATCCGCCAATCGACTAACAACTAGGTTCCTACTTATATAAATACAAGTTGTTATGATTAAACCCTCCTGACCCCAACCACCAGCTCAGGTGTGGATCCCTGACTGTGTAGCTCCTTGGGACGTCATCCTGATGTGAAAGGCACTATACAAATATAACTTGTTGATACGGTTTCTGGTTCTCAGGTGTGCCAGCAGCACCAGGTCGCCCTTTAGCCCAGGAGAGAAGCAGCAGCTCAGTCATTCTCAGGTGGCTGCCTCCAGCCAGCACAGGAAACTGCACCATCTCCAGCTACACTGTCCAATACAGGGAAGAAGGTACGATCTGTAAACACAGTGCATTTTAAGTGCTGAGTGTTAACTCTGTTAATGATATTGTATTGATAAATTAAACAATTTGTGAAGCTGATCTCTCACTCAGTAGTGGGCAAATACACATTATCTCAAAGTGTATTTAGGCATTGTGGGTTTTGGTGTAAATGAGCTTGATCAAACCAGAATACTGGTACCAAGGAATTGAAATACTCTCTTTTAGTAAATAGTTCTTGAAAGTTTTAACTCCTTACTGTAGTTTAAACATTGCATTCCATTAATGTACTAAAGATAGAACTAACAATTAACTTGCATCTGTTCGTAGACTATTATGGTAGATATTCTGGTAGATAAAGTCAGTAGCTTATTCTGTAAATGACTACATTTGGCTTGTTAGCTTTGAATATCTCACGATTGTTTTTAATTGAAAACTTGCACTGAAATGAAAACAAATGTTGAGTCTTTCAATATTTAGGATCACTGTCATGGCAGCAATCTGTAGCATCCACTTTGGACACCTACCTTGTGATTGAGGACCTGATTCCAGGCTGTCAGTACCAGTTCCGCGTCAGTGCAAGTAACCCCTGGGGAATCAGCTCACCGAGTGAGCCATCTGATTTTGTTACACTCTCTTGTAGCAACGGTAAGTGTAGCTGAGTTCCAGTAACCCAAATACTATAAAAAAAGGTCAAAGAGTAATTGTAAACCGGAGCAATTATGAACTTTATAATTTAAGAAACTCATTTTTGCTTTACAATATGCTTTCAAATGTAACTGAAGTAAGGAAAAATCTATTATTATTGTTTGTGAAAAAAATTATACTGACTCGATTAATTATGACTCAGAATTTGCTCTGTGTTGAAGCTGCTTCTAATTGCCTTTAATGTCTGTTCAGACTCAACAACTGATGATTCAAGAATACCATGGAAGGATAACTTTGAATCTGCTTACATCGAGCTATTCGAAATTGGAAGGTATTGCAATGCACATAGTTAAAGTGAAGCGGCATTCACTTTATTTTCTTACTGAAAACGTTTTCTTTTCATTTCCCTTTTGTTTTGATGTACAATCGCATGGTACACTAATACAATAGGAACATCCTGTCTATAATAATATCAATAATCATCCACAAGGTATAATTGGCGTGATTTTCAGATGTCTGTACTTTCCTAATAAGCGCCCCTGGGCCAGGTTGCAGTAAACCCGATTCCGAATTCACTTGAGTCAAATTGGTCTATTTGATATAAAGGTCCAATTGCTGCAATTCAAGTTGATTCCTCAATCCATAGAATCGGTACCCTCTCGTTTACTTGGCATATTTCACAAGAGAATTTTGCATGGAGAAGGCCCTTAAGCCCATTTGATTTCATCCTTCCAAAGCACCAACCCTACCACCTCCCATCGCAGTATCAAGCTGATTTTCAAATCCAGTGTGTTGTTACTTCGTTATAGTTGCAAGTTTAGGTTCTGTGTTAGTATACTGAAAATACTATACATTGTATAAACTGTAAGTTCTTCATCAGTATGCTGAAGTCACCAAACACCAATACGAAATCATGTATATTTTCACAATAAATACATGATACAAATGTCAAACACCCAACTCTTAACCTAGACTCCTAGTGGAGTCCTGTAGCTCAGTGGTTAGAGCACTCGCTTTGCAAGCGAGAGACCTGAGTTCAATTCCAGGCAGAGGGCGAAACCTTGGGCAAGTTTCCTTACTCCACACAGAGCCTAATAATAATCCCTCCAAAACCAAAACAATAATAAATTGGTCATTTTCAATCTACGACTGTTTGTGGGACATTGCTGTGCGCAATTGGCTGCCGCGTTCGCCCACAAATATGCAGTCAATTCACTTTACAGTGTGTTCTGTGAAGCGCTTTGGGACGTCCTCCTGACGTGAAAAGCGCTATATCAAATGCAAGGATTATTATTATTATTATTAGACGCTAATCACACCCAAATTATGAAGAGAATACTTTGCCACGATATTTGTGAATTATACAATTGCAAAGACTTGATGTGTGTCGTATGTTTTTATTGAATGCTGTTGTTCTGCATTGCAGGGGCCGCTTCTCTGTTGTGAAGAAGTGCACCCAAAGATCAACCAAGAGGGAGGTGGCTGTCAAGTTCATCAGCAAGAGAATGAAAAAAAAGGATCAAGTAGCTCATGAAGCAGCAATGTTACTGAACCTTCAGCACCCACAGTTCCCCACAATATATGATACATACGAACTACCTACCACCTATATCTTAGTGCTTGAACTGTAAGGCTCAATTTTGCTTCCCCCCAAGCTAGTCAATATTTTGTCTTGACACAGAAGTAATGCTTTTCGCATGCTTGCTATCTAACCAGATTTAATCTGTTTTTTCTGCCTCTATCAGCTTAGTGTACATATTTAAGATAACTCACTATGTCCTTTGAATTCCATGTTTGAGGGTTCATCCTTTTTCTCTTGCTTGAAGCTTAGAGAATGGTCGCCTACTAGAATTTCTGGTAAATCAAGGGGAACATTTGGAGGAAAGAGTTGCTTTTTACATCCGGGATACACTGGAAGCTCTTCAGTATCTGCACAATTGCCGGGTTGCTCATTTGGACTTGAAGGTAAGACTGAAACTAAATTATCACTTGTTTCAGGAATTCAGTTACTGGATTTAGACCTGAATCTTGTAGGAAATTGCTGGATAGAGTATTCAGAATTACATTGAAATTAATTCCAAATTCTTATTCTTCTGTTGAATATTTATATATATATTGTGAAATTCTATAATTGTACAAATGTTCATAAAATGTTGTAAGATGTTTATGGTACTGTTTAGTGTTAAAGTCATAAGTTTGCCTTCTTTCTTAGTGTAATGTCTATTTGCATAAGAACAAGTAAATAATTTAAGATAGTTCTTTGATTCAAGCAGGATTTAATGCAAAGTTTTTGCTATTGTGATCTTTCCTGACCCTGTCTACATAATTCCTACCATCAAGCAATTTTAATGGCACTTGATTTCAATATAGCTTCTTTTCATTTAATTGAAAAAAAACATTCTTTGGTGCAGAAAAAAACATTGGAAAAGTCCTGAGAGTAACTTTCCTGTTTATGCTATCAGCTAGGAAATAGAGCGTAGCTTAAATGAAGAGAAAGATATTTTTGCATGGTGTGTGGGGCGGAGGGGAGGGAAGAAAACCTTATGGCATGCTTGAATTGATGAATCACTGATGAACAGCGCTGGTTTCATTGAGCCACAAATCAATAATAAGGATTCACACTGCCCTGAGTGAAGTGCACACACAGCGTTTCAGGTTTATTCATTGATTTCTCAACAGCCAGAAAACCTGCTGATTGATCTCCACACACCCGTGCCACGTGTCAAGCTCATAGATTTGGGGGACGCTGTTCAGATCACAACCCATTATTATGTCCATCAATTGCTGGGAAATCCTGAATTTGCAGCTCCTGAAGTTATCCAAGGATCCCCCGTTTCACTGAGCACAGACATTTGGAGTGTTGGAGTCCTGACTTATGTCATGTTAAGTGGCGTGTCCCCTTTCCTGGATGAGAGTATAGAGGAAACTTGTCTGAATATTTGTCGACTGGATTTTAGTTTCCCCGATCAATATTTTCAGGGAGTCAGTGACGTTGCAAGAGACTTAATAAGAGCTTTGCTTCAGGGAGACTTCCGATGGAGACCCACAGCTGCCACTTGTTTGCAGAACCCTTGGCTCCATCCTCACAATGACAGCTACTCCAGAACTCCACTGGATACCTCAAGATTGGCTCTGTTTATCGAGCGACGTAGACATCAGAATGACGTGCGTCCTGTCAGTAACTTGAAGACCTACTTACCAAGAAATCTAGGATCAAGGATGTGAAACTTCAGATGGATGGTTTACATCGGTGCCCTGTACTCATTGAGTTACTAACGTGCTAAACAGACAATGTACTGGTATCAGTTGCTGGTGTAGTGAGACTGAGCACAATTAGAATAGATTTAAATTGGTGTACATCATTCTAGAATATTTTTGAAGCACCATCTTCAAAGGCTTTCCGCAGAAAATTTAAATCTTTTAAATTTCTGAGTGATGATATGCAGTTTAACCCATTGAGCACTGAAATATGTTTGTAGCTGTGAAATATAGGTTTGTATTGTGTATAGCGTGTGCAAATTTGAATCCCGGAAAATTCTGCAATGAATCCCGAAAGGTGTTAGGCAAAAAAATGTACAGAATGATGAGTACAGTATTTTCTGAACAAAGCACATTGAATGATAGCCCTATTAGATTTAGCATATAATGATGAAGCAATGTTGCCATAGTTCGCTAAAGGTTAACTGGCCTATCTGTGCTCCCCTGAAATAGCATTAAACACACAAATTATATCACAAAGGCATTAGTTGGTATTGATGTACAATTACATGGGTGCTAGTTCCTATCTCTTCACAGATCATTTTTCCTGCATTTAGTGGAAAAAATCATGCACAAGATTAACCCTGTCCATATGCAACATCCATTATTATTATTATTATATTATCTGTATACTTTCCTGAAGGAGTCACTAGAAGGGAATTAGGAATGGGAAGTTATATTACTCCTAACACAACCCCAATTGAGATCAGCAAACTCATCACAGACCAGAGATCAAACCTGGGACATTTCCTAATCTGTATGTTTCATTATTGAACCAGATGCATCCAATCCACACGCACAATTAAACCTACAAAATTTCCTTTGGGATCTAATTAAGGGGATATTAAAAATCAGGCTTACCACATGAGCCTACTGGCATTTTCTAAAACTTGTGTTTATATATTTAAAATCACTCATGTCAAGATGAGAACAGATTTGAATGCCTAGTGCATTTAATTAGACTTTATAATGGCCTTTGTTTACAAAAAGATTTTTTTTCTTTTTCAAGTCTTACACTCTTCAATAAAATGTCAATATTTTGTTTAATCCAAATGCCTTTCAGAAATTAGTCTTTTTCAATTTTTCAAGAAACTATCAAATTCCCTCTTGAATCTGCTGATTAGGAATTTTGTTTTTAAGACACTGTACCATTCTTCTTCCTGTCTTCTATTGTTTTCGAACCAAATGACTTTCAGTAACATTGTGCTGATACAAAAACTTGGATTTATATAGCACCCTTCACGCAGAGTAGCGGCCCAGAGCACTTACAAGGATGGAGCTGACTCCTGCCTCATTATTATTATTCTTTCCTTTGGCCAAAGTTACTATTCAACATTGTGAATGGACTCAAATGTGTCACTGGCGCATAAGGTAAATTTTAGTTTTGTATGTTTTTATTCTACCTTATTTATGTCTTCAAAAGGCATTTTGGTATCTTGAACTGTATTCTTTATATAAAGTTAGGATTTAGTTTACTACAGAAGTATTTTGTTCAGATCAAATCACACCATGCACCAGTTAAAACATATCTTTGGCGAACAAATCAATCATAATCCAGAAACCACATTTGTCCCATACTTAGAGCAATGAACACGATGGGTCTGATTCCTTCTTTACATTGTGAAGGAAATTAGGTGAATTATTAAGCATAATATCTTAACTATTTGTTGGAGTATTATCCATTACAACATATGTATATGAGCTTAATTCCTACCACAAAAGTAACCAATTAAATCGGTGGATGACAGACTTCAGAGATACACTCTGATGAATCCTACAGTGTACACAAAAAAGTGTAGTTTGCAACCTAGTCTTGTAAGAATAGGAAATATTTCTACTGTTGAGTCGTAATTGATCAACAGCTTTGAGAAGATGAAAGCTTACTATCGAGAATCGTACCTGAAAGACCAATCAGTAATTACACCAACTACGGGTCAAATGAAACTAATGCAACAAATCATATCTGCTATACAATGAACATTAAGATGTTACAATAATCGTGACACAAGCATTTATAACGTGCGACTTTTATAGGATGTACTATCAACGAAAATGGTTCATATGTGTAAAATCACTTATTGTATATCAAAGATATGTTTTTTTTGTAAATGTTGCTTTTTAATTAAATGACTGTCAGAAAATAATCTTTCGAGAGGTGTAGAGTTTAACTACCATATTAATCATCTTGTTCCCTGTCAGAGGGAGGTACACATCTCTTTGGAAGATTATCACTGATGGTGGATTTAAGATGAGAATGATACCATTCATACAAGCCATTTGTTTTAAATTGAATGCAATTTGAATTATTCGTAAAAGTGATTTGTGATTCAACCACATGACCAAATCGTTGCATGGTACGGGTCAGCCAATAAGATTACACAATGTTTCATATACTGGGTAATTCAATTTAACGCAGAAGAGAGTTATTGACCAGTAAATTATTAAACTTAATATAACACAATGAAAACACTAAACACAAAATACATGAAGCTGAAAATACCATATGTCTGTGTGTCATGTAGCTGTCTAATTCTCTCTTGAATCTGCTGACACAATCTGCCTGCATTCCTCCCTGGATAGTTTATTTCACGTAAAATGATTACTATAATCTTAAATTGTGTGTTTCCTCTTCTGGTGTGATTTTTATTGTAAATGATGGAAAATGTATATGTCTACTTTGTGCTGGAACTCTGGCACACTGTGCAGTGGGGCATTGTACTGTTATAAAGAGGCACTGAGCAGAGAACAGATTGAATGTATGAGTAGAGAAAACTCACAAACATTGGTGTTGGGAGTTGAGTGCTAACATGATTGAGGAGCCAAGTCCCAAGATAAGAATTAGTTATTTTTGAAACCTTCATGAATAAAATCTGCAGGAATCAGTAATGCATCAACACACTACACCTTTATAGAGGATTTGTTTTGTTTGCAACTTTCACAATCATATTACAAATCTGACTAAAACTAAACTTGACAGGCTCATTTTCAGATATATTAAAGCAACTTTTTTTCCCAGCAACTGTTTTTATTATGGTTTGTTTAATAGGTTGTCTAATCCTATGTGCTGACCTGTAACCTCCTGATAGTGGTATGTAATGTGGCACACATTTTAAAATACTATGTGAGCAGAATTCTTTCTTGTTATGAATCAAGAGAAATCGTTTGTTTAAGATTTATTTTGCTTGTGTGCTATGATGTGACTTTTAGGATTGAGGTACTCATTTCATTTTAAATATTTACATTTAATTTTATATTGTAATAACTTAAAAACAAATAGGTGCATATATAATTGCAATAACTTATTTTGCAAACATTTCATTAATATATTTTTAAAGTCATCAGAATTACGAGTGTGACCCCACACAAGATTGTACTTGAGAACAACGAATACACGGTTTGTAGAGTGTTATTTTAACAAATGTGTGCAATGTTGTCAGGTTTAGTGTACGAAAGTGCTGCTTATGTTAGCTGATTTTTGTCTTCGAGACTTGTTACCTTTATCTGCTTAATATGTATCACATTTCTGCAAAAGGTAATCCTATCCTGTACAGTTAGTGCTAGTAAGTGACCAGATCAAACAGAGCATTTCTAAAGCCAACTTTTTAAGCAGTAATGGCTTATTTTTACACAATAGTATTAAATAAGGGTACATACAGCTTTAAAGCCTTAAGGTATATCAATTCCTTGCCTCAGCAACTATTCCATATCAGCCTTTTTTTTATTAGTCATTAAGCTTTGATGCAAATGTCTTTTTTTATTCAGTGTTATATAAAGTCTGCATATGCTGTACATATTCCATTTTTTTAATAATTTACGGAAATAAAATATGTTGTCATTTTTGGAAAGCAGGACATTTTGTAGGAAACGCTACATTTTCTTTGTACTCGTTAAAAGGCTAATGAGCTGTGTATATGCTTATTATATAAATTTTAAACTGCATGCACAACATCCTGTATACTCAATATATTACACAAAATAGCTTGAGCCCCACATAAAAATCACAAGCTTTGGTTATTCATGTTTGCAACAATCCAAAATGGGCCTTTACTGTTTCACATGTGCTGGCTGTTTGCTATTGAATATTTAATACATTAAATGCTTGGTTTCTAAATATATCTGTCCCTTTCTTTCATTTACTAAGCCAAATTTAGTATTGAAGTGGAAAACATGTTTAATACAGTATTAAAGGTGGGTTTCATCTAAATCTTTCCAGGGTGTTTGTGTGGAATCACCTTATTTGCTTAAATTAGCTTGATGTTTAAAAATAATCCTTGCATTGAGAAGAAAGTCTCAAGGGGCTTTGCAGGATTTACTGCAAAACATAGACTGCATATTTTGAAGGTGAACATGGCAGCCAGAGCAGTGTGTTTCTTTTTCTCTGTTATCACATCAATATATCTGCTACCCTTTTCAGTAAAACACAACCTTTTCATTCTGTCAACTCTATTTTAAAAGCCCGTGCACCAAGCTTTAACATACTAAAAGTTCAGTCCTCTCTTATGCATACAAAACTGCAACATTACAACTAATCTTATATAACCTCGTAATCATCCCCAAGGTGTATAGTCACTGCCTCATTAAAAAAAATCAAATTCCATACTTAAACAAAATGAATGGGCTGCGCTGCGCACCGTGCACAAAATTTGCTTGATAATCTTGAGGTCTGCCACAGACATTAAATGGGTTGACCAATTAATTGTAGTGCGGCACTTTGTGAATAGCATTATTCATATTAAATTATTTATGGCACTAAGCATTCTTGCTCAACTCCTTGGTATTTGCTTGCATTCCTATCTGAGGCTGACCTTAGCGCAATCAGCAAACGGCTCCTGACGACCTTGGAACATGCTCATTTAGACAGCGTCAAGCCCCACGGGAGATTTGGTTTGTGAGGTCAATTTCAGACGGGCTAACTTCCCGTGTGAGCGCCTTATTTTCAACAGCCGAGTTATGTTGCTTACCAAAATATTTTCTAAAAATCTGCAGGTATTTTTTCCAGCAAATGTCACGACCCGGACTAAAAAAAATACCGCATGCTTTGCGGTTTTGTGACACGTCCTGCCTGCAATAATCCTTGGTTTACTTTCACATCCAAAACGAGACTCTTTATTAATTCGGGCAGCGTCATCCGCAAGGACTTTGATGTAAAATAATGAGCGCACCATTTACCGAATCATTCGCACCAACTGTCCCGTCCGTCTGCTTTCGCGCGATAAACGGGTTATTTCCAGACTCATCGAGTCCTGAATGTTAATAGGAGATAAAACAGCGGTAATGAATGTTCCGGCGCGTTTTAACCGGAATAAGAGGACGAGGCTGACTGGAGCGGCCCTGATCGACAGTGGTTCGGGGAGGACCAGTTTGCAGGGCTACGGGACGGGGGAGGGCGCGGGGGAGTGTGGGGGGGATTGACTCGGGCGGCTCTCCTTCGAAGAGCCGAACCGCCTCCTTCTGCGCTGTATTAACTCTACGGTGATCGTTTGCTTTTAACCAGCTCGACATTTTAGGGGAAATGAAGCGCGACTTGCCTTAAAAGAAGGAAGTCTTCACGGGATTGACCGCGAAACTTTACTGTAGTGACTGTGAGTGTGTGTACATATATATATATATATACATATATTGTCGCTGAACCTGGCAGCCGATTTGACACGGGGCGCAATGCGTGTCTTATTCGCCGACTAACCACCGAGAATATGTTTTTAAAACCGTCAGTCCGGTCGGGTCGGGTTTACTTACACGGCGAGGGGCGTATTTGAGGAGAGAGAAAGAACCAGGAGAGGGATATTTTTTCCCCTCACACACAAAAAAAAGAGACCCCAAACGTTGGGTTAACATTTGTTGTCCTGGGTCATCCCACACGGGTTCAGAAATTAACCCCCTCCCGTGTCGGGTCGGTCATTTCATTCGTTCGCTGACAAATTGCGGACCGTTTTGCTTGGGGAGATAAAGAGGTCGGTCGTTCGGTCGGTCGGTCGGTGCGAGAGCGCCTCCCGCCCGGGGAAGCCTGGACTGGTGGGATTCAAATCGGGGGTGACGGTTGGGCGTTTAAACGGGGGAGGGGCCAGCGCGCGGCTCAGCTCTCAGGGCTCAGAGAGGCGCGACGCAACGGCAAAACCCGCCCCGCCCCCTTTTGGTGGTGGGGGGGTGGAGGGGGCGGGGCCTCTGGGGCGGGCGGCTCGCGCGCTGCCGGGTTGGGCGTTTAAAACACAGGAGGAGGAGGAGGAGGAGCAGCAGCTGGAGGGGGCGGGGCCAGCGCGCGGCTCCGGGCTCAAGGGCTCAGGTCTCGGAGAAGGCGCGACACGACAGCCAAACCCCTCCCCTCTCCATTTGGGCGTGAAACCCCACCCCCTTCCCCAGGGGGCGGGCGGCTCGCGCGCTGCCGGCTGACGGTTGGCCGTTTAAACAGGAGCTCTCTCGCGCGCGTGCGCGCGCGCGGGGCTCGGGTTGAGAGGCGCAGGCGCACAGTGCCAGCTCCAGCTCCTCCCCCTCCCTCCCCTCCTCCCTCCCTCCTCCCCGCCATGGACGCGCTGGAGACGCTGGTGTGTCGCCTGCACCAGGTTCAGGCCGTCAAGTTCGGCAGCTTCGTGTTGAAGAGCGGAATATCGTCGCCCATCTACTTCGACCTGCGGGTTATCGTGTCGTATCCGGATTTGATGAACCAGGTAGCGGCGGCGGCCCTCACCGGGGGCACGTGGCCCGCGGGCCGCTCAGGCCCGGTGTGGTGGTGGTGGTGGGAGGGGAGGGGGGGGCGCCCGGTCAGATTGGGCGGGTTTCGCCCTGGAAAGCAACGTATGGTATTGGGCTACCTCTGGGCTATTATTTGCCGGGCTTTGGGCTACAAAGTGCTCAGCTTTGGGCTACAAAGTGCTCAGCTTTGGGCTACAAAGTGCTCAGCTTTGGGCTACAAAGTGCTCAGCTTTGGGCTACAAAGTGCTCAGCTTTGGGCTACAAAGTGCTCAGCTTTGGGCTACAAAGTGCTCCGACCCAACGTTGACGAAAGACCGCCGCACAGAGTTCACGAGTTCGTGTCAAACTCGGGCGGAATCTCAACTCCTGACCGGGAACCTCGGGCGGGTACCCACGACGATTTGAACCCTTTTGGCCCCTCCTCGGGTGGGTCTCCGCGGGGCCGCGCCGCGGAGCGGAGTGACCGCAGCAGCCGGTTGCGCCCCGGCGGCCGATGCCCGGCCGGGCAGCTTCGCCGGGTTGGGACGGGCGCGAGTATTTCGGGGGAAAAAGCCCCCGAAGCGCTCGGCGAGTTTGCCGCTGATTTCCCTTTCTCTCTCTCTCTCTCTCTCTCTCGCAGGTTTCGGACGTCCTGTGGCAGGTCGCCAAAAAGGCCGGGGTCAAGTGCGACTCTGTCTGTGGGGTTCCCTACACAGCTTTGCCTCTGGCCACCATTATTTCTTCATCCACCGGGATCCCGATGCTCATTCGGAGAAAGGAAGCGAAGGATTACGGTACGTCGCGAACGGCCGCTTGGGGTCCGCCTACCCAGGCGGACGTCACTCGCGCTGGCTGCAAAGGGAAGGGAATTTCAATCGGCGTCCACGGCCCAACAAATAAGAAAACATAGTTCGCGGTTGTTGACGAGACAAGAATGAGCTATTTGGGATATTTCCTTTTCCTTTCAACATCCTTTTGCTATTCAGATATTCAGAGCTCGTTCCTGTAAATTGTAATTCTGCACGACTCGACGACATTCGTCCAAAGCATTCTCGTTTACAATCGCAGGTACAAAGCGCCTGGTGGAAGGTGCCATCACTCCGGGAGAAACGTGTCTTATTATCGAGGATGTGGTCACGAGCGGGTTGAGTGTCTTGGAAACTGCAGACGTTCTTCATAAGGAAGGACTGTACGTCACTGATGCGGTGGTGCTGATGGATCGGGAGCAGGGAGGAAGGGCTAAGCTAGAGGAGGAAGGAATACGTTTGCACTCATTTTGCTCGTTGTACAAATTACTAGATATTCTACACAGCCATGGAAAAATTGATTCTGAAATAGTAGAAAATGTCAAAGCATTCATAAGGGAAAACAACACCTATCAGCCAACAAATCATAAATTGAAGAGTATCTCAACAAAGCAACCTGAAAAAGAGCCTGATTCACGACCTGCAAAGAGACACAATAAGCCAGTTAGCTACAGTGACCGAGCACAGCTTCTTGATGTCCACCCAGTCACAGCAAAACTCTTTAAGATCATGGAAAGGAAGCAGACAAATTTGTGCTTGTCTGCTGATGTCACAGACTCAAAAGAACTATTGCAGCTGGCTGATTCACTGGGTAGTGAAATCTGTGTGTTGAAGACCCACATTGATATCCTTGACAATTTTGAACCATGTGTGATCAAGGAACTCCGAGCAATTGCTGATAAGCATGAGTTTTTGATATTTGAAGATCGAAAGTTTGCCGACATTGGGAATACAGTCAAACATCAGTATGAAGGTAATTATACTGTGAAAATAAAAGGCTATAATGATTGCTATTCAGAGGATGGGAGGTTAGTTGATGCCTAATAGTGTTTACAAGACAATGTAATTAAGGTATTCAGATAACGTCCTGTTTATTTTATAAGCTGGGACTCTTTCCCTTAATAAGCTTTCCCTTGCACAGAAACAGCATTAGAGTCTCCAGTAATTTAACTAGCAGTGGAATTCTAGTAAGTCTTTGAACACTTGGCAATATCATTGCCGATCATTTAAATATTCAATTCATCGACTGAAATGTTACTGAATACTGACCTGTATCAGAAACTTTGACTGATTCTGTAAGAATATGATCAAATAAACTGGATGACCTTTGATGTCCAAACCTTGCGATTTCCCTCACCCCATTTAGCACAGGGACACTAAGGCTAACTGTAACAGCTAAACTTTCGCCCTGACCGAGATTAACTCTTCAAATCTATGACCTTCTGTTTTGATGTCTTATTACATTAGGAGCTTTCTGTATACCCACTAGGCCATAAGGGAAGCTGGGAACTGCCAGTTTAAAAAAGTTTTTTAGGAATTGATTAGAGTTTGTGAAATGTTTTAATGTTCTATAATGGTAGTAGAACCACAATGGACTTCTAGAGATGCTGGTAAGTTTGCATTAAAGCAACATTCATTTGCAAGTTTAGTCATAATGAAGTGGCACTTACTGACACTTGGCTTTTTTTTCTTATTCCTTAGGTGGGATATACAAAATTGCTTCATGGTCAGATGTTGTGAATGCCCATGTGGTCCCTGGCCCTGGAGTGGTGAAAGGATTAAAAGAAGTTGGGCTGCCTTTGAACCGGGCCTGTTTACTGATTGCCGAAATGAGCTCCCAGGGTTCCTTAGCCACCGGGGACTACACCAAAGCAGCTGTAAATCATTATTTGTCACTTTTGGTGTATCAATAAAAGTAAAATATTGCTATGACCTCAGCAACCAAATGGAGCTGAGATAATCTGGAGTTGTAACTTCTAACTTTGGATCTTTCCTTTATTTTAGGTGAAAATGGCTGAGGACCACTCCGACTTTGTTATTGGGTTTATTTCCAGCTCAAATGTGAGCAGCAGCCAAAAGTTTATACACATGACACCTGGAGTCCAGATGCAGGCTGGAGGCAAGGCCAAGACCTTTCTTAAATCTAGTACTATATGTTATAGGTAGAGAGCAAAGAATTCTTAATGTAATGAATCGATGATTCTTTTTTAAAAAAAGCAGTATGCTAGAAGCTAAATATTGAAGTACTTTATACTCTAGTGGGTCTTTTCAGTTGGGAGTCCTAACATGGTAGATCTCAGGGAGGCTGCTTTTGGATCAGAACAAATAGAAATGTGTCCTCTTTACATTGAAGGTATCTTATCCTCCTTCTACAATATTGAAAGTCAGCAGGTTTAGTTCAAACATATTGTCAATTGATTGATGTTTAAAATACATTATTGTAGCCATATCATGTCCAGGATAATTTGTAACAAGTTTTGTCTCCTATTTTTTTCACAGGAGATAAACTAGGACAACAGTATCTGAGCCCCGAGCAAGTGATTAATAAGAAGGATTCAGATATAATCATCGTGGGCCGAGGAATCCTGTCAGCAAAGGATCGTTTAGAAGCAGCAAGAATGTATAAGACGGCTGGGTGGGAAGCCTACCTGAGCAAGCTGTCATGTTTTGGCAACTGAAAGATGAATAGAAATTCAGGAATTTTGTGTCCAAACTCATTTTGTACTCATTTCATTGGCACTCTCATTGTAATTTACTAGAATGGTTGAATTGGAAAATATAAGATGTCAATTGTGTACCAATTATTTCACCTAAACAACCCCAATGACACCTCAACTCAATTTGTGATTGCATTATAAACCTTAAAAAGCTGCATAAATTGCAGGATATTGAAGTAAATGTCATTGCGTAGCAAGCTTGTACATGGAGCAACAACACTCAGTACAATTGCAGATGTAAAGATTGTCTGATTTTTATTACGTGAACTTTCCAATAAAAATAGTTGTACTTGTAGATCAAAGGTCTTTCAGAACAAATAAATTGCAGTGCCAATTTATTTCTGTCTAGTTTTCATTTCGCAAATATAATTTACAAGATGATCAACCTTCAGAGTAATTAGATTTGAGGTTATTTCATGTGAAGAATCTTATATTACAGTTGTGGGATACTTCACCTCAATAAATGGTTAACGTTATCTGATTTAAACATTTCACAAAATTGCATTTAATTTAGAATTGCTCTATGTACCTGCTTCTGTGTATTTTCTTCTTCTTGTGAATCACAAATGAAGGCAGCTAAAATTCATATTTTATATTAACAATACTTTGAATTTTGTGTAATTGTAACATAAACATTTATTATTATAAACATGATGCTGTTTAAAAAGATACACCTGATATATTGTCACTCCAACGGAAAAGAGCTCAGTGACTGTATCTGGGGTGACTGTAGGCTGCTGTGGTTGGGAGGATTGACGCCAACACACAGTCACTAATAATCCTTAATAATAATAATCCTTGCATTTGATATAGCGCTTTTCACGTCGGGAGGACGTCCCAAAGCGCTTCACAGAACACACTGTAAAGTGAATTGACTGTACATTTGTGGGCGAACGCGGCAGCCAATTGCGCACAGCAATGTCCCACAAACAGTCGTAGATTGAAAATGACCAATTTTATTATTGTTTTTGGAGGAATTATTATTAGGCTCTGTGTGGAGTAAGGAAACTTGCCCAAGGTTTCGCCCTCTGCCTGGAATTGAACTCAGGTCTCTCACTTGCAAAGCGAGTGCTCTAACCACTGAGCTACAGGACTTACACTTTACAGCAAATGCCCTGTGAATCACTTTGAGCCTCTTCGCCAATGGGATAATTTGGTGTGTGAAATGCATAAATTCTTTTTTTGCTACTTGAGCACAAAAGGCAGAATAATTTTCATTTTGTTTCAGTGATCAGATATCATAATTGCAACTTCTTTATCCAGTTTTCCTCCAAAGCCTTTAGCTCCAGAAGTCCGTGGCATTCAACATGTGTTTATACGTCAACGTGTGTACTTCCACGCCATCTAGTGCACGTGTGTAAAAGCTAATTCAGCACTTGGTGTTTTTTTCCTTCCATCTAATCAATATTGAAGAAAGTTCCTTCAATAATGTATGCTTAAGGACCTTTATACCTTATTCCAATTATCATGATGATTAATTTTTTTTGGTGAAGGCTGATGAATTTTAAAACTTTTTTTTCCCCTGGGAAACAAAATCCCCTGAACTTGTTCTTGATACCCAAGTGCATTCACTCGGGCCCAGAATCACACACACTTACGTGATTCAAGGCAGGAGTGGTTTGCAGTTCTGCTTTTTGAATTTCTCTCAAATGCTCTCAAAAAATTAATTTTTTAAATATTTTCTCTCATCCACACAAAAAAAGTAATAGATCCCACCCCCCTCCCCCCCGCAACAAAAGTAAACTTTCAAATTCTCTCTTTGGGTTAAAAAGTGACTTTAATGGTCATCTGCATCTTTTAAAATGGAGCTATTCACATGCAAAATCTATTAAAGATTGCTGCAAAGAATAACATTTGGATTAAAGTGTGAAAAATATCTTAACTGATCAAGTTATTGTAATACTTGATCAGTTAAGAGAGATAATAATAACTGATCCAAGTTATACTGTAATTTCATGCACAGTGATTTTGCAAATGTAAACCTAAGGTTCTAACATTAGTTAACTTCTGAGAATACAGTTAACTAAAGAAATATAAAACTATTACTAATATTTAGTATTTTAGAGTAATCTTAAAAAAGTAATGATAATTTTTTTACCATCTTTCCAGTAAATCACATTTGTCCACAAGCACACAGTCACTCACAGTAAATCCTGTGAAGTGTTTTGGGACGTCCTCCCAACATGAAAGTGCTATATCAAAAGCAAGGATTATTATTATTATTATTATTATTTATCAAACTCATTTGAAATTCAGATGGTCATTTCATCTGAGGAATTTCGTTCAAATGGAATGTATTGGATACGTAGGTTCAGTTAACACTTTGCAGCGTTGGCAAATCAATGTACGTGATTGTACAATGTGCAACACCATTGGAATTGCAGTGTTTCTTAAAACGTTGATCTTTGGCCTGGCTCTTCCAAGTTGAGGTTTCGATTTCTTACTGCTCCTTCAGCATCCTGCTCAATATTGGCTTCAGCGTTAGCGTGCATTGCCTTTAGGGAGGACCGTTCCTCGTTGACTTTATTTCCCTTTATTTGCACAGCCATTGAGGTAAATTCAGGCGGACGCTTCCATTCCGGGTGTGTGGCAATCCACATGATGCATCCTCCGAAGATCAAAATGAAAACGCCCAGAGTATTGGCCAAAATAGCCTCCGGAGGTGATTGGGAATATGAGCGAGTGGTATTGCTCTTTGAGCGTCTAAGAGAAAATAGAAAAACCCACCATCGCAGATGTTACTGACGACAAATTATTGTTTAGGCGTTGGTCAACAATTGGGAACAAAATTCAGGTGGCTTAAAATGTGGTTACTGAGCTGTTCTCTGATAAACTACCATTTTTAGGAGCTGGAGGTAAATGAATTAACCATCTCTTGGGACTCTGTCTGACTCCTTCCATCTTTAAATCCCACCCTGAAACCTACCTCTTCAACCACATCTATGGTCACTCCCCGCTCCCCTTTTCCCTTGATCACTATCCAACCCTGGCACCGAAATGCTCCGAAACATTACCCGACATGAAGGGTGCTATATAAATGAAAATTGTTCTTTGTTGAGGAAACGATCTAGAGGGGAGAATACATGCTGTAAAGAGGAAAACACGTGAGCTCATTTTGAAAGAAATGGAAGTTGTATTTAAATGACAATACAGAAACAACCAGTTTACTTTCATTAGAAAGAGTCGAAAGATTACAAATGAGAACCTGTCACTATCAGAATATGTAGAGATGTCACTGTTAATATCAAGACTATATAGAGGTGTCACTGTTACTATCAGACGGTAGAGCGAGATAGGGAGCGAGCTATACTTACAAAGTGAAAATAAGTTTTTCAGTGATTCCCATTTCAGCTGCAACAATCACCATCCCAAAGATGAAAAGCCCAGCGAAGACATGGATTGGCAAGTAAAACTTCCTGATCCATGCAGGAGTAGCAGGCAGCAGAAAGACGCACAACCCTGTAACTATCTGTGAAGTAACAGGTTATCTCTATTATGCATTTCGCCCACAAATTCACTTTACAGTCTATTCTGCGAAGCGCTTCGAGACGTCTAAAAGATGTGAAAAGTGCGATATCAAAGGCAAGGATTATTTATTATTATATATCCTAACAGTATTCACGTGTTTTTTTTTCTCTGAAGCTTACTCCATCCTAACCAGTTTTTATTTAAATGTGGCCCTTTTGCGGCAGCAAAAAAGCAGATTCTATGAAACAGTTGAACTAATTATATTCAGAAAAGGTCTTGAAAATTTCATTTATGAATCTCACTAACAATATTACCCCACTCCTATTCATGCGTTTTTTTTTAGTTAGTAAATTATTTGGGAAATACGACAGCTCTATTTATAATTCTTCGGGTTATACAGTTAAGATGTTTTGTGAAATGGAAAGTGTACTTAGAGACATTCAGTACTGAAAGGGAGTGTTTGATGTTTTTGGATGTAACCAGAAGTATCTATGCTATTGCAGGAGGTTTCATTTGTCAAGAACATTGTGTGTAATGGAAGAAAAATATTATGATAATATTGCGACATAGTGTTAAACAGAATGTTAGCTCGTCCCATGAAAAAAAACAATCAACTTTCAAAGTAATCTACATGAGAAAGTTAACTGATTCACACGTTATATTGTTGCGGACAAGAAGAATGCACCGTAAAAAATGCATTGAATAATTTGCCAATATATATTACAAGACAGATTGGTGATTTGGCTGTACCATACCATCCTTTTGGAAGAGAATATAAGATTGAGCAGTGTTCCTGCTCTTCTGATTTCTATCTAATGATCTCTGCTGGCCTAAGATGCTCTCTGCACACATATATACTGAAATACTGTACAAATGTAAATTCTGAGACAAAGGCGTCGTTTATTTACCTGTAGAGCGTACAGAATAACAGCCGTCAGGCCGATCCAGCTGTGTAAACTGTACAGATTGGGAATGTTCTTGGCGTTATGGAAGTCGAAAACTGCCACCAGTGAAATGACCACAAGTACAAAGGCGACAATATTGAGGCCGGCATGAATGTACTTCATGTAGAGTTTACTGAATTTCCACGTCCAGGGCAACCTGTAAACAATCAGAGCTGGGGCGGAAAAGAAAACACCTGAATATTTCAAAATGGAAAATCATTACCATCTATAATGATAATGGCAGTTGTTTTCCAAATGTTGAAATGTATTCAAGTCTCAACAGTGCTCTTAAAGTACTGAGCATCTTGTGATTTTCTGCTTTATTGATACATTAAATCTATTGAGGATTTACCCATATGGTTGTAAAAACAGCCGCACACTGTGGACTGCAGACATGATGCGCTTTCGCCCACAAATATACGGTCAATTCACTTTACAGTCTATTCTGTGAAGCGCTTTGAGACGTCGAGAAGATGCGAAAAGCGTTATATCAAACGCAAGGATTATTATTATTATTATGGTATGTTATAACTTTTATCAGCCGGGTGTCTGACACACGCGGAAACCCATCACCGTGGTTTAAGAGTATCCAAACCCAGCTGTGAATTCCATGCATCCCACCAACACGTGGAAATCCCAGAGAGAGATGATTGGATTGGATTGTGCTCTCTCTCTCTCTCTCTCTCTCTTCCTGGAGGGACACATCCTGTTTATCTAATTCCAGGAAAGCATTTGACGCAGTTTGGTGAAAGCCAAGGCTTGAGGACCCCAGAGTGTGTGTTGGGGTAACTGCTGGAGTCTAACCAGCTAAAACCGCATAGCTTGCCATCCGTTAAGTTATAATCTCTAGCTTCCACTTAATATTTACACCATATCGGGGGCCGCAAAAATATAGCATTCAAAATAAGATTATATTAACTTTTAACGCGATCTGAATATTTCTGGTGGGGGGGTGGGGTGATGGGAAGAAACAATACAATATTTAAGCTTTAAACTTCAGGTTAATGCTATTTCTATGAGGCTGAAGTCACTCAACTTTTTCTCAGTGGTGCGCTCTGGTCAGGGAAAAAAAATGTTTTGCTGTTCAGTTTATGCAATACAGTCTGGCCCTTTCCTAATTAATTGAAATCCTTTTGATGCAGGGAATAAAACAATCTGAAAGCAAAGCTATGCAGTTTAGGAGTTTGCATAGCAGACACCCACATACACACAGAGACAGACAGACAGAGAGAGAGAGAGAGAGAGAAATAAAGGTTCACTTACCCAGTCCATAGATGACAATGAATCCTATGGTGAGGAGGACAGGATGCCAATTAAACTCAGCTGAACCCCCATCCCAGGCTAATCCTTCTCTCCATTCAAACACCCAGATTAACACCAGCACAATGGTGAGGGAACCGAAAAGAATAGAGGCGATGAAGACACACACAAACTGGTAGAAACTTTCCATGGCAGCAACCAGTGGTATGTATGTCTGAAGTTGTTTTAGAAAGTGCTGCAGCTTCTCTCTCTCTCTCTCCTCTCACACACACACACACCCACACAAACACAGGGGAGGAAGCAAAACCTTAGACTTCCTCAAGGATTGGAAAAAGTCCAGATCCCAAGTTATTACATGGGATTGCAAAGGAGGGAGTGGTGTGGGGGTGGAGGGATTAAGCTGCCAGAGACAACATTTCATCACAGTTTGCAATTGCAAGTTAAAGCTTCCATGTGTTATGAAAGGCAAACTGCTTTCAGTTTTGTTCTTGGTGATCCTCATGAAATAATCCACTAAGGAAATGCCTCTGATCAGGTCCCAATGCCTAGAGATTCTTCCTCTTGAGTTTGCTCACAGACCTGCCCACACAGGGGGGGGAAAATACTGTATTACACAGAAAGTCCCCCTGTCATAATAAAACTCCACACTCCACCCCACATCACTTTTTGTTGAATTGTTTTTTTCTCTTAAGCTGCATCAAGTGTGAAGAAGTAAGAAGTGGTCACATTTAAAAGTACTAGTATTTATGATTTCTCACAATTGATCTCTGGTTACATAAAAATGAGGCAATTAAGCTTTTTAAAATAATAATAATAATAATGTTATTATATATATAATATATATATTTATATATAACAATTGTTGCAGATTGTGATACTAATATCTGTGGAAGAGCCTTCAAAAAATGGGATAAAATCAGAAACAAAACCCACCCATTCAGGTTCCCTGTCCTCTCCATCTTTTAAGTCCTCTTTAAGACCCTCAGTGTTAGTAACAGTCCTGTATTGTGTTCTTGTTATCAGTACCTCTGTTTGCTTTGTGAATATACATGTCAGTAGATGGCAGCAGATTCCATAGTTGACATGCAAGTGTAAAGATATTCCTTCAATTTTGTGTAAAGATAACCTTAAATTTGACGTGGTCTATTCCTTCTCTAATTTAGAGTATTAACTCTCTACCTGTTTGGAATGACAGACAAAATATGGATCTACGTTTACTTTATGGACCCCCTTTCGTAATTTGAGGAAGGTGAAATATCTTTTTTGTCTCGCTTTTGTTTGAAATGCAACCAGACTGAGCTCCCACTAATTAGTTTTGTGTTTTTTAATAATAATAATAATAATCCTTGCATTTGATATAGCGCTTTTCACGTCGGGAGGACGTCCCAAAGCGCTTCACAGAACACACTGTAAAGTGAATTGACTGTATATTTGTGGGCGAACGCGGCAGCCAATTGCGCACAGCAATGTCCCACAAACAGTCGTAGATTGAAAATGACCAATTTATTATTGTTTTTGTTTTTTTGGAGGGATTATTATTAGGCTCTGTGTGGAGTAAGGAAACTTGCCCAAGGTTTCGCCCTCTGCCTGGAATTGAACTCAGGTCTCTCACTTGCCAAGCAAGTGCTCTAACCACTGAGCTACAGGACTCCAGGACTTTTATGTTTTAATGATACAATGGAGTCATTATGGGTCCGTATTTAGAGATCTTAACTCTGTCTCCAGATTGTCTCTGTGGCTTGAAAACCCTCCTCGAAATTCACTAAAAACTAATATGGTGTTGGATTGATGTTATTGCAGACCAGATTAATAATAATTATTGCTCTTGATATAGCGCCTTATCACGTCTTTGAGACGTCTCAAAGCGCTTCACAGAATATACTGTAAAGTGAATTGACTGTATAATTTTGTGGGTGAAACGCGGCAGCCAATTACGCACAGCAGCGTCCCACAAACAGTCGTGGATTGAATGAACAAATTATGAATTCTTATTATAATTTAACTGCTACAATTGCCTACCTAGGCATACCCATAGTCACTACACTTCAAAAGTAACTCATTGTGTGAAGCCGCTCAAACATTTCAACGAATGCTCAGAGTCATAAAATCAAACACACATTTTTAGTGTATTCAAACGCTGTTATTTTACAAGTGATTAAAACTGAACTCCTTTACCCCAATGTATCATAACATTACACTCGCTCAATGAGAAATAAACTGCCTGCAGATGTTAGAGCAAACAGTCTTCTCAAAAGCATCTGAAGAATGTTTGGATCAAGGTCAACATTTTAATGGTCCCAAAATGAGGTGGCCATTTGGGGTTTGGGCGGGGGGTGGCGGGGGGGGGGGAGGGCACGTGATGGTTTAGAGGCTGTTGATGAAGATGCAATCTGTGATGGGTGGGTTGTATATTTCAAATCGTTGCTTGAAACTGCTCCAGAGGGCGAGCGCGAAGAGATCTCTTGGGTGTCAAGCAGCAATTGTGCTACTGTGATATATCCAGCAGCTGTCAAACAAGGACTGAAGTTTATGGTTTTATTTTCGGTTTTGAAACTGATAAACCCCAGAGGGAAGGGGCCCAGATGGACTGGCAAGTGAACGTTTAGGTTACAGATGGTACACTCCCAGAGCTTTTTGTCCTTGCTTTTTAATGTGTATTTTTACGCACTATTGGCCTAAATACCGTGCCCAATTGTAGCAGAGTTATCCTTAAATCCTTTGAGCTATTTATTGAAATGAAATTAAGCGATGGGCATTCTGAAATAAGTAGGATTTTTGTTCGGAATTTGCTAACCTTAATATTTATTGAAGTCAATTTCCATTTCAATGTTTGGGATGGAATGTCCTGTTTAGCCTTTGAATGTCAAGATGACGCGGGCAAAATAACTCGAATGGTTTTATACGTTGTCACCTAATTGTACAAACATGCGCCTTCGAGCTTTCCTTTCCAAAACTGGGTTTATTTTAAGATGGTACTTGAAAGGGACGTTGCCAGCCCATCGAGGAGCCGAAGCTGTTGTCAGTAGCAACGCTGCTATCTAAACCAGTGGCAAACAAGCCTGTGCAATCTCTTCAATCCTTTTTTGTGTTGATATATTTAAATGGTAGAACCTACGTACAGAAGCGACGATCAGTAGATTGTAGAGTTTAATGTGGCTGAAAAGAATGCGGCAAGCCCGCTTTTTACTGCCACCTTGGGCAGTGCAAATAGATCTTTTGTCCAGGAAAATCCAGGAAAGAATAATGTACTGCAGTTTTACGTATCAGTCTGCTCGCTTGAACATTTTGTTAATAGATTTGCAGTGGAAGATTGGGATTTGACTGTTGTCATTGTGTTTATAAAGAGGCAGTCGGATTTGGCTTGAAAAGAAGCTTTACAATTGCAAGGGGTGGGATGGGGGTGGGGGGGGGGGGCAGGGAGAGAGGCAACAAGCAATTTTTCCTGCGCTACCAATTTTAGAATTATAGATAATAATGTTGTTTTATCGGTTTTAAATCTTTGAGATTTTTCTGAAGTTAACTGTTAAAAACAAACTGCAGCTTCGGACACTGAAGTAAAGAGAAGAAAATACAATCGAGTATACTTTTATTTATAATTTGATTGGTTCCAATCCCGTGATGTCACGGAGACCATTTTGACCTTTTATTATGATTATTATGCAATATTTGGGTTTGCGGACTTGTTATAATGGAGTTCTATTATATGTGTGTGGGTGACGTCAGAAGAAATGCCTGCAAAAGGAGGCTGTAAAACATTCCAGGGTTACAGTACCAGAGTCCAGGTGTAAATGGAAATCAAGACAGATGATGTAGTTTTGACCATTTGGCTTTCAAATTCTACCCATGAAATGCTGAGAATGTGCCACGGATTATAATGAATCACCCTGCGTGTTTTTGTTTCAATCCTTATCTCGGTGCTTATCTGTTCTCTCCATGTTACTGCTAAGTCATACTGCCTGGTTTCTCAGCAATTCTCTCTATCTCTGAACTTCTGCGTCTTTCGCATTCCCTCCAGACCACTGGCAAACTTCAAACCATACTCCCGCAACATGAGATGCTCGGATCTCTGCACACTGAACATCAATTAATCCGTTAATTAATTAATTGAAGTTAACAGGAAATAAAATGAGGGTTTAAAAATATTCTTTGAGGACTCGGGCGTTCAGAGACCATGGTTTCCGATATCAAAACTTGTAACCATGATAATTTTAGAAACAGTTTTTTTAAAAAAATGCAAGTCTTAATAGAAACAACAGCAACAACTTGATTTTATAGCTCTTCTTGGAGCACTTCAATAATAACCAGATTATAAACAGGCCACAAAGGAAAGCCAAAAGACGAACTATTCGCTTCACGACAAACCTTTTGTTTAAATTATTGGCAAATAATAGAGCTTCCAGCACACAACGGTCAGTGGCTATTTTGGCGAAAATGTGAGCGGAGAGGAAACATGGCAGACCTGCTCTAAGCGTTCACATTTATAGTAATTTATAGTAATTTATTGAAATATATTTACCCTTTTGAAACCGTGGTACGTTTATATAGAGGAGGACAATTTTTACTGAATCTGATTCACATGATTTTGTTTGACACTCACTCCTGAAATTGCTTCTCAATGTTTCATTTTGCTTTTGGACAACTAATGCATATCGATTTTGAAATATTGTTTAAAAGTACCGTTAACAGATAAGCAGATTGAAAATGATTAGAAACGTATCCTCCACTCGGGGAAGCCAACGTGTGGGTGAATACTCTGCATTGCGTTTGTTTCTGAAATTACAGTTTGCGCACAGCAGTGTCCCGCAAACAGCCCGGGAGTGAGTGACTGACTGTATTTGGTGGCTTATTGGCCAGGACACCGGGAAAGAGAAACTCCCTTTTCTTTTTGAAATGTGTCATGGGATCTTTAACATCCACCTGAGCAGGCAGATGGGATCTTGGTTTAACGTCTCATCCAAAGGACGGGTTCCAGTAAGAGAGATAATCATCATAATCCTTGCATTTGATGTAGCGCTTCACAGAATATACTGTAAAGTGAATTGGCTGTATATTTGTGGGCGAAACGCGGCAGCCAATTGAGCACAGCAGCGTCTCACAAAGTCGTGGATTGAAGTGACCAATTTATTATTGTTTCTTGAGGGATTATTATCAGGCGTGTGGAGTAAGGAAACTTGCCCAAGGTTTTGCCCTGCCGGGAATCGAACCCAGGTCTCTCGCTTGCGAGACAAGTGCTCTAACCACTGAGCTACAGACACCACTAGCATGAACATAATAATGCAAAGAAGACCCTTTGTAGAAATTAAAGTGTACTTTTCAATTGAATAAATACAAATATTTAATTCGTTGTCTTTCTTCCAGCAGTGGTGTGTTTTTTTTTATCACGCTGATGGAAAATGCTTGCATCTTTCCAAGGAATTGCCAGAATTATCGCTGTGCTGTGACCTAAATAATGTTCTATTCATCTCCTGATAAATCATACCATTGGCTGTAAACAACAGTAAGAAAGGAGATAATGGTGGTAAGAGTGGGTGAGAGTTTGCTGATGAAAAAGCCAGACAACTTGGACACTGATGAAACAAGTCGTTATCTTGTTTAACTGAATGCCCTTGCGAGATAATCATTAATGTAAATACACTGAACTTGTTTACCACACGGGTCATTGAGGTTCGACTCGAGAGCAAGGCTTTAGAAGATGTGTGTATTACCAAATGGTTTATCATTGAAGAATTGTACTTCCTTGCCCTTGACAAATGATACAGCAGTTTAAACATAGAATGCATGAGCTGCATTTGCTCAACCAGGGTTATTAGGGCATACATTACCCTGCAAGGAAATCTTTCACTTGTCTGTTTAGCACCAATAGTGGTATACTTTTTCCAAGTCACTCTCTGCTCCCAGTAAGTCCTGGGGTTAAATCCACGAGGTATTTGCCTAAAATATACAGTCAATTCACTTTACAGTATATTCTGTGAAGCATTTTGATACGTCTCGAAGATGTGATCAGGTGCTGTATCAAATGCAAGGATCATTATTGTTATTACTTTATTTTTGGGGGGCGTTAAATATTCCCCTACACAAATATCTTTTGCTTTTCAGCTGGTTCCGTCTTGTAACACCTTGCTATAGCCGACGATAAACAGCAGACTCCAGTCTGCTCAACGTAAACCGTCAGCGCAGCATGTAGATCTTGAGCTCTGTGTCTCCATAGAAACACGTTAGCAGCCGATATAACCCCAGTCTCCCTCACTGACAGACGCAGTGAAAATATCAATAGCAAAAACTGCCAGCAGCAGAGAAGCCGCAAATCACTGTTTGCTTCATCTGGTGTTCTGAAGTTGCACAAACACCAACACACACAAACGTACAAACCTCAGGAACCACCACACGACGGAACAAAGACCCTGTCTGACGCAAACATCCCCCCCCCAAAAAAAAAACACATGCCATACCCTTTTCTCAGTCGATGATTATCTCATAGATTTTTAAAGTGATTACCACACAAGCGTTCATCATTGAGGGAGCAAGTCATAACACGTTGACTTGAGTGCAGCGTCCTGGGGAGCAATGTCGGTTAACAAATGTAGAGAAACCGGGAAAAAGCTGTTCCCACTGACCCCGCAATGCGCATTATTAAAAAAAATAAATACACGAGAGTAATTTCGAGGCGAGAATTTCATCTCTGGGTTCACCTGCTTGTCATACAATATAACGCAGTTTGCAGTCGCTTCATTTTTTGGGGGGGTCAGCCGGGTGTCTGACACACACAGAGATCCATCACCGTGTTTAAGAGTATCCCGACCAAGCTGAGAATCCCATGCATCCCAATTCCATGCATCTGGAAATTCCTGAGATAGATCGTTGGAACGGAATGCGCACTCTCACTCTCTCTCTCTCTCTGTGGACAATACTGATTAATGCCTGAACGCATCAATTTAATGGGAATACGTAGGGTATTTTTTTTAGTCAATGCACAGAGCTATTAAGACTCCTTATAATCGCCAATAGGGCTGACAGATCATTCTGTAAAACACTGTGGTATATTAACTCATGGAATTACAATGAGACTGTGACCAGCTTAAGGGTGTTGTTGGGGGTTAACCTCTCCTATGCCTTTCCTATCGTACTCACCACCTGGATTAAAATAGATTGATGACTCAGTCTTTACAATGACCGCTTAAAAATAAAGCAAAGCAACGTCACTCATTGATTCTTCAGCTCCCTGACCTAATACCAACTCAGTGGTTTATGTTTCAATGACTCAAAGCCTTGTTTCAATGACTCAATGGCTTTCAACCCTTCAACACATCGTTTTACTTGTGGACAATGAATCCAATAAAAGGACAACCGTACAGATGAAACCTGTGCGTGTGTTTTATAATCTAGTTTTCAAATTAAATTAGACTAGTGTTGAATGGTGCAAAAGCATTTAGTCCTGGCCTTACGGTAAAGTGAATATATCAATAATAAATATGTTTTAGTTTTATAAATAGGTAAATAAATCAGCCGCAATCTAATAGAATGGCGGAACAGGCTCGAGGGGCTGAATGGCCTACTCCTGTTCCTATGAACGATGCTTTCTTTTTTAAATTCTGGATTTTCTATTCACTTTTTTTCCCCCCTTCCTCCTCTGTGAAGGAGTCAGATATCGCAGGGACACTCTCTCTCTCTCTCCCTCTCTCTTTATCAGAAAGCCGATGAGGCATTTTCTTTCTAAGGCGGGCGGTGGGGGGGGGGGGAGAAACCTGAGCGCAAGTGATTCAGATCAGTGGTTGACCGTATTTTCGCTATGAGAATTTATCTAGTTCAGCTGATTCAGTGTTGCCAAGTATTATGTACCACAACTCTGAATTGTCTGGTACATCTGAGCTGCCCATCAAGTCTTCATCATAATTGTTACGTGGAGTCCTGTAGCTCAGTGGTTAGAGCACTCGCTTTGCGAGCGAGAGACCTGAGTTCAATTCCAGGCAGAGGGCGAAACCTTGGGCAAGTTTCCTTACTCCACACAGAGCCTAATAATAATCCCTCCAAAAAAACAATAATAAATTGGTCATTTTCAATCTACGACTGTTTGTGGGACATTGCTGTGCGCAATTGGCTGCCGCGTTCGCCCACAAATATACAGTCAATTCACTTTACAGTGTGTTCTGTGAAGCGCTTTGGGACGTCCTCCCGACGTGAAAAGCGCTATATCAAAGGCAAGGATTATTATTATTATTATTACATAAGGCTGCAGTTCTGTTTTCCACCAGAAAAAGGCGCTGTTGCTCTTTGTAAATCCCAATGTGACTCTGATGTTGCACAAGTGGAGCTTTAAAGTGGGAAATTGTTTTATTCAGTGATGAAGCAAGACAGGAGGTTTCTGTTTGCAACAAATAAACAGTGTACATTAGGCCACAAGGACTAATAAATGCTGGCGCACAATAAAGTAAAACACACGCATATAAACACATTCACACACACACAACCGTCAGTGGACTCTCATTTTCTGAAGGGCAGAAATGATGCCGTTAAATTTAGTGCTGGAGTAATATTTAATAATAATAATCCTTGCATTTGATATTATGCTTCGATATAGCATTTGATACATGGGGGGGGGGTGGTGGAGTGATAGTGATAATGGTTGGTGGGGGCGTGAGGAAGAAAAACAAAATTAACTATTCATTTTTGCCATCGCTGGATTCAAATTCTGTTACAAAACAGAAAATAAACCATAAAATATTCGGGACCTCCAGGAAATATTGTGGTAAGTGCAGACCACTCTCCCCACTGCTATCCTGATAGTTATTGTGTGTTCATGGGATCATAGTTTAATTACTCAATTAGTCTCAGCTGGGAAAACCAGGCCTCTTATTGCTATGGAAACATAAGTTATTTGCAAGCACTGTTTAACCCTACTTCTGCTTACTATTAGCCTTTCCCACCCCTCTTAACTTCTACTTTTTTTTCAACTTAATTTACTGTGCTTTTCTCAGTACTCTATTAATTGTCATTCGTTTCCTTGCAGGAGGGGTTCTGGGTTGGGGGCAGTTGGAGGAGGGGGGAGGTGTATTGCATTGTGAACTGTATTTCAATGAACTCTTCAAATACATTATTATTACATTATTATTATTAGGAGTATTGCAACTTTAACTATGCTACCAGAGTTTCTCTCACTCCCGGTGTCCTGGCCAACAAATCCGCTGAATAAAATTGGTCACTCACTCCACGCTGTTTGTGGGACACCGCTGTGTGCAAACCTAATGTGATAAGGCGTTCTATATCAAATGCCAGGATAAATATTATTATTATAAAATGGCTATCATCTTACCTCCATCAAAGGAGGGAACTCAGATATCATGACCTGACCTACTGTGCCGGTAAATATATATTAATGAAGTGCAAATTTGTGACCTCCATTACAAATTGTTCCCAAGAAGCAAACACTGGATTTCTTTTCTTCAGTCTAACAAGCCCTCTTCTTTTTGGTCTGTGCAACACGTTGCTGATACCCTGTAAGTCTTTTGAAGCCAATAATCATATTAAAGTTCCAGTGACAAGTTTAAGATTTTTGTACAATTGAGAATGAAAATCCCAAAACGGCAAACTGGAGGTTGATCCCAGTTTGAAAAGATCGCTGAGATCTGTTCATTGTATTTTAATTAAAATAATACCAATAGAAGACCGCACTGTTGATTTAAGTTTCCTTGGTTTTATTGTGTTAAATATCGTAACAAGAAATAGAAAATTGTGTATATATTTGAAGCATTGAACGTAGTCATGCAATCTACCACAGAAGCAGTCTTTGTGAAATAACAATATCTTTCTGTATAGTCCTATCACCTAATACCACAACAACCCTAGTCAAACATTAACATGTTACAAGCCATAAAACTCCCATCACAAACCTGTATTGTACACCTCGCTGAAATCTCTCGTGGTTCAACTAAATAACACGGAATAAGAAATACAGAGAGATGGGAGTGTGTTCAAGGCTGTAGCACGTTCGTGGAGTTTGGATGACCATGTATAAATCACTCAAGTTTTGCACTTGTGGTTTCGGATATCATCCAAATGTCACAAGTCTTACAGCTCATGACAAATTTGCAGCCATCTGTTGTTCTCTGTGATCAATGACCTCACAGCTCTGAGTTGCATAGTTCTCTAAACATGAAAACTCCAGTAGCACAAAGCAGTCGCTTTGTCAACCTCAAAGGTTTTATGAATCGGATATTCATAGAGCTTTCGGCTAATTTGCATTTTGACTTGTGTCCCCGCGATATCTGTCAGCTCAAATGTTCTGATTGCCGTTGTACAATGGCAGTCAACAAACCAAACAAGATGCTGGGAAATCCGGTCGCGTGAGAGGTTTTCTGCAGTTATGTAGGTTAGCGTTTTTTCGGATGAGTTATTCTTTATTTCCATCATCAGGCGAATGTTGAACCATTTTGTAAACATGACAACAAATAGTCCGGTACGACTGTTGTTCGATGTGTACAATGGTATCTCTGTCGAAGATAGTTGGTGACTGTACGTCTACAAATGTAAATCGCATAGTTAGTAACAACTCAACACAGAATACAATGGAGAACAATACTGCTATGTGGGCAGTATTGTTTTTTAAAGCAACATCGTACGCAATATATTCAGTAGAAATCAGGTGGCAAGTGACTGATCAAACTTACAACGTCCCAAGGTTCCTTTATCGGAACTCTCTTAACTAAGATGCCAGTTTGGTTGTCGTAAAGATCGAGGTGTGCACTTCCATCGTTCCTTGCTGCACCCACTGTTAACACTGCCAACAAGTCCAGCTCATCCTCATAGTCTACCATCTTAAAGGTCTGGAAGTGGAAATACAAATAAGATAACATTCCGACAGCTGGAACCCAGAATTACACTCTGGAATCCCATGTGCATTATGGAGAAACATGGCCATCTGCTCATCAACACAGGTCTCATGCAATCACACCAGGACAGAAACAAATAAGCAAACAAAATTGGGCCTCATGCAATATGATCTCGAGTTTCCTTCAAATCTTACGTACCACAATGTGTGATGTCCGCAGCATCAATCCTATCTCTCCCCCACCACACACACACACGCACACGTTAAAGTCATTGCCTTAATACTACCAAAGCAATGTGAATATATTTGAAAATTCTTCATGCCTCAGGTGGCCTGAAATAATAACAATAATAATCCTTGCATTTGATGTAGCGCCTTATACATCTCGAGACGTCTCAAAGCGCTTCACAGAATATACTGTAAAGTGAATTGACTGTATATTTTTTTGGGCGTAATGCGGCAGCTAATTTATAGTTTATATAAAATGTACAGGAATTATAGTTCAGTATTCCTCCCTGATCAGACTCTGAAGTTACAGCCATTGGTAGATGCAGAGGCAAGAGCCATAATCTGAACTAGGCAACAATGCAACAAATAGCAATCCATAGCCTTAATTTCCCCTCCAACACACACACACACACACACACAGCATTTAAAACAAAGTCTTCAAGTTCAAATGTTTAATTCAGGCTTTGTCAACTTAAGTCTAATTACCTCGAATTCCGGGTCATCATCCAACTGAGTAAACCGTCTTTTCACCACTCGACCGGAGGCCGTGACTGTTTCTGAGCTCTCCACCTTGAAGAGAGGAGACACTTACACATCAATGCTTTCACCCACAAAATATACAGTCAATTGACTTTACAGCATACTCTGTGAAGCGCTTTGAGACGTCTCAACGACGCGGTGAGGCGTGATATTAAATGCAAGTATTATTATAATAATTTAATATTCTGTCAATTTAATGTTCTCCTGTATCATTCAGTTTCAAAACTCTTTTAAGTTGTCTGGCAATCCTAACAGTAAAGGACTGACCAACCTATTTGTTCCTCCTTGTAGAGTAGTGTTGACAAAGATCCTGTCCTGGACCAGGTCACTCATTTCTGCCATGTATAGTTTATAGCTTCGGAAGGTGGTGTATGGTGGAGAGGAAGAGAAAAGAATCAAAACTTTTTTTTCTAAACTGTTGGGGGTGCCATGACAAGGTAGGATGCCAGTCATTGAATGTTGTGTTAACAGGTCTCTGAACACCAGCTGTGCTGTATCAAGCAAAACATCTGGAACGTGTGCTCTCAGGTAAGAGAAATTAAAGAGACATTTTAGCACATGTTGAGGGTGGACAGGAAGAGTACCTTGGATACCCGAGTTTGCCACAGAATTAATGTTGGAATAATCAAGCACCAATTCAAAAAATATAGTGAGAAATGGCATCAACCAGTAAGTGGATTTGCTCTGATGTTTCCATCTGTTTTGTGGCGTTCTTAATGCTTTATATACAGTCGTAATCTCTTCAGCCTAGTGTTATTAAGTTACTATCTTTAGACTGTTTCCCTGATGGACTATTTTAATGATGGCTTTCGCTGTTTGTGTGGTGTTTTCAGCACATCAGGGGAATTGGATTTGCTACTATGATTTCATGAACCTGTAGCCTCAGCCTGGGATGGATTGTACCAAAATGAAAAGTAGGGGCAACCTTGTTTCACGAGCTTTTACTGTCACCTGTCCACCACACCTGACACAGATATCAATACTAGAGTCACTGCAGTATTGGGTAATTGAGGCTCCGATCAAAGCCATGTTGGGTGAACTTGTATCAGACGTAGGCAAAACAGGCACAAGGAATAAATATCTCTACCGACCTCATCACTGTTCCGTTTCATCCTCTCTCACTGATTAAGCAACTATACATGGAAAACAAAAACTTGCATCTCAAGTTTCAGTTCAGTGTATCCAGCGTAATATAATATTCTGTTTACATCATAACTTAATTTAGAATGGCTTGCAAGGGTGAGAGATGGGGGAATGTCTCAGTGAAATGAATAGGGTCCAATTTATCTATCAAGACACAGTATTCCTCTACCTTTGACCTTCACAGGCCAGTCAATGGTGTACTTTAATGCCATAATCGGAGCAAACAATCTTGTTTGAAAGTTCTGAACATTTAGCATCATACTATGTCCTCTCGACATGAAAGGCACTACTGTATATAAATATAAATTTGTTGTTGTGAACAAGATCATTCCAACGCGATCTGATTACCTGATTTATTTGTTCTGTAAACCAATACCCAATGTTTGTACATCTTTCAGGATTCAGGCTTTGATTTCCATGTACAGCAGTTATATCTCCAGGTGTAGATGCAAACAGCTTTAATCCAATTTAATAAGTATGTCTGAGGGAGAGTATAATAAGTATTTGTTTTGTTTTAAAAGTGTCTACGTATATTGCCATTTTTATTGTATAGAACGGAGAAGAAAAGTTGATTCTGGCTCTCAAGGCTATAAATACCTTTCTGATAATGCTCTACAAATACGGGCGTTAAGTTTCAAGTGCTTCTTAGTATTCTAATACTGTACAGTAATGAAACCTTGCAAGCAAATGATCCTTCACTTCTAAGCAGCTATAAAACTGCTCTCATTAATTGGAACACAATGGTAATCTTTTCCTCTGGTTGGAAAAGTTTTAGGGAATCACCTAGCAAGCTATCAAATGCTTGAGATGGTAACTTAACTATTGGTGTAATTTAAGCACTTCAGTTTCACTTCACTGCTAGTAGAATATTCCCCAATAAATATATGAATAAAGATATTGGATTCAGTCAATCTCAAAACCCACTTTTGAATTTGATATAAAGAACTATAAATTAGTGGGTAAGAGGCAAATGACTGATTTCACTTTCTAGTAATATTTACTTCATGTTTGTGGGACGTTGCTACGCATAAATTGTATACTATGTTCACTACAAAATCCACAGTCACTACACGTTACAGTATACCCTTGTGAAGTGCTTTGGGAGTGTTTTTCCGATGTGAAAGGCACAATGTCAAATGAAAGCATGAATATCATCATCGTCGCTTCATTGCTGAATCTGCAGTTTGTTTGTTGATTCCAATTGACATTGTAAAAGTGCATCAATGCCTTAATTGTATGCAAAACAATGGCTGCATTCTTCTTAGATACCAAAAAATGAGCAGATCGGAATAGATAAAACAGGTTCACAAAGACACATTAGTATTGTCTGGGATTGTCCATTCCGCCTCAATTAAATTCAAATAATAATTTTCTATCTAAAAGGTTCTGGGTATTGGCATTCCAATTCCAAATTCACTCATTCATTTACATTGAAAATACACGTTGGCGCTGGTGAGATTCTGATAATAACATTAGAAGATTCACCCTTCAGGTTGTTTCAAATAAAATATTTCAAATTATAATAATAATAATCCTTGTGTTTGACATAGCACCTTATCACGTCTTCGAGACGTCTCAAAGCGCTTCACAGAATGTACTGTAAAGTGTAGTGACTTGTGTATTTTATGGATGAAAATGACCAACTTGTATGAACTGTGCCTTCCATAACATCTGCCAGACAAACCTGCTTATTAACATTGATTTAGAATGTTATCACAGAAAGGATAAGCCGGTATAAACCTGCAGAGCTGAAGAGAACGAAATATTCACAGGCCCATTCATTTTCCGGGGCAGGGACAAGAGAAATGACTGATGTATACCAAGATGCCTAGCTAAAGACCAGAAGGAGAGGGGGAAGATGGTGGCAGATTGACAAAGCTATCTATAGCTCCCTTCACAACAAGATTTGAAGAGCGTCTGAGAAGGGAGAGGAGATCCCGAAATGTCTTGGTTGCTGGAAGATGTGCATTGAGGAAATCACGAGCACTTGGTATTAAGAGCGGTGAAGAAACGTGTCCTTGCCTAGACTATTTAACAGAGTTAATCTGTGAAGAGGAGCGGGATGTTGGGGAAGAGTTATTAACACATTGCTGGCTGTATTTCAGGAAGGGAGGGGCAGTGTCTGTGGGAATTTGTCTTGCTCAGCCTGAGTATATACACAAGAATGCCACTGATTGGGCTACATTACACCTACAGACAGTGACAGGATATCCAGCTGGCTCCACATTACAGAAATATTCCCCCGAGACACACATAGCGGAAAATGAGCAGGTGGCTCATTCTAGGGTCAAGAGAGTTTCTCCATAGGGTAACTAAGTATGGTTGGTGCAGTCGAATTTAAATTTAAACCACAGACCTGCAATTCCACCTAGTTTTAGCCTGTGAAGTTGTGGGATGTGGATTCCACAATGTGGGTCCTTTATAATTCAGCAATCTGTTCCATTAATTTCTGTGTGACCTTAAATTTGAATAACAAATGTGTGGCAGTATGCAGACACCAAATAACAGGAAATACACAAAAAGCTCTTTGTTAACTGTGGTTTAGTCAGTGGAACAATAACCGATTGGCCCCAATAAGATCAGTGAGTGAAAGAGGGTCAGGCCCTGATGGATAGATACATAGAAAATGCAAAGGTAATGATCCTGAGAAGAAATCGTTACTAAATGATAAAAAATGAAAACATGGAAACAAAATGATATCCCGTCCCTGCTGGCTAGCAGAAAATTATATATTATTATATATAATTTAATTAAGTGTGTGAATTGTTTATCAGTTGGGCTATGACTTAACATGACTTACGCAAAGTATGAGCTATGTCAAAGTTGCATAGAATATAAACTCTTCAACAGGAATTGGGCACATGTACGACTTACACAGATCAGACTTATGTGAGTTTTACTGTACAAATTGCACAAAGTCTCTGTTCTAGATGCACATCTGCATGAGAAACAAAAAACAGAAAAGCTGGCGGGGAAGACTTCTTTGATTGGGCACAGAATACAAAGCATTTGGGCGAAAGCTACTCTATAAATTTTACGTCATTTTGCTTGAATCTTTCAAGCATTCCTGCGAGTTGCTTTGGAACTTGTTTCAAACCAATCTGAAATGCACAATTTCTGGTTTAGTCGAGGAAACTGAGAATCACTCACTGCATTGAGGTCCTTACCTTTTTTTCCCTTTCAGCAAAAATGGTAAAAGCTGGTAGAACCTGCCGCCTTTGCGTATCTTCAGACACCTTGGTCAACTGTAAGACACTACATTAGGCGTAATTTTAGTACAATTCAGAAATGCCACTCTGTACAACTTATCAGGAAATATTTTGCACCAGTTATTAGGAAGATGTCGTCAATGAATCATGAAGCTATTTTTCCCCACTGAAATGTCTGAATGAAGAATATATCTTTCAACTTCCAGGGCTACCCATACCATGGCATTGCCAGTGCTGTAACGAGTACATCAGGATGACCCGAAACGTTCTTGTGGCTATATTTTAGATCAACAATCGTTCACGCTTTGACTTATCTTCTCTGCTTATTTTCACAATTGATCTTTTGGTTACGTATCTTTTTGTTCCAAATGTTGTTGCTGCCTTCTCTCTCTCTCTCCCTTCTTTCTTGGCCTTCTTAATAATTCATGAATTCGGAAGTTGGTTCTTTTGTTTATGAGCGATGGAAAAGTGATTCCAGTTAATTAAATAAACTCACTTAATTTGTGTTGGTCCAACGTGCATAATCCTCCCAGAGGTATCAGGATGAAAATAGATCCAATCAGTTTCCAGTGAACAGCACTGCATCTCCTGAATCCCATTTTCTGCCTAGTTACACAAAAGCGCATTTGATAGTTACAGAAATATTAATATCCATCACAGAATTCAGTCAGATACAGCAATGTGGAATTAGATAGAAATTCAAAGCAAGATCAGAAATGAGATTTCAATTAGTATTACTGCAGCCATGTACAGCCATTCAGACACCTAAACCCCTCAGGGCAACACATAAAATCTTAGTTAATGTTAAAATTGAAGCAGAGTGACGTACAGAACTTTGAATATTCCTCATTTCACAAGTTACTTTTGGACTAAATCAAAACATCAGAATATTTTGTGAAATTCACACAAAAAAACAGCCTCACAAGCCCAAAGGCAAACACTCACATTTTGTCAGTTGTTTTTAAGTCGACGTTTTGGATACTGAAGCTTTTTTTAATTTATTTTTCTATTGTCATTTTGTACTATTTTAAAAATCATATCATCTCCTCTCCGGATTTCTCTAGAAATTCCCTTCTGCATTACTTGCACCATTACCTGACTTTAATCCACCTGAAAAAAATTATCCTCAATTGTTTGAGTCATTGAAGCAGTTAATTACAGTGGATAGACAACCTGCCTACAAATGCTTCAAAATTACATGAACACTTTTACGAGTTATTTTTGCTATTTGTAATTCCATAAACTCTGTGGTTACACTTCACCTCTGGTGCACCGCAGTGCAGGCTGATGGGAACATAGGAACAGGAGTAGGCCACTCAGCCCCTTGAGTTTTTTCCACCATTCCATGAGATCATAGCTGATCTGTACCTCAACTCCAATTACCTGCTTTTGCCCCCTATCCCTTGATACCCTGACCTAACAAATCTATCCGCCTCAGTCTTGAAATCTGAATGGATTCAGCATCCATACTACGGATATTAAGGCAAGTGGTGTTGAGTAATGACATGAATGACCAAATCATAGACGTACAAGACCTCATTCTGCTGCTAATTTATTAATATTATTATTATAGTTTCAAGACATTCTTTCCTTTAGTGGTATGATAAAATGGAGGGATGATAGCAGGATATAGGATTGAACCAGAGCCAAGTGGCACCAATTACAGACACAGAGTCCTGTGAACTAAACAGATCAGTGACCCACAGAACACGCTTTGCTTTGCGCTCTTTTTTTTACCTCCGTGTAGTTCTACGTCTGCTACAAAGGTAGGCTAGCTACTCTATGAGTCGCGACATTCTGTTGGTTGAGTTAATGGTGATGCATTCAGTCGGGAGAGAATTGTTTGTGAAATGGGAATAGGCTTGTTACTGTAACTTCTCCCCTCTCTAAGGAGAGGACTCCCTCTACTGACCTAGGTGACAGACAATAAACGTCAGCCCCAGGGTAGGAAAGCCTGAATGACAGTCAAGGTGAATCATCAGACCCTCGGGGTTTAACCTAATGTTCTCATTCTGGTCATTCCATATATACTATAATGTGTACAAATAAGAGTAATGATTCATACTGTATACGTTACTACACTATTAGCTGGAAGGAAAGGGGTGTACAACTGCAGTGGCAGATATTGGACATTACATGTGGCTGTATGTAAACCTAAACCAGAATAGGAACAACAAAATTACATTTATAGAGCGCCTTTCACATCGGGAGAATGTTCCAAAGGAAGCCTCTTTTGGGGGGGGCGTTGGGGGATGGGAATGGGGGGGGGGCCGACAATGATATGAAATAGGTGTCAATGGGTCTCTCTGCTATTTAATCATAAACAATGAAAGTAATTTTACCTGAATATTGTTGGTGATTTATAGTCAAATGTACAGTCTTTGTTATCAGTGACCAGAATACAGAGAAGCGTAAGATAATAGTCAATGATTGCACTAGCAAATGTAGTTTTTTTTTAAGAATTTTGCTCATTGTCTGGTATTTTGACGTTTACCAGACAATCTCTGCATGACATTCAAACCCGGAGCCGTGGTATCAATCACTTCAAAATCATGCTGTTTTCCCTCAGGCAGCATTAGGTCGTTCTTGCTCTGGGTTGCTGCTGAAAGGCTGATACTGTATTGAAAATGGCGATGGGCTGTCCCACTGCAACATAATTTGGCGCAAGGACATTACTGAGCAGAACATTTGTGGTTCATTACCAGCGTTTTATCCTGTAAAGCACAGATATGGTAGATGCCTTTCTGGCTCCTCTTGTTAGGAGTACTGATGTAATGCCAGGGTTGTCCTCCAATCTGCAATGCATTTTCAAGGCAGGAAACTTCAAACAGGACAGGTGGGCAATCTGGAAGCAAAGGGGTTTTGAGTTGATATCCTTCGGGAAAACTGACTGGATAATAAATGCTGATTGTGCAAATACAATCTACCTGTTATCTGAATGTTGCATGGAATGCCAAATGGAGCCATGCCTACGATTCCAGTTGTGCCATTCCAATCACAGGTTTCTCCAAGAACCAGTTGTTTCTGCATAAACTGCGAAAATATTATTGACTGATCTCAGTGTTAATTTTCAACATTGTTGAAATAATGTCCTAAATTCAGTTTCTCTCTCCATATGATCTCCATTGTGTAATCACATAATAATAATAATCACTGCATTGTATAGTGACTTATCATGTCTTTGAGACATCTCAAAGTGCTTCACAGAATATACGGTAAAGTAAATTGAGAGTATATTCTGTGGGTGAAATGCAAAATATAATTCAATCTACAGATTTCATACATATGTAGATATGATTTCATACATATCCCAATGAATAAATAATAACTAAGCACATTTGAGTTAAAATGCTACATAAGAAATTCTAACCATATTGAAGCAAATACTTTCCCAAAAAGGTATATAATGCATATTAATTGAGCGAGTAGCAAATTTACAGAACAGGCTCCCTTGGGATATGATGGAAGCCGAAAGTGTTGATTGTTTTAAAAGCAAATTAGATAAGATTTATTTTAGGAAATAATATCAGGGATACAGTATATAGTTTGAGACACCACATGTGCATGCGACTTCCAGGATGGTGGAAGGCGAACTGGATGGACTTTGGTCTTCTTTTGCCTAGCAAATTCGTATGTCCTTACGATTAGTAGGCATCCCATTGATAGAAATGTTGCTGTAAAAAAAAAAATTCCACCTTTTTTTACTGTATGAATTCTACTGTGTTTATTATACTGTAGAGGGAATGAACTGAGGGAAATATTTTGTGTACTCTCAATACAACGCTGGTATATTGAGTAGTTATAACGGCTACACCACTTCAGCATCGATGAGCATAAATTAGGTTCATTCTTTACCTTTTCTGTAATCCACTGACAACTGTAAAACCTGACCAGGCCCGTGCTAAACGTCACAATGAGCAACCCTTCAGAAATAGTGGCATCGGTTACATTGTTCCCAAAAACCTAGAAAGTAGATAATATTAAGGCTTGCAAAAAAAAGAAATTATAAATAAGAGATGCACTCAATTTTGAAGTCCCATTTGAACTACAGTAAAACTCGCATCAGTTTGATCCGTATAAATCGTATAAGTCGTACATCTGCCCAGGACCCATTCAAGAGTTTATATTCTCTGCAAGTTTGACATAACTCGTACTTTGCATAAGTTATATTAAATGTATGGGCCAAACTGATACGACTGGTGTGAGGTTTACAGTATTTCACATCATAGTTTGTTTGTTAGCAAATTAGGTTTCATTCAGTAATTGTTTTACTGGTTACCTCACAGCATGTAAGGGCGGCACATGCATTAAATCATTTATTTGGCAATATCAGTAAATCCTTCGAGGACTACAAAAATAGGGTGAAAACAATGTATTTGTCGGAAGAATCAGCAGTGTTTAACCGAAAGGATGTGGTTTTACATCAGCAATTTTGCCAAATACTGTCTGGGGGAATAGTGGTAAGTATGGCTGATGAGGAAATTTAAAAAAAGTTATGATACATCAACAAGAGCTACTGTTGCTGTGTCTCCTTGTGGCTATTTACAGAACAGCGAGTTTCCTGGCCACTGTGAGATGGGATATAGTGGTGAGGAAAGAAAATGTGAGAATACTGACTGAAATGCCTATGGTTTTGCATAATAATAATAATCCTTGCATTTGATATAGAGCTTTATCACGTCTTCGAGACATCTCAAAGCACTTCACAGAATATACTGCAAAGTGAATTGACTGTATATTGACATTTGTCCGGTAACATTTTTAATATTTCGTGGGCGAAACAAAATAGTTGGATAGTTAGTTGTACAGGGGAGGAGAAGAGGAAATATATAACACAAAGATATTACGGCTAAGGCTTTTCAAGCTTCAATTTCACTGCTACAAAAATGCTACTAATATGTCAGGAAACAAATTTCAAAGAGTCGAAATAAAATGAGGCAAAAAATCGTTGTCAATGATAAGAAAGTATGTTCCGCTGGTGAGACAGGGTAAACACAATGAAGCATTGTCAGACTAGTAAACTTGTCAAGTTTCAGATTACGTTTCACTGCAGTTCATTTGAACCTGCTCTTTGTTAACAGTGAAGCTTCATTGTGGTCGAACAAAGTTCCATTGGAAGCGTGTCCCACGTAATCATGTGCTGGAATCAGCTACATGTTTGAAATGTTCTCATTAGATGCTTGCTGAGTTCAACGTCAGACCTCTTCAGTCTTGATAACGTCAATGTACATTTTTTTTTCCTGATGTCCTGAATTGATTTGGAAGAAGTGTACTGAGCTAAAGTGGCAGGATATGGCTACGACAGAGCTACTTGGCACATGATAAAATATTCAGATTTCAGTTTTATTTAGATAGCCTATATTTAATAATTCATTTTTGAAAGCATTGGTAATAAAAGAGACAACAAAATATGCACCAATTTGTAACACGTTTACTAATGGACTGATAAATACAAACTTTATGTCTAAAAAAAAATACCTTTTTGTTGATATCCAGCATTCCTATTAATGTGAGAGGCAGAACGTTGAACAATATGAGATAGAAGAGAGCTGACTGTTGCATTCCTGCCTGGAAGATGTTAACAACAACATTTATCAAGTTAATCAAAGTGTGTAAGGTCATCAAGAAAGGCAATCGTAATTCCTAGGAAATGAGGAAGAAGTTCTAAAGTTCAGTGAACAGGCAGAACTCTGCAGAAGGACTTTGTATAATGATGATTTATTTGTGCATTTAGCTTTGAATTCTGGGAAAATATCTATTTTAACAATGCAATGCTCTAACGAAAAAAAAACTAGTTGACAATGCTTGTCTAGAGTGTGAGTTTTTAGTGACACTCGTCAATGTAGGTTTACGATGAAATGTAACCTTAAGGCATAAAACAGGAAGACGAGTGGAATGTTTTAAGAATACACTGCATGGACCAACTGTTAACTTTATAACAATAATCCTTGCATTTGATATAGCACCTTATCATGTCAATGAGATGTCTCAAAGCAGTTCACACAATATACTGTAGAAACCAATACTACAGGATTCCACGTACAATTGTCCCAACGGGCAAATTGTACTATGTAATTATTTTGAAACAGAATTAAAATTGTATGAATTGGTCAATAAATTACCCAATGAGAATTGCAAACAAACTAAATGAGAACAATTAAAGTCAGTTATACTGCACAAAAGTCGACTCTTCTACCATTGCAAACTGATCAGCGATCTGAAAGAATGAACTACGGTACTTCACAAGAGTTGCTGAGGTTTCGTTACTGCGGAAATCATTACAGCTGAAAAGCTAGTGATATTTATTCATCCATTTCCAATTATAGGTTGAAATGCATTGTGGCCAAAAACATGTTATGGGCAAAGAACTGCGATCATAATTGATTGCTTTCAATTGCATGTGCACCACCTGACATTGAATTACTCATGGCAAGATCCGAGTTCAGGTAAATATGGTTCAATTAACTTTGTTTCAAATGATTGCATGGAAATTTAACTGATGGGCTGCTGCTAAAATTTTAATCATGTCAGCAATTGACAAAAATTAATTGCACTTCATTTTCTTTCAAGCTATGAGTGGCATTAGAATCCACCCAAACCCGATCGAGCTTTCTACAAAAATGGCAGCTGAACTCATTTCACTTTGTAAAAATGTCCTCAATTGTAATAATAATCTTTGCATTTGATATAGCATCTTATCACAACGTTGAGACATCTCAAAGTGCTTCATAGAATATATTGTAAAGTGTAACTGTGTATTTTATGGGCGAAACGCGGCAACCATTTGCATACAGCAGTGTCCCACTAAATTTGCCTAAGGTTTGGCCCCGCCCGGGAATCAAATCTGGGTCCTCTCGCTTGCGAATTCTTCTCATGCTTATCACTACTTACCGCTCTAGCTGCGGGTGTCAACTTATTGTGTGTAGTCTTTACTACGATTGTCTCTCGAGTCGTTTCCCATGCCAGATACCTGTTGATTTTAATTATTTTAACAGACAACACAGTATTGTAATTAGATTGGATACTGTTTATTGGTAATGTCCCAGACTGAAATGGGAATTCCAAGTCCTTGTCTTTGCATGACTGTTAAGAATTTAAAAGTACTTACTTGAAAAACAAATTGTTTATTTTTAAATGAATGAAACATTTGTAAATAATAATTTGCTAATAATATTCCTCTGTGATGCAACAAGTTTTAGAATGGATGATAATGTGGAATCCTTTAGAAATTTGTTCAGCACTTAAGAGAGAACCAATTTTATACTTCAGAAAGTGCTGTATATTATTTCCAGCTATTTGAATACCTGAATTTCCATTGAGAGGAGAGATGCACCTTTTCTAGAATCTCTGCAGTACTGGTGCATATACGCATGAGCCAATTGCTTGCCGTCACAGTTATAAGACATGGCTTATGGTCTGATGGTTTGGGCAGCATTTCTTCCTTGAGTGTAAAAGAAATCAGAAAATGCTTTCATATTCAACAATCATATACTGTAACATTTTCACACAAATGGGGTAATATGCCATTGATTTTCATACTGGATACTGTATACGAGAGACCTAGGTTTGATTCCCGACAGGGCGAAACGTTGGGCAAGTTTCCTTTCTCCACACAAACGCCTCTGTTTACCAGCAGTAAGTAGGAACCCAGTTGTTAGTCGATTGGCAGATTGCTTTTCCAGGGGGAATAATTCCTTAAAAAAATTGGTCACTCAATATATGACTGTTTGTGGGACACTGCTGTGCGCAATTGGTTTGGGCAGCATTTCTTCCTTGAGTGTAAAAGAAATCATAAAATGTTTTCATATTCAACAATCATATACTGTAACATTTTCACACAATTGGGGTAATATGCCATTGATTTTCATACTGGAGTCGGAGTCCTGTAGCTCAGTGGTTAGAGCACTCGCTTTGCAAGTGAGAGACCTGAGTTTAATTCCAGGTCAGGGCGAAACCTTGGGCAAGTTTCCTTACTCCACACAGAGCCTAATAATAATCCCTCCAAAACCAAAAACAATAATAAAATTGGTCATTTTCAATCTACAACTGTTTGTGGGACACTGCTGTGCGCAATTGGCTGCCGCGTTCGCCCACAAATATACAGTCAATTCACTTTACAGTGTGTTCTGTGAAGCGCTTTGGGACGTCCTGACGTGAAAACTGCTATATCAAATGCAAGGATTATTATTATTATTATTGCAGCTTCAAGATAAGAGTTTTCATAAACATTCACTCTGTAGACTCTTATTAAGTTATTAACTCACCACAGGACACTCACAGAGCAACGCATCCTCAATCTTCTCTGATTCATGACGTTTGGGCAATTCATATAGCAAGGTAGGCCGTGGCCCAATGCTGTCAAAGAACAATTTAATGGTAGAGTTTACAAACATGCAATCTTTAAAATAAGCACGCAATCCAGAATTCAAACAGGAGGTGGGCTTTCCATTTTACTTCAGGCCATGTTTTTATTACATTCAACAATTTCACAATTTCAGGCATTCAAAGTCATATTTCTTTTTAAATTGTTCTGAAATTACCTGCTGAAACAGCACCTGTAATTATCAAAATAAATCCTTCCTTTTTCATAACTCACTGTCGAATTTGACTGTTTAGCCCACACACTCTCAAATGTTGTTGTCTTCTGAAAGATATTAAAATGATTTTGTTTTAATAGAAACATTTATGAAGTTCTGTTATTTTGGAACTAGTAACTTGGTCGCGGAACAAGAAGTTTTAAATTCGCAATAAGCACATCAACATCTACGATCCTGTGATTTAAAATAATAAGAATTTCACTGCCAAGTTAGGATTATTATTTGCTTAGTTTTAAGGAAAAATGCCGATACATCAACAGATCCCTTCAAAATTGTTCTGAATTTGTTATTCGAATGTTGCCATTTCTTGCTTTCACCTCAAACTATTAGGTGTAAAGCATTCAAATGCAAAGCTGAACTGACAATTAGAAATGATTTACTTCTATGCTTTGAGAATTAACCTTAATACATAAAGGTACTTCTGGAGCGTTTCCTGTTATTACGAGGTTGACACAAATTTTGATTAGTATCAATGAAAACAGGATGCACTGCAACATGTATTGAATACAGTTTGCACTGAACCCAAACTACAGTATTCTCAACGGTTTGGAAATGGTCATGTGCTGTTGCAGTGTTCGTCAGAAGGCACCAGATCCAATAACTCGGTGATTTGACAATGCAGCACTACTGTATTACATTAAATGTGTGTCTTACCGCAACTCACCTGGCACACTAAATGTTGGAGGATGATCATGTTTTTTCTATACAGAGAGCCAGCTTCATTTCCATACAAACCAAGAGATCTTGCAGACAAAATGCAACAGTTATTTTTGTGTTTTATACGTAAAATCTTGGTAGATTGTTTGGAACATTGTATTCTGACCCCGGGAGGCCTCATTTCCAAACTGTCCACAATCGTTGCAGTGAGACTCCTTTGCACGACTCTTGTGATCAGGTTTTTGGAAATAGCTTATCCAATTCAGCCGATGCCTCTTTCCCTTTGTAGACGTCGACCCTAGTTATTAGCCTGTTGATAGGATCGGGCAAGTTTCCTTACTCCACACAGAGCCTAATAATAATCCCTTCAAAAACCAAAAACAATAATTAATTGGTCATTTTCAATCTATGACTGTTTGTGGGACATTGCTGTGCGCAATTGGCCGCCGCGTTCGCCCACAAATATACAGTCAATTCACTTTGCAGTATGTTCTGTGAAGCGCTTTGGGACGTCCTCCCGACGTGAAAAGCGCTGTATCAAATGCAAGGATTATTATTATTATTATCTGTAAAAGATATGTTCTGTATGTGAACAGATACCTTTCTAAAACGCACTTTTTACATTAAACGGGAACAGTGGATCAATACATCCCGTGACTGATCTTTCATTAGAATTTAATAACAATAATCCCTGCATTTCAATACAGCGCCTGAGTTGGACCTGAGCTATTCGCCCGTCGGGATTGGATCCGCAACATGCGTTCGGCACGTGAAATGCACCGTTCACGTTCGATGAGGGCGGCGGACCGTCGGATCCCGTCATTGATCTTTCATGAGACGTTAACAGCAATAGTAGTAATAATCTTTGCATTTGAAACGCGGCGCCAGATTCTCGCGGAAACAAAAAGCTCGCGGGAAATCCGACCCTCCCGGCGTAATAGTAACCTGCGAAGGAAGGGCTTCGAGACGTCTCCAGGACAATGATAGAGGCGCTGTATCGGATTATCACTGTTATATTACTGTTATTATTGTGATTATTTATTTATTTATTGTCATTACCCAATGGGAGAAGAAATGCTCTCATGTTCTGATTGAGGTTGTGGCAAAGGAACGACCGCGAAGTCCAACCCCGGGGCCAAAAACCTGAGAGCAACTGCTACTACAACAACAACAACAACTTGCATTTACATCTGACGTCTCTGACGCGGGGTGAAGTCTGGAACCAACCACACACACACACACACACACACACACACAGGGAAACCATCCGCCATCTTTACGCACCAGACTGAGTGCCCACCCGGACAGGTGGAGCAGCCGGATGTGGGTGAGAGCGAGAGCAGGAGGAAGTGGAGAGGCTTCCGGGAGATGTAGTGCACCAAAGCCCCGCCTCTCGCCCGCTCGCTCGCTCGGGTTAGGCGAGCGGCACTACACGCCCCACAAGGCACCGCGCCCTCCTCCTCCATCACCAACGTCACCCCGCCCAACCCGCCCGCCCGCTCGGAGCAGGCGGGATGGGAGAGCAGAGGCTTCTGGGAGAGGTAGTTCACAGACGCTCCGCCTCTCGGGCGAGGTCAGGAGGACGACATACCCCACAATGCACCGCTCCCGACCCCGGCTGAAGGCTGAACTTCCGCTGCTCCTCCATTTCCGCCGCGCGGGGCCGGTGTCGCTGTCCGCAGGTGTGTGTGTGTGTGTGTGTGAGAGAGCGCGAGGCCGCGCTTCCTCCCCCTCTCCCCTCGTTACCGACAGTCTGGGATATGAGAAATGATATTAAACGGCTTCTTGAGGGCCGCGCCGCTGCCTAATGACCGCCCGGGGCTGCTGCTCTGTGTCGGTGCAGTGAGGCCCCGCACAGTGGGGGAGTGAAGCCGGTACACAGGTGGGGACCCGCCCACCCCGAGTGTGTGTGTGTGTCTCTGTGTCTGTCAGTCTGTGTGTGTCTCTGTGTGTGTGTGTGTGTGTCTCTCTGTGTGTGTGTGTGTGTGTGTGTCTCTCTGTGTGTGTGTCTGTGTGTGTCTCTCTGTGTGTGTGTGTGTGTGTGTCTCTCTGTGTGTGTGTCTGTGTGTGTCTCTCTGTGTGTGTGTGTCTGTGTGTGTGTGTCTCTGTGTGTGTTTGTGTGTGTGTCTGTGTCTGTGTGTGTGTGTGTCTGTGTGTGTGTGTGTCTGTGTGTGTGTGTCTCTGTGTGTGTGTGTGTCCCTGTGTGTGTGTGTGTCCCTGTGTGTGTGTCCCTGTGTGTGTGTGTGTCTGTGTGTGTGTGTGTGTGTCTGTGTGTGTGTGTGTCCCTGTGTGTGTGTGTCTGTGTGTGTGTGTGTCTGTGTGTGTGTGTGTGTGTGTGTCTGTGTGTGTGTGTCCCTGTGTGTGTGTCCCTGTGTGTGTGTGTCCCTGTGTGTGTGTGTCTCTGTGTGTGTGTGTGTCTCTGTGTGTGTGTGTGTGTCCCTGTGTGTGTGTGTGTGTCCCTGTGTGTGTGTGTGTCTGTGTGTGTCTCTGTGTGTGTGTCTGTCTGTCAGTTTCTGTGTGTCTGTCTGATTCTGTCTGTCTGGGGAAAGAACTTGGGGATGGCTGCATCCCCCGGGCCGGGTAGGGCAGGGCCGGGCGGCAGTGTAGGAATGTCCAGGCACCTGGACTGCCATCAAACAAGAACAACAAATTACATTTGTACAGTGCCTTTAATGTCAGGAGGATTTCCCAAATCATCCCAACCCCCAAACAGGTACTTCCAGGTACCTCCTTGCGTGTTGTTTCACAGCGGATTTTGGGTGAGGCATTTTTATTGAGTTTGAAAGTTGCAGAGAAGCTCAGCAAAGACTTTGAAATGATAGTCAGATGTTAAAAATAAAGCAATTTCATACAGTTATACTTAGGAAATACTTCTGGTATATAAAAGTGTGATTGGCTCAACACTTAACATTGAGTATTAACAGTGCAGTCACCCCCCATCCCCCCACCAATGCTCACATTTTACTAGCATTTTACATTTACTTTATTATTGCTAGTATTTAAAGCTGCCGGTAACACCCAGTGACCTTTTCTCAGTGTGTTGGTGTCAGATAGATGGAAAACTACAGTATGATAATTTGTGTGTGTGTATACGTGGATTGCTAAATATTTCAGTGACTTATATTATCTGCCTTCTCTTGATGCTTCGTAGATCTCTTTTGTCCTGATTACATCACATTAAACATATTATTTTAAATATTCTAAGAAAACTTGAATGATCCAAATCTGTATAGAGAAACTTGTGTTCCCATTCATGTTTGTACCTTTCATTCATATAGCATATCTCCAGCTGTCTTGTTTTGGATGATTCTCAGCAAATAATAAAGACCCACGCATGAGAAGATCACATTCAATTTAAGTAATTGCTGCTTCATTAACCTTTCAAATCATATTTCCTTCTGTAAATTCATTTATCAAATCAAATGGTAGAATGTCGAATCAATACCAATTAACAAGAGTGCTGATTGATCAAATCTAATCAATACAGAATATAATAAATCTCCGAAGTCAGCTGTAAACCAAATCATTAAAGCTGCCTCAAAGTCACCAGGTATTGATAGTCTTCATGAATGTCCTCATGCATCAGTGATTGGGACCATTCTGACAGTTGTCATAAAATGCTTTTAAAAATGTGTAGTAACCCTACAAAAAGTAGGTGCTATACCCACAATGATGTAAACCAGGTGATTTTCAGCAAAGTGCCAGAATCAAATTAATTCCTGTAACATTAAGCAAACAAAATTAAGAGGAATACATTTATTTATGAAACTAATTTTAAGGCACTTTGTTAACTTTCCTCCCAAAACCTTATAGTCTTTGGAATTGTGGTCATTTCTGCATTTCAAAACAACTGTTGAGATTTTTTCAATGCGGTTTTTGAATAGTGAATTCAGAAATTAATTGATTTTTTAAATCTGTTTAGCACAGGTTTCCCTTTCAATAGGATGATGAAGAGACAAATGATATTTGTTCATTCAGTTTCTGTTGCGTGGCTCCGAAACCTTAGATGTCAGTGTCGATTCCAAAGCAGGAGCAGACCAGTTGCTCCCCTTGGTTCACGGATTTTAAGTGACCCGAGCAGGGTTTTCGAACATAATATGTGGTAAGTAGATGTCACCTTTATATGGGTTAGCGTCTTTGAGCACTTAACAGTGGTGACAGCTTTGAAGAAAGCTTTACGTGCTCCAGCAAAACATTAGATCCAAAAGGGGGGAAAACGCAAACCTCAAACGCTTTGAAAGCTTTTTCTTTCACACAGAAGTAAAACAAGTGTGATGTACAGATTAAAATTGTTGTAGTTGTGCTTTTTTCTTTACACGCGATTCTCGTTTTATTTTCTTCTGTAGGGATCACATTCAGTGGACACCTGAACAAGAGGAATTAGCCAGACAAAAAGCAGAAGAAAATTCCAGGGTGAAAGTGTCATTGGAAGAACAAGGTGATTTGTGACAATTGAGTATTTAGGCAGATTTATCCTACATGAAAATCTCCATACAATTGCAAGTTTGTTGTAACTTGTAATCTGATTAGAGAAAGTACCTCTATGATTTTAATCTGTAATAGAGTATTCATAATTGATTTGCATAAATCTATATTGATGACCAGACGTTATTTCCACTGGTCATTGAGTCATTGACTGGAGGGCATCATTTGAAGCAAAGTGAGAGAATAGGAGATATTTTTTACACAGAGAGTCGTTGGGATATAGAAAGCCCTGCTGGGTTCAATGGTTGAGACAAAATCCATAATAACTTTCAAGAGGGATCCAGAAAGCACAAGGCTAGATGATGTACATTTTCTAATTGTTCCTACAGAACAGAACCTGTCCACATCTGGTGTTATTTAGCACTGTTATTGTGTCAAGAATTTCATTGTATCTTATTCATTATGATTGTATTGTCCCTGTGTTTCTTCTGTACTAGTATTATTATTTAAAAAGATATAAATACAAATCAGAAACTAAGCACTGGGTTAACATGTGCTGCATGTCATGTTGCATCCTCAGGGATTCAACAATAACAGTAATAATTTGTTAATGTACAGACCAAAGCATTAAAAGGTCAGCTCTGTTTTTATTGTTTATCTGTTTCACTATTTGTTGTTGTTACAGTGAAATATGAGAAGGATGCAAGTAAATATTGGGATGGATTCTACAGAACTCATCAAAGCAAGTTCTTCAAAGATCGTACTTGGTTGTTCCGAGAGTTTCCTGAACTTCTTCCAGATGGGATACTTGCTCGAAATGGAGCTAAAAAGGCCGCAATTATTCCTAAATTTAACTCTCACAGTTCCTCGCAAACACAATCGTCTACAATTTCAAAAGGAGCAAAATGTGATTGCTTTAGCAGCACACAAACTGAACAAATACTGTCTGATGTTGTAAGCACCAATTCTACAGAATGCACAAAACCAGTCTATGATATCACAGTGACTGCACATGAAGAACAAAGCTGCAATAATTTAGGCAAACACAAGAATCTGGGAGTGTTTCCCGGCTTTGGTCCTGGCTTCAGAATTTTTGAGGTATCTTTGTGAACGATGCAACTGATATATTGAGACTTGTTAAGATTGCTAATGTCAACATTTTCAAAAAAATGTGCAATACTTTTATATAGGATTCAGTAGTATAAGTGAATGTTTCAATCTGACTTTATTGTTTAACTTTATTGAAAATGATGTTTTTTCATATAATTTCTATTCATTTTAGGTTACATTTGCAACACATTTTTAAGATTTTTTGATTCCTTATTCTGCAAAATTTAGGTACAAAAATAATAACAATCCTAACACTTGTTATAGGCCTTATCACCTCGTTGAGACGCCTCAAAATATTTTTCTTCTCATCCATGAAATTTCACTTTCATTTTGCCTATCACACGAGTTCAAAGTGATTTGGAAAAAGATGATCAAAGTTAAGCACCCAGTTAATAGGACGCGTATTTCTGTAGAGCAGACCTTGTTACCTCCATCTTTGTGCCAATTTTAATATATAATCAACTGTATGTTTCTTGTTTCAGTTACAAAGCTAAAATTGAGGCAAATGTAAACTGAAATACTTATCTTTCTTTCATACCAATCAGGTTGGATGTGGTGCTGGAAACAGTGTTTTTCCTATTCTGGCTGAAATGCGGTATGTAAAACATAGGCTTGCAATTTAACTATGGAATCTAGTGTGATTTGATTCATAGCAGTATTGTATCTCGTATCCATGCGTGTCTCTAAATTCTGTTAATGTTGGGTAGCCAACATCCACTTTTATTGATATCATAGAGTAACGTAAAGTATTTCATCTGGCCCACCTGCTCGCTCCCCCCATAACCCGTAATTGTCATGTTACATTTCTGGAAGGGAAACACAATATTGCTTATGCTGCCCGTGGACATTTCTCAAATAGAGCATTCAACCCTCAGCAGCCAAACGATTGGACCAACCTGACTTAAATCATTATGCTGCCAATATTCCCGCGGTGTTTTTTGGATATACATTTAAATAACTCGCCACTCCGGATAACTCTTCATTGAGCTTTTTTCTTTATGAAACATTGATTGTCCAGCCCTTTGGGACGTCCTCCTGACGTGAAAAGGCTATACAAGTGTAATTTTGTTGTTGTTGTTCCCTTGGAGTGACGATTTATCAAGAGTTTGCTGTGTATCAGCGCCTTGGGATGTCCTCCCCACGTGAAAGGCGCTATACAAATGTAATCTTGTTGTTGTATAGCCAAATAATGGCCAGGTGTATATCAATAACTGACTGGTTTCACAGCTTGAAGATTTGCATAATCTTTTTTGAAACCTGAACATACTGGAATTGTTTGAAAGTCTGTTATGATCTAATCTTTTTCTGATTGAATTAATTGTAGCTAATAATGTTGCTAGAAAGGAAATGAACAAATTGGGTAAAAATCTGCATGATGCAATCGAGGGTGTGTACCCTCTGAAATTTCCCTCCCTCCCTTATAGTAAAGTGCCTCTGGTCTGTTTGGTTCCACCCCAACAGCCCAGGAGCTCATAGTGTGTGGAAACACAGGCAGATTTTCAATCTGTTGTATGGAACATTACTTATTTCATATTTTGTGTCATCTTGCTAGCCCTTGTTACTCATTTGTAGAAGAGAAAATTGGGATGAGGGACCTGGGAACAGGAGAGCATGCATGAAATGAATACTTTTTATCGTCTGCAAAATATACAGTCAATTCACTCTGCAAAATATTCTGTGAAGTGCTTTGAGACGTCTAGAAAACGTGATAAGATGCTATCTCAAATGCGAGTGTTATTATTAATCTGGTCCACAATAACATCAATCCAACACCGTGTTTGGTTTTTTAGTGAATTTTGATGAGGGTCTTCATGCCACAAACACAATCTTGAGGTGAGTTAAGAGCCTTAACTAATGCAAGGATTATTATTATTACTATTACTTTTATGAATTTGTAGCAAATGCAAATAAGGAAATTTTTAATGAACATTATTAAATACTAAATAATGTAGAAATTAAATCCCCAGGGAGTTGACATTGAAGGAGGATTTTTTTTTTCATCCAGACCACTGCTATTTAGTTCTCTTACAATGTATGTATTAAATCCAAATCAATACTTTCATTTAAATCAATGATACCTTCCATTCAACGCCAACCCTACATTGGAACTTTCATTGCATTAAATGTTACACCCTTCAGATATGATGGTATAAACCTTACCAAATCTTGATCATAGGACAAAAGAATGATAAATCTACCTAAATTGGAGCTAATGTGAATGTGTAATTATTTTTCTTAGCCTGGATACGCTTATAATTTAGGCCAAGGGTAACTCTCATAGTTATAAATGGTGACGAGATGACTGGATTGAACGTAGTTAATGGCTTCATTTTGTAAACTAATCCCAATTATATCCCATGTAAAGTGTTGGGGAAATGTGGTTGCTAAGCACCATTTCTGTTCTGGAGTATCCAAAACCATAAACCGTGACAAGCACATATTAAAATAATATACTGCACATGGGAACGCACTTTCCGATGTAAAAGAACAAATTAAGCTTTCTGGCTTATGCATAATTGCTTCTGAGTAATTATTTAAAGCTGTTTGGTGCCACATTCAGGAAAATTTGTTAAAATAATGTGGTCGAAGTGAAGACGTTGATTTACTTTAGAAGATGAGGATTTCAATATTAGCGCATGATTCTGTTTTCCTCATTCGGTGATTTACGATACACGACTTGGTTGAATGCAAAAAATGTTAACTTTACATTGGAGACTTTGATGAGGGGTTAACAGAGTAGACTGCGATTGTACATCGGATCAATCTTACCTTCTCTTTCCCCTCCCCCTGAGCTACTGTTTCTCCTCAATCAGATCGCTTCTCTGTACCTGAACAATTGATCCATGAATAAAACATGCTCCCAATCTGGTATTTCAGAATGTTTTATTTATACTTTTTAAGGTTATTTTTCAACCTGGGAAAGAAAGGATCCTAGCTGGTAGAACAGGCACAAATCCTACTTCCAGCTTTTCTCTTATGTCGCTCAAAGGCCAGCCACTATGAGGTGTAACAAGGCAGTCCCTGGTGACTCTCTCAATTTTCCCCTTCCGAGCTTCTCATCAGCACCTTCCAACCGCAGCTAAGATGGCTGATTCATGCAGAACTCTGGGTGCAGACCTGCAATGCGCCCCTGAATCTCGATACCTTTAAAAACAAAACTTGACTATATTTTCACCCCTTCGTGCACATTGTTTTAATTTCATTCTCAACATAACCTGCTTCGTCAAACGGATTCCTAATTTTTATAATCTCTGTATCGTCTAAGTAAATTATATTTCACGACATCAGTTTATCAAATCTTCCTAAAATAAATTCAGTGCATAAATGTGTCAGTCTTGTGTTTTAAGTACATAAAAATTGCATTTATTTATGTTCAAGGACAAGAAAATAAGTTGATATTTCCTCTTTCACTGTAGACATTCCGATGGATTCCTTTATTGCTGTGATTTCTCTCCATATGCGGTGGATCTGGTCAAGGTATGCACTGGAGTTTGTTTTGTAGAATAGTCATGCGTTCTTTTGAATCATTATGGATCTATTATGTATCTCGGCAACAGTTATACCCAGCCCAATAAATCCTGGAGTCTTATGGACCAACATTATTTGGGTCTTAATTGAGTGCAGATAGGGCTTGATTAATGAGGATTTAAAAATTGTTCTGAAATTCAAATTGATTCATATAGATTTTGAATAGGATAAAATAATTGGGGCCTTGGTTTCTTAAAACCAACAAAGCATAGATGAAAATTCATTTGGCTTCATGCAAAAGACGAGTTATTTTATATGATATCTTTCTGTGGATTTTAATTACTTTCTAAATTGTAAATGAAACAGATTTTCTTTTTTAAAAAAGGATTAGTTAAATCTGACTAAATAGCTGTTAAAACCACCTTTTGTTCATTGCTTTCAGTCACACCCTTCCTATAATGCAGTTCACTGTAATGCCTTTGTTCATGATGTGTGTGATGAAACAGACACCTACCCATTTCCAGACGAGAGTATTGATGTAATTCTCCTTGTCTTTGTGCTTTCTTCTATCCACCCTGAAAGGTAGGTAAAGGTGAAAGATCGTGAAAAATGTCCTCCAGCTCATTCATCATTTGAGATTATTCAGAATGATTTCAGACCTAGGTAGCACTATATTACAACACCCTGCAGAAATTCCGTTCACAGAACAAAATATTCATTTTCAGAAAGCTGGAATAATTATGATGAATGTAACTTGCATAACCATATTTTTGAGGAACAGTCATATATATTTGGAACGTTTGTTTGTAACCCAGGACAGAACACGTGTGGATTTATCTTTAAGTACCTTTTCAATAAAGCATGAGAAAGTAACGGCTGTCTTGCCTGTTATATAAGGTGATGTGTGACAGCAGTTGAAATCATGATTATGTGTTTTGGACAGTAGCCAGGGTGAGAACAAAGCTCTGTCCGTAAAAAGTACTTTAGTGCCTTTAAAATTAAACTAAATTACATAAAGTTAGAAAGCCAGTTAATAGTATAATAAATGCAATTTCCTATTTACATGCATCACATTTTTTAATTATTGAGAAAAGCTATGGCTCATAGTTAATGATAATCTACCAGGAAACTGCAGAATTTATTTTATTTCCACAACTAGAAATCCTTTGCAGAGATACAATAATTAATATAGTAAAATCAATGAGATCACAAGGGTAAGTTATGAGACAGAAAAAACTGCTTTTCAACACGAACGTCACATAATCTATCTAATAATATTAATTAATAACAGTAATAATCTTTGCATTTGATATAGCGCCTTATCACATCTTTGAGACATCTCACAGTGCTTCACAAAATGACTATTTGTGTGGGCTAAACGCAGCGGCCAATCGCACACAGCAGTATCCCACAAACCGTCGTGGTTTGAAGTGATCACTTTTTTTTTGAATGTCGTTTTTGACTCTCACACTACGCCTTGAGGACTGTATTTTTTTCAAAAAAAATCAATGATGGTACAATTTGATTCATTAAATCTTGCCCAAAGTGTTACCGGATTTCAAATGAATCGGTTATTTCCCACGTGGGAATGGTCTGATCCCATTGGCAGATTTGCCTCTTACATTCAGTTGATCTATTTTATCTGGTTATTGTAAAGCTATTGTCTCAATAGCTAGAAGCAGTGACCAAGAAGAAGAAAAAAAAATGTAAGAAGGCAGTTGTCACACCCACAAATTTTCCTCCCATAGTTGCAAAGTCTCTCTGCTATTGGCTGCTTGACTGACTGTTGTTCATAAATGTATGTCAGCAGCAAAATTGCAGTCTCCCATTTTGTGTTCAGTTTTTGCAGTCAGAGCACGAGTGGATATGTTGATACACTGGATGCCAGTTATTGCCAGTTTTAGTTGAACAGCCAGAATTTGACAGTAGGCATGAGGTGACCCTTAAAGTGTTTCATCCAATATTTTGCAACTCTGCACAAGAAATTGCTCAAGATGGAACTATTTTGCTCAGATTTTAAATACAACTCCACCCCCTTATAAATAACATGGAGCTTGCTGTGACATTGTTCATTTCAAGGGAGTTGCAAATACTGTACTCGCATCTCCCAACTGTGATCCATCATTAAGTACAGATGTTTTTAAGGATAAATATGTAGAATGAGACCATATCAGGTTTTTTTGTTTTTTTTTTGAAAATCAGTCTATTTAAAAATAATCGTTGCTTCAGAAAAAAATGGCGCCTACAAGCAACGCCTAGCCGAGGGGTGGAGACCGTAGGCATGGTCGAAGTGGAAAGCGATAGTAAAAATAGTGGCGATCGGAAACTTTAAGAGCCAAGCAAGAATGCTAGAAAATATATTGTTGTGAATCGTAGGAAATGACAGTACAGGAATTCATGTTGCAGAGCTAACACAGATATCTATTACAGGTCTGGTCAGTATTCCATGGAAAAATTCCTGGAAATGATTGCAAGATCATGAATGTCGTTGAGAACACGAATGAGTTTACAACTGAGAGATAATTTTCTCTCTGCTGTGTTAACCCGCCCAATGATATCACATGCTTGAAATTCTTCCTGCACTTTCATTTTAGTGAATGGTTTTATTTCATTTGGTCTTTGCTCTTAATGTTGGTCATGGCTCTTCTAGAACCGAACCATCAGTGGAACAACTTATTGTTATGCAACGTTTAATGCTAAAAGCTTAACAAATGTGATATGATCAACAGTCCTGTTTATCAACCAAAATAAACAAAATATATTTAACAAAATATAGTTTTGCCGACAAAATACACTTTTGTATTATTTATTAAAATCAGTGTATATTACATATGTATTAATATAAAGCCCTTATTTTTATACTTTAACAGATGTATTCTATGTATAAATACATTATTCATCCAAAGGGAGTTTCTTCTAGTGTCCTGGCCAAAAATCTCCCAGAATAAACAAACAGTTTATTCAGTCAATTGTGATCAATAATTAACTATAATAATAATATTGCTTGGAATTGATATAGTGCCTTATCAAGTCTTCGAGACATCTCAAAGCGCTTCACAGGGTACACTATAAAGTGAATTGACTGTATATTTTGTGGGCGAAACGTGGCAGCCAATTACACACAGCAGTGTCCCACAAACGGTCATGAATTGAGTGACCAATTTATTGATAAAGAACTTTTATCAGGGGTCAGGATTCCTGTGTTTCCTAATTTTAGTCAAAATGATGCGAGTTATCGGTGATGTTGATGCTTTCTTCAGGTAGGAATGGTGAAGGTTCCTGCTGAGGTGTGCGGAAGGTTTTCTCCTTGAACTGTGAAGAGAGCAGATGGTACTCTCAGTACAAATGCACAAACACATCTATTTGGGTACTGCATTGTACTCCTACACCGTTTCTGACACAGCTACAGCTTTCTCATTACATATGCCGACATCCACTTGTGCACATAGTTTAAATATCAAAACAATTGCTTACTCCCAGCTAAATTTTTATTGATATTTACAAACCCCAAATCTTTGGTGCCAATATATTATTTTTCTTGACTTTTTAATTTAGCTGTATTATACTTTGAATGCTTAATTATGTTTTTTTTAATTATTTCTAGAATGCCGGAGGTTGTGAAAAGGCTTTCTAAATTGCTCAAACCTGGAGGGATGATATTATTTCGGGATTATGGCAGATATGATATGTCTCAACTTAGACTGAAAAAAGGTGATCTATTCTAAGTCTTTCATTAAATATTATTAAATCTGAAAAACTCCTACAGATATTTTACTCTTTTTTTCCTCTCTCTCTCAGTCTCCTTTTTGAATGCTAAGTACAGTTCCAATGTTGACCTTGATACCTCACTCAATTGGTTATTTTTCATGTGTTAGAATGGGCAGGGAGATTTAGGCAGGCTATTGGAGTGTGTATCTTAATGCCACATCAGATAGCATAAATCTTCACGACACCTACTTGAAGAAAGGATCAGCACCACTAATCTGTCCTTGTATCCACACACATGGACTTCCACCAGAGTTGATGGGTAATGGTCAAAATATCTTCTGATATTGCCAATATCCTTCTCTTTCTAAACTCATTGCAATAACCCTGCTTCTGTTCCATCTGAGTTCGGTTCATTCATCAGTAGACTGCCAATTAAATATAGAGCTTTGATGATCTCTCAGACGCACTGGAGGCATGGAGGTGGTAGAGAAACGACTGCTCACGACTTATAATTACATCTCTTGAAGATTTAGAAAACTTTGAGTGTTTGCAGATGCTTACTCTATTCTTCAAGATAAGGTGCCAAGATACTCATTCTCGTATGTTTCTTCAGCCTTTTGTTTTACCCAAAAGAACTGTTAGACCACTATTTAATGGATACTGAAAGAAAAATGAAATATAATTCCCGAATGAATTATATCAAAAGAATCATCGTGATTTCCACCTGTTCATCTTCTAACTTATAACTTGTTTTTTTGTTTTATGTTGCATTCTCTTCATTAGGTCGTTGCTTAGATGGAAACTTTTATGTTCGAGGAGATGGTACAAGAGTTTACTACTTTACAAAAGGTATAAGTAATAGTGGAGAACTTTTCAATTATATAGGTACTAAACAGGGAACTGTTGCATGTAAAATTTATTCCACAAGTGAAGAAATTCTGAAATACTCACACATAGCAAAGTCAAAAGTGAGTTGTTAGCACCTTCCTCGGTTAATGAAAGCATAAATCATTCTCTACTGAGTGTTCTTTTAACACCTCACGTTTATGATTACTTTTTTGATTTTGTTTTAATTTTCCTTAAAATGTGAATTGTAACAGGTATAGAGGATACTGCTCCATTAACACCATTCAGTAGATCTCTGCTTTACCTGCCTGATCTCTCCACAAAGAAGTGGCTCCACATCCTTTTACCAATGATAAAGAATGATGTTAGCAGGACCTTTTCAGCCTAAAATAAAATACATTGCGCCTTGAATAAAGGGTTAGATGATGGTTTAGCTGTGACTCGATATACAGACAAGAACCATTTGAAATTCATATAGATAATAAAATTGTATGCTCAGCTGCAGGAGGACTGAAATATGCAGTTACTGCGATAGAATTGCAACAGTATGGTTTAATTCCATACAAGTGCCAGAATTCCCTGGTTAAACGCAATTTACATTTCTTTTAGTTTTTGTTTTGAATGGTAAAGCAAGATACTCTTTCTGTAGTCAGTATACAAAACATTCCATTTTGGACTAAGGTGACCTTGGAATTTGATTCTTTACCTCAGCTGAACCAATGTTCAAGATTGTAAAGGGTGAGAGGAAAGAAATCTAGGTAGTATACATGTCATTTGTGGTATTGGTATATGTAATGAGAGATGTAGATCAGCACAAAATAAGCCATATATTGTGGATTGTTTAGACTGATTTTAATCCTTGTCTGGCTCATAACTTAGGTTTCCATAGTACCAAGGCAGTGTCAAAGATGAGTGAGGTAGTGTTCACCAGCACACAAGTGAATGAGCGTCTTATCTATCTGTCAAAACAACATTAATGCTTGACGTCAAAGGTGGCCATGTTGTTTGGCTGCCGTTGAATGTGTTTGCCCCATAAAACCAAGGGAAGTGGCTTTAACCTTAATGGCGAGTCTGAACTTCCTCAGCCACCGGAGGAAGTGGCACCCATTGACTAAAAAGTCACTATTTGCAATTTGCCAATTCTTTACAGTTTTAAATACCATAAAGACTCACACACTCTTGAGTTGAAGGCTTATAAAAATGACTTGATGCAATTAAAAATAAAAAAAATGTGTACAATAAGAGTATTACATATTGTGGTACATTTGTTTGATGCAATTTTCTGATGATTATGGGAGCTTTAAAGCTAAATTGTACGTGAAACTTTCATGTGGACATTTGTTTGAAGGTAGATTTTATGCTATAGAAATTGTGGAACCACTTTCTGAAATGGTTCTCCAGTATTCGTGAACCATGAATTTTCTTGCTATCGGTTAAATGCAATGTAGTAGTGTATTCTTTTCATTCATTAAACCTGTATCATTCATTATTTTCTTCAATAGAAGAAATTGCTAATATTTTCATATCCGCTGGTTTGAAAGAAGTTCAAAATCTAGTGGATCGACGACTTCAAGTTAACCGGAAAAAGAAAATTGCAATGCACAGAATTTGGATACAAAGCAAATACCAAAAAGAGCCATAAGGTGCCAAAGTAAGGCTGAAGGTACTTACTTTTAAAGGTTGTAAGGATTGTTTTTATTAAAACTTAATAATTTATTAAAATTATTAAAAATGAGCTCAAACAGGGATGATTCAGAATGATGACTTTATTTCAAATTAGTTTGCTCAATCTGCATTCAACATCTCATCACAGGGTTTCTAACATGATCTGCACCATTGCATTGTACTTCTTTGACAACCAATGAACCCAAGGACCTAGATAATATTATAGCATTACATCCTCTCCCAGAGACTTCAAAAGAAAGGTGGTTTAATTTAATAGTTGCCTATCAAGATTGTATTTCATTGATATAGTTGTATATAATATTGATCCATAACAAAGACATTTAAGAACTAATTTTAGAGACCTATCTACATATTTAAAGTGGGTTTTAGCAAATGCATTGGTTTGGTACTACAAGTATAGCTCCCAAAAGTCCCAACTCATTAGACAAGCAACCTTTTCACCAGGGAGACATAATCATGTTGATGTTTTAACATTCATTGTTTCTTTGCTGCTTCACAGTCCTTCTTTGTTTTTAAATGTGTGTCATTACAAACCAATGTACATGGAGAAGTGTAAAATCTGACTTGCTGATAGATTACTCCATTCACAGATCTTCAGTCGAGATATATAAATGTTGACTTTGGTTATATATTTCCCCCCACTCTTACTTTACAATATCCTTTCTGCACTCCCAAGGTGTTATTCTACACGAAGAGTGCCATATAAATCGTGTTATAAAGTTCTGCATCTGAAGCAAATGAATATAAATTACTATTTACGTAGTGGTTTTAATGAGGCAAGTTCATCAAAGATGCTTGTTTAAAAAAACAATCCGTATGTTTAATAGACCAACCATGGCAATATAATCATGTATTTAACTTTATCATAATATAACTGTAAGTCTATGTAAAATGGAGAACTAAATATAAATATAACATAATACTTAAACTGAAAGTAACTGATGGCAAATGATGGCATCATCCTAACCCATCTTATTCCATAGGAGATTTTACTCTCCAATTAAAACAGGAACTTTGGGTTACAACCACAGGAAGAATTGGAAGCAAATCATATTGTAACTTACAAGCAGATATCAGAAAGTTCAACATGTAATACTCAGAAAGTTTGTAACAAATGCTGTCCTTGTGTGTAGAGAACCATTAAGATATCTAATGTTCCTTATTTTATTTATATTCAAGATCACAATTTTGTTCTTCCTGCGGGCTATTTAAAATATTTATTTTATAGCTTAAAATCAATCACCATTTCATTGAACCAGTCTGGCTTCCCTCCACCTTGTTTCTGGAGTGACTGTAGGCATTACATGGCTACTTAATGTCCTGGCCAACAATCCCCCAAATAAAATTGGTCCCTCTCTTCATGGCTGAATGTGGGACATTGCTGAGTACAAATTGACTGCTACGAATGCATAGTCGCTGCACATCACAGTAAAATCCCACGATGCACTTTGAGACATCTCAATGACGTTATAAAGCGCTATATCAAATGCAAAGATTATTATAATACATCGCATTTGTTCTAGAAAATGGTCACCTGCTGAAGTCTGCTCAGCCTCCTCTCAGTTATACACTTTATTAACGATTTCAACAAATTTCTGGTCGCAGAATTGTAATATTAACAATGAAATGATCAACTGTGCGATTAATTTCCAACATTTATCAAGCGCTCCAGGATGCAACTCTGCGACAAAGGCGCTATATACATGCGAGTTGTTGTTGTTATCCTCTTTCGAATTCCCATCAACCTGCTGGAACTAGCAGCTGTGCATAAGCAGGACAGGTGAAGAAATCTCCATTGGTGCAACTCCTGATTCCTTATTAAAGAATCACGCTAAGACGTACCACAAATTAGACCTCAATATCATGCTAGGACACCTCACCCTCTCTTGGTTCAAAGCATTAAACCAAATATTGAGCAATGCACACTTGGCCAGAATGATTCAACAACAACAAAAGTATATTTGTATAGCGCCTTTCCCGTCAGGAGGATGTCCCAAGGCGCTGGACAATCAGTATTGCAGATTTTTTTTGGAAAGCAGAAAGGGTATCAAATGTAAAAATGTTCTAGGCATTACTGTCACTGACTCTGAGTGCTGCACTTTTAAAAGTACTGACTAAAACAATAGGATTTCAGGCATTAATATTGGAATAGAAAGGTAAAAAAAAACATTTTGTGGGAAACCTATCAACATAAATCAAAGTTTTGAAATAAACTTTATGTATTAGATGTATCCCATACATAGGAATTGAGCTCATTCATAATTTAAGACCAGATTAAAATTTTACTAAATGGTTTAAGATAGTATTAAAAAGGAAAAAAAAAATACCTGGATGATCTTTCCCGATAAATACACTAAAACACTTAGTTGATGTGTTAAGATTCTGACCCACTGCTTGATCCACAATCTTCTCACATAGAGGGACTCACAAACATTGGCGGACAGCTGGTTTTGTTTCATTGTGCATTCTATAAACTATTCTCTTAAACTATGTATGTATTGAACGGACGGTATATTGAAGATGCACATCTTTCCATTGCTCCTCAGAGAATAATCAAATATATATACATTCATCATACTTCAGAACAACATTGATACGATAGAAACGTTTAGTTTTATGCAACATGGATGCAAGTCAATGTATTCGAAAGGAAATACTCATTTAATTGTACTTTTACCAGAGGAATTTTCCACCTACTTCCACAGACCTCCCCACCTCCATGTTGACATTTTTACCACTGACATTTGACATTGACATCATGTGGGGGAGTTTCAGATTTACTGTAAATCCTTTCACATTCTATGTATTGACATCGAGAGTAGCTTTTGCAACGTAGAGCAAAGCAGGATGTGGAAGGGTCAAGTGATGTTACACAGACTCATTCATTGTCAGTCCTGACAGAACAGAATTAGGGGGAAAAGCCTACAGATGATTTTTTTTTACTCACTTTCAAGAAATTCGGTTTTCTCTTTACAATACTAAATATCTATTTTCCAATTCAAAATTATTTAAGGTCAAAGTTTGCCCACAATTTGAATACTTCCTTCCACCAAATCTGGGGAGACAGCGCTTTCAATACTGGGTATAATATAAAAAGAGGCGATCATCTGATTTGCCATTATCCCCTCAGGCTGCTTCCTCTTTTTCTCTCTCTCTCCCCATCACTAACTTTATGTCTATCTCTATTTCACATGTTGTACTTTGGTATTCCTTCTCCAAACTTTCCTCGCATGTTCTTCATAAGCTTCAAATGCCGTACATTGTTCCATATCCTTTAACTGTCCTGGAATTGCAAGCCTGGAGCTCTTTACGTTTGGCATTACCTGGTCACTTCAAGTTTAATCTCGTGTTCCAAGCTGTTCTTTTTAACCTTGTACACAACATCGACCCATCCTCGAGGTTTTCAAAAAATTTTTAATTTATTTTTGCCCATCGGGATGGCAGGCGTGTCGGCATTGATAAGTCCGAACAGGTCCCCTTCGAGTTGTAGACGAATTTGAAAATGTGATATTTCGGGACTGCAATTATCCATTTAGCAATTTAAGAGTATAAAAATCAAGAAATTTATAGTATATTCTGTGAAGTGCTTTGAGATGTTTCGGAGACTTTTGATAAAGCGCTATATCAAATGCAAGGATTACCTGTGAAACACTTTGAGGCGTTCTTCTGATGTGGAAAGCACTGCAACAGATCGTATTGTTTATCATAGAACCGTGAAGGTTCGTCCCTTCATTGCTGTGATAATATTATTTCAAGTTCGTTATTCTTTCTGTTATAATTATTGCACACGTTACTGACGCTGGTAGACTTGGATATAACAGACCTCGAATTTGAACCGATGAAATGTTTGGCAAGCGTTTTCCCTGTGTTTGCCAAACATTGCGACACAGCAGAGCAAATCATGTCACAACATTTCAATGCAAGGTTAAAGCATCAGCTTCTTACTTGAGCAGAATTTTACAGTCATGACAATGATGTGTTCTCCCCTCTCAAACCCTCTCTACCTGTCCCACCCTCTCACCCCCTCCCTCCCCGCTCCCGCCCTCAGCCCCCACCTGTGTCTCTTTTACCCGCTCTTACCCCCCAGCCCTTCATTCACTCACTCCTCCCTCTATGTAAGTGCTACAAAACGCTATCCCAAGTGAAGAGCACAATATAAATGGACATTATCTCCCTCAACCCCCCCCCCCCCCGCCGTCTCTCTCTCCCCCTCTCGCTTTTACCCCATGTATATCTCCCACCCCCTCATTCTATTCTACTCTTTCCGTCTCTTTCACCCCCAGCCCTCTCTTACACACACCCTCTTAACCCCTCGTCTATCTCACACACATCCTTCTTTCTCTCTTACCCAGTTTCACCCCCTCTCAATTGCCCCAACTATCTCTCACACTCTCAATTACGCCGTCTCTCACACACACATATTCTCTCTTTTACCCTTCTCTCTCTATTATTCCTCTCTCTCACGCACTCTCTATTACCCCTCTCAGTCTCTTTCTCTATTACCCCTTTCTCTCACTCTCTATTACCCCTCTTTCTCTCACTCTATTACCCCTTTCACTCTCTCTCTATTACCCCTTTCTCTATTACCCCTCTTTCTCTCACACACTCTCTCTTTTACCCCTCTTTCTCTAACTCTCTATTACCCCTCTTTCTCTCACTTTCTATTACCCCTCTTTCTCTCACTCTCTATTACCCCTCTTTCTCTCACTCTCTATTACCTCTTTCTCTCACTCTATTACCCCTTTCACTCTCTCTCTATTACCTCTCTCTCTTACCCCTTTCTCTATTACCCCTTTTTCTCTCACTCTCTATTACCCCTTTCACTCACTCTCTACTACCTCTCTTTCTCTATTACCCCTCACTCTCACACTATTACCCCTCTCACACTTTATTACCCCTCTTGCACACTCTCTCTATTACCCTTCTCTCACTCTATTACCTCTTTCTCTCACCCTCTCTATTACCCCTCTTTCTTTCACTCTCTATTACCCCTTTCTCTCACCCTCTCTATTACCCCTCTTTCACTCTCACACTGTTACCCCTCTTTCTCTCACACTCTCTCTATTACCTCCTTTCTCTCACCCTCTCTATTACCCCTTTCTTTCACTCTCTCACTCTCTCTATTACCTCTCTCTGTTACCCCTCTTTCTCTCACACTCTCTGTTACCCCTCTCACTCTATTACCCCCTTTCACTCTCACACTCTGTTACCCCTCTTTCTCACACTCTCTCTGTTACCTCTTTCTCTCACACTCTCTCTGTTACCCCTTTCTCTCACACTCTCTGTTACCCCCTTTCACTCTCTCTGTTACCCCTCTTTCACTCTCTGTTACCCCTCTTTCTCTCTCACTCTCTCTGTTACCCCTCTTTCTCTCTCACACTCTCTCTGTTACCCCTCTTTCTCTCACACTCTGTTACCCCCTTTCACTCTCACACTCTCTGTTACCCCCTTTCACTCTCACACTCTGTTACCCCTCTTTCACTCTCACACTCTCTCTGTTACCCCTCTTTCACTCTCTCACTCTCTGTTACCCCTCTTTCACTCTCTCACTCTCTGTTACCCCTCTTTCACTCTCACACTCTCTGTTACCCCTCTTTCACTCTCACACTCTCTCTGTTACCCCTCTTTCACTCTCTCACTCTCTGTTACCCCTCTTTCACTCTCTCACTCTCTGTTACCCCTCTTTCTCTCTCACACTCTCTCTGTTACCCCTCTTTCTCTCACACTCTGTTACCCCCTTTCACTCTCACTCTCTGTTACCCCCTTTCACTATCACACTCTGTTACCCCTCTTTCTCCTACTCTCTCTGTTACCCCTCTTTCACTCTCTCTGTTACCCCTCTTTCACTCTCTCACTCTCTGTTACCCCTTTTTCTCTCACACTCTCTGTTACCCCTCTTTCTCTCGCACTCTCTCTCTGCTCCTCCCCATCCACTTGGATGGCTGGAGGGCGTGTGTGTGTGACGTCACACGGGGCGTGGCCTCCGTGACGCGGGGGCGGGGCGGGGGGCGGGAAGGGGCGGAGTTGGCGGGGGGGGCGGGGTCAGAGGGCGGGGCCGAGAGTGGGGGGTGGGGGGGCGGGGCTGTCCCTCACTTTCAGGCCGCGATGAAGATCGAGAGAACGGGATCCTCGCTCCGCACGACAGTGTCGTAAAGTCCCAGACCCCACCGCGCGCGCCGCCCCACCCCCACTCCCCCTCCCCCCCCCGCGAGAAGCCCCATAATAATATCAGTCCGTGTGAGAGCAGCCGTCGGCCTCTGGGACCGCGAGCAGCAGCTACACACACACACACACACACACACAGGGGGGGCAGCGACGGTATTTACCCCCTCCCTCTTCCTCCCTTTCTCTCTCTCTCTCTCTCCCTTCTTTCCTTCCTCTCTTCTTCTTCTTCTTCCTCCTCCTCTTCCTCATTCACACAGACAATGGTGGAGAAGTTCCCCAATTGAGAGAGAGAGAGGAGAGACCAGAGCCTCATCTCCTCCTTCCTCCTCCTCCTCTGGACTGGGAAAGTTTGAGGGGCAAAAGGGGAAGGAGACCACAGGACAGACGGGCGGGCGGGCGGCGGGAGGAGCTCTCAGGAGGGGGTTAGTGAAGAGGGAGGAGGTACAGGGGTGGGGGGGGGAGAGAACCTGCTGGGGGTGGATTGAGCGGTGGGTGAGGGAGAGGCCAGACTGCCTCTGGCTTCTTCCCACCCTCCCTCTTCCTCCCTCCCTCTCCCTCTCTCTCTCTCTCTGAGCCACACCACCCTGAGGCCGGGCCCCGGCCAGACTGGGTTAGTTGGGGTGAAAGGAAAGCCCTTTCGACTTCCTCCACTCTTATTGCCATCTTTCTCCCTCCCTCCCTCTCTCTCCCTCTCCTCCTCGAGCTGCAGCGACCTCGCCATCATCACTTATTGCCATCGACTACTATTCACCGCGGGGGGGGGGGGGGGGAAGGAGGAGAGAGAGAGAGAGAGGGGAGAGAGAGAGAGAAGGAGAGGGAGAGGACCGAGGAGAAGAGAGAGTGAGAGTGGTATTATTTTTCGCACCCGCCGACCAGAATGCGTGACGCTTAAAACTCCCCGCCCGATGCGAGCGAAGGTTACAGGGGCTACGACTTGAAGACAGACGCAGTGCAGAGGTGGGTGTCTGAAGGTTTGTCACCCCCCCACACACACACACACACACCCCACCCCAGGCCTCTCTCTCACTCTCTCACTCACTCTCTCTCTCACTCTCTCTCATCAGCAAATAATAATCATTAATAATAATAATAATAACAACAGAGCGATAGCTTAACCTCCCACACACATCCCCTCTCCCTCCCTCTCTCTCTCCCTCTCCTCCCCTTCGTCTCGGAGGCCTTTTTTTTTTGGGGGGGGGGGGGGTTGGTGAGTCGAGGCCTTGGGAGGGGGAGTGGGGGGAGCGGTGGAGGGAGAGATAGAGACAGAGAGAGAGAGAGAGAGAGAGAGAAAAAATATCGACAGCTTTTTTTGGGGGGCACTTTCTTGTGGGCTCCCTCTCTCCTCTTTCCCCCCCCCTCTCTCTCTCTCTCTCTCTCTCCCCCCCTCCCTAAAGTGTTGGATATTGCGTATTATTATTCATTATTTGGGTGTTGGTGGTGGGGGGAGGAGGAGAGCGGCGTTTAATTTTAATTTTTTTTTCTTTTTTAGTTTTTTTTTGTGTGGGGCTGGGGGTGGGGGGGGGGTCGGGGGCTGATCCGTGGTAATCTCAGAGGGAGGGAGGGAGGGAGGGGTGTGTGTGTGTGGGGGTGGGGTGGGGGTGTGGGGGGGATTGAGGTGAGAGGGGGTACTCTGTGTGTGTGTGTGTGAGAGAGAGAGAGAGAGAGAGAGGCTGACGCTTGTGAGAGTGGTTTGAGTGAGTGATCGAGTGTTTTGCCTCTCTCTCTCTCCCCCTCTCTCTGTGTGTGTGTGTGTGTGTGTCTCTCTCTCTCTCTCCTCTCTCTCTCTCTCTCTCTCTCTCTCACAAAATCAGCTTTGATGAGTGTCCAAAGTAGTAACAGTGGAAGTGGTGGTGGAAGTTTGGAGGGGACGCCATCTTGGTCCCAGCTCTCCACGTCCCCAACGCCGGGAGCTCTGCAGACGAGCGCGGCACCTGTGAGGCCTCATAAAGAAGGTAAATCACCCCCTCCAACTCCCCCCACTCCCCTCCCTCCCTCCCTCCCTCCTCCACTCTATACCCTCTCTCCCTCCCTCTCTCCCCTCTCTCACTCCCTCTCTCCCCCCTCCCCCCTTCCCCCTCTCCCTCTGAGTCTCTTTTGCTTCGCTTCATAAATTGTAAATGTTCTTTTTTTTTTGGAGGAGGAGGAGGAGGAGAATGAGGGATATGGGGATATTTCTCTCTCTCTCTCTCTCTCTGTGTATGTTTTTAGAAAGAAGTGTGTGCGGGTCCCCCCCAAAGGCGGGTTACTCACTCTAATGAGGGCCTTGGGTTTAGGTACATTAGGTGTCTCTCTCTCTCTTGTCTAATGGTTACAACACAGCCTTTTTATATTTATATATATATATAGATAGATAGATGTATATATATAGATATAAAATAATAATAATAATAACCCTGAGGCGGCAGGAATGTGTATGTGGGACCTGGGACCGTTTTCACACTTGGGAGTATTATATATATTTTTTTTAAAAATGTTCTCCCTCCTCCTCCACCTCCTCTTTCTCCTCTTTCTCCTCTTCCTCTCTCTTTCTCCACCTCCTCCTCCTCCTCCTCCTTCCTTCCTTCCTCCTCACCACCCCCCCCCCCCCAAAAAAAAAATCTTCAGCCATCAAGGTGGAAGAATGAGTAAATTGTAATGGGATGGGAGGTGTTTTTTTTTAATAAGGGGAGCTGTTACAATTGTGATTGTGTCTTGTCCTCCTTCTTCCTTCCTCTCTCCTCTCCTCTCCTCCCTCCTCCCTTTTTCAGGGTAAGATGATGTGAGGACAGGTGGAGAGTGGGTCAGGGGTGTGGGGGTGGGGGTGGGGGGGGTTTGCTTGACTTTGCATTTGAGTCCATTAATGGTATTTTTTTTTATTTCTGTTGCTGGAGTCTGTGTGTGTGTGTGTGTGTGTGTGTGTGTGTTTTGTGGCGGTTGACATATTGATGTGCAACGTGATACCACACTGACTGAGTGAGTGAGAGGTTAGGCAAAAAAAAAATAATTCTGAAATAACCAGCTGAACTCCACTGCCATTTTTGGCAATGCCAGTTATTATTTTTTTTACTCTGATGACACTTTTTGTTTCCTCTCTCTGAACATGAACAGTAAAGCGTGGAAGGAAAAAAAAAAAGCATCTAAACAGTGTGCGAAGCCCAACGCAGTAAAGGGGTTGGATTGTCAGATCATAGACAGACTAAACGACTGCCTTTGGGGGGGGGGGCACAGCAGTTTTCCTTCCTAAGATGGTAAAGCGGGTTTCGAAACCTCACGGGCCTGGCCTCTTCGTTTATTTTTCCAATTTTACTGCCGTAGAAATGAACCCACGGAATAATCGACCTGTTTTGGATTCTTTTGATAGTTTTGATTAAATCCTAGTCCTGTTTCCTGGTAAGGCATTTCTGTTGCAAATCATTTTGTGATGGTGACAAGGATAACACTTAACAACAGTAGAACCGGCCCTGAGTTTTATTTAAATGAGCTTGGCAGCAAAAGTAGAATTTCTAATTTGGAGTGATCATAGGTGAAGTCCTAATTATGTAGATGGACTTTTTGACTGCTAGTCAGAAAACGCATTCGATTTTGTCTTCTCGGCTAATCCATTACATTTGGAAATTCTATTTGCTATTCAATTAACATCATTTTACTACATGAAGATATTGCCAATTGGTCAATGGCTGAGCAATTACTGTTATGTATAACTGTGCATGTGTCTATACAGTATAATATATATATATGCGTGTGTTGTATGGCAGGTATTATTATGATGTAGCTGGTTAAACTTCAGCACTACCCCAACATGCACAGGCAGGGGTGGTGCTAAGCCTTGGCTTTTGCTACTGTATGCCTAATACTTATTGGAATTAGGTAAATAGGGAGTGTCCCTCCAGGGATAGAATGTGCACTCCATTCCAGACATGGGAAATTTCCATCTGTAGGTGGCATGATGTGTGGAATAATACTATGTTGAAACTATAAAAGTGCACAACATGATTGCACTATAAATGTAGGAAAGCAATGTTTGTTAAATGGATTAACCTGTGGCTCTTTAATATGGGAAGTGTTTTTGAAAGAAGTTATTTCTTTCAGAACTACCATGAACCCCATTTTCCCGTACATTGTTGAATATATTTTCAACATAAGATTTTCAAATTAAATGATTTTTCGTAGTCCTCAAATGTTTTAGTTTGAATGTGCAACATGAACCTATTTTTATGATGTCTTCCCTTAAAGGCCACCCATCGTCTCTATGAAAAGCAGTACTCGCATTGTAATAAGATAAATCTTGCTGATGTGTTATCGGATCGTTTACGTGTTAGGTTGTTGTGATGAAAACTGCTCTGGTTTTTCCCTCCTGAAACAAAGGCACTTTTTCCATTGCACTATTAATATTCGTAAACCATATAGCAAGCGTAACTACACATTTAAGTTCTGATAATTCTAAGAGAAAATGTTGCGTGGGTAGTTTTCAAATCCTACAACCCAGTGTATTGACGAATAAGATTGTAGGTAACAAAGTGTGTATCATTGATTGAAACCACTTTCTAAATTAGCATTATGTTGGGTTTGTTTTTGAGATTTCTTGCTAGGCGTTTTGGTGGTTAATAATTATCAATCTTTGTATTGATGGACTTCTGCCATCCAAGTTAGAGTTTTTGTCTGTTTTTTAACAGTGTAGTAAGTAGCATTCAGTTCTTTCCATACTTGTTTACATAATCTAAAGTCCACTTTAGGATTTCGTAATTTATTTAGATGCAGTTTAAAAAAAGTAAACTTCCAATGTTTTTCAAATTTGATCAAGATGACATGCTTGTATTGTGATGATATATGTTGACACAACTTGACATCTTATCATGTTTGGCAAACTTTTTTTTCATAAACACTTCTGTGAAGATAACATCCTTAAGGCAACTCAATTTTGAAAATGTGTATCATCCTTAATGTAGGTTAGGTTTGTATTGGTAGACTTTGGATGAAAATTATTCTTTTGTTTTTTTTAAACAGCTTTTCCTAGAATTGGAAAATATGAAATTAGTTTCCAAAATGCCATTCATAGAAAAAAAATTGAACTGCCTCAGATATTATTGTTATGAGGGTGTTTGAAGTGCCTGTGATTCAGTAATTACAATATTGTTCAACTCTATTTAAAGATTTTTCCACAGGAAATTTTGTGGGTTGATCCATTTTGCTTACTTGCTGACTGCTTTCTTTTTCAAACTATTTGGCTGGTTCACGTTCTTGTAGGAGTGTTATAACAAGCATGTGTTGAATTATATTCCTGTTGAGCCATTTGATTTCTTTATCTTTGGTTACCGATACAGGAAATAAACTAGATTCAATGGAGGCTATATACACAGCAACTGGGGCCTGTTTTATAATCTGGAGAGATCCTGTTGTCAGTCAAATTACCTGCCTTCAGTGGTGAGGTCATATAATGGGATTAAATACCTATTCGATCCTTCTCTCCAGATGCAATGCATTTCCTTGCTGATTTAAAATGATGCTGATACATCTGGTACTTAAGTAATTTTGTCCTATTTTTAAGATACAGTATTTTATCTACAAAATAGACACTTGCTATGCTTTATAGTAAACCCTGTGAAGTGCTTTGAAATTTCCTCCTGTGAAACATGCTATTTCAATCGGAAGGATTATTGTTTAAGACATCTGTGTGAATGCATTTTTTTTGTTTTGTTTTAACCACGTGTAAATGAGCTGTTGATTTATTATGGACCAACCTTAGGGGGGTTAATTGTTCGTCTTTCAAAGTGGTTGTCCTGAGATCAATTGGAGCAGTGGATATGCACTGCCTCTGTTTAATGAATCAAAATGTTGTACAGTAGAATGCCATTTTGAATACTTTATCTAAATGTGTATTCACTACTATATTTGCTAATTTATACAATAGAATACTTCTTTCACATGAGTTAGATGTTCAACTTTTAGTTTCTTCACAGAGTAATCATAGACTCTAGTTTGGTGCTAAAAATATATATTTTTAATATTCATAGACATTTTCTTAATGATTTAAAAAAACTTTGGCTTGGTTGTGAGAACTATTTCTTCTGGAGTCAGCAGATTGTGGGTTCACATCAGGACTTAAACTCAATTTAGGCTGAGACACCAGTGCATTATTGTGGGAGTGCTGCATTATAAGCAATGCTATTCTTTGGATGAAATGTTAGACTCTACCTGGCTGTTCTATTGGTTGAAGTGGACATAAAAGATCAGTGTGAAGAGTAGGTAGTTCTGGTGTCGAGGCCAATTATCCTCTCATCCAAATTCAAGCAATTTTCTCCCGTTAGTGTAAATTAGTGCTCTGATATTTGCTTACATAAATCACTACACATTAAAAGTATTTCACTCTGAAGTGCTCCGAGACTAAGGCATAATATCTAATTCTTGTACTTTTTTTTTCTCTATCATCAAACCAATTGGTTAGCTGTCTTTTGATGAGTTCTACTCACTTTTTAAAAGAGCACATCCACAAATAGGTTGAACGAAACCATCGCAAACACATTATCCAGTAATTGCAGGTGATTATATTTGACAGTGGATCTGTGCATTTTCCCTTTTCCACCATCCTGTCTGGCCATTCCTTGATTGCTTCTCAAAGGCAAAGTTTAGATTGGGGTTATTCTTTCAGAGAATGGTGGCCATAAACCATTATAAGCATTAAGCTTGTTACTTAAATAATTTGTTAGGTAAATAAGTTTAAATTTCCTTGCTTTAGTTTGCGGAGGTAAAATAAGGTATAAAAAAAATTGAGAAGCAAGCTGAACTTAGAATAAACTTCTGCAGCCTTGTCATTCTTATTTTCAGATCCGCTTTTGATGTGGTAGTTTAGTGATGTGTGCAAGCTTAGATACTGTACTTAAATTACCTTTATTAGTTATTAATAAAATGAACAACAAAGGTCCCAGGACTGATCCCTAAGAGAAAACTCAACTGGTAACAGGTGCTCAATTAGATC